GCTGCTAACAGGGTGACATTTCAGACCTTCACAGAATACTGCAGTCTCACTTAGTTTGAACGATCTTTCCTTTTTCCCATCATTTTGTCATCTGGGGTCAGCATGCAGTGATTACCATATTGATTTGGTTTTACTTATAACAGTCCTACATTTATTCAGGCTTGGGACCTATTAAGTGAACTCTCATGTCACTCTCTGTGGTTGCATTTTATGTTTACCTGTCTATTGTTTTAATATTAAGTGACACTATTTTCTTATTTTAATTTTATTTTAATTTAGGACTGATTTAGTATCCATTTAGCAAGGAATACTTTTTGCAGTTAATTTTATTTAAGGATAAAAAGGTATAAAAAGGAGATTAAACTACTAGTCCAGATTTTAGATATCCAAATGCACTGATGTGAACCTCTCCATGTAGCCGGGCTTAGGACCAGCAAAGACAACTCACTGACTCTGGTAGAACGTCATTGTAAAAAACAACAGTATCATCATCAAATAAAACAAACATGCATGCCATCTTACAGCGGTGGGAGTGTTGGGAGCCGTGCGTCTCCGTAGAGAGAGCCGCTGTTGGCTGCGCAGTGAAAACCTCCGGATAGACTCTCGGCTGCGTGAAGCCAAAGACCGTAACGAGTTGGTCCGTTTAAAGTCCCCTGTCCCATCTTCACCTTGGCCCGTCCTTAAAAAACTGAGCGCCCCGTGGAGTGATCGGCGGACATTTCCAACCCATCCTGACATCTGGGACTGGGCTACGTTAAGCTTGTCCCCCAGATACTCCATCACAACAGCTATATCAGTTAAGTGTCCAGCAGGTATTCAAATCCAAGCAGAGGCATTAGAGTAAATTTGCCCTATGATTACAGTAGTAGTATTTGATACAAGGACAATGCTGCACCAATGTGTCGTAACAGAAAGCACCGGAGTGAGTCCGATGCAGGGATGGCAGTAGCTGTTGATGTTTACAGCAATGCAGATGATAATATGGAATCCGTATTGTAACTGGACAAGGATCTGGTCACATTCATCCCCACTGGAGCTATAAAGGGCTATGCCTCAACTCATCTCTGTCCAGGCTGCACACTGTCACTCTTTGGTGAACTGTAAAGCTTTTTCCTCTATTTTGAAACACAGAGGATAAGACAGCTACGATATGCCAGTCACACCAAATCCAGAGAGCATCCAAAGGTTATCTGAGGCTGCAATCTCAAATCAGCACCTTCTGCATTTAAGTTATGAGGTGTCTTACCCAGCTTTCATGATAAGTTGACTCACAATACTGCAAATACTACTGACATAGCTGACAGCTAGCACATCCTCAAATAACCCACAAACTTTCACTTGCCTAATTTACTCACATGCATCTATTCTCTATTCTTTCAATCTAATCAGAAAGCTCACAATGCTGTCTGTGATTCTTCATTGATGCAGCCATGACAGCTCTCCCATCCAGCTCCCAATTCCCAGTTCAAAGGTGAAACATGAATCTGTATTATGCTTCCAGGCAGTAAAGCGCTCCAAAGGTAAATATTGTAGTCATCTGTATTCCACCAGGAAGCAGCCAGTCAGAGGACAAGTCATGAAGAATAAATTGTGACGGGGCGAAATCCACTCTAAAAAAGCAATGAGGCAAGCAGTGGGAAAAAATTTGCTCCCTGTTCCCTTTTGCAGGTACGGGCAGGTAGCAGAAAATGCGTCACCACCACCAGTGCTGCTACAGAACTCACCGCTGTCAAGGAGAAACAGGGTGGAGAGAGAGAGAGAGAGAGAGAGAGGGAGAGAGGAAAAGTAGAGAGGGGAGAGAATGGGAGGTCCCTTATCCAGTCTACAGGCAGCAGGCAGAAAGGAGGGAGGGTGGGTGATATATGGGCTGCAGTGCCTTGTCCCTCCAGTTTGTGTCAGTGGTAGACAAGAGAAGAGAGGAGATGGAGCAACCAACAACTAAGTCCAAAATTAGCTGGTGGTTGCTAATAGTGCAAAGCAGATACTAGTTGGGTCCACATGCAATTCAGATTATTTTTGTGCAAATTTATTATTGGTTAAATTCTGGTTAAGCCCTGGTTTAGTCCTGGTATTTTGATGACTGAAAGGTTTTTATTCCACACTCTTCTCTTTTAATAGTAATTTTATGATGATTATTTATGTTACGATCTGTTTGTATTGTGATTTTCATGTCTTTATTCTGTAAAGCACTTTGAATTACTTTGTGTACGAATTGAGATATACAAATAAACTTGCCTTGCCTGGTAGAATTCTGGTAAAATCCTGGTTTTGTCCTTTATAACTTTGCCTTTTTACGTGAGAATCTTGTATAGAAGGGAACATTCAAATGAACTAATTCAAATCAAAATAATTGTTTTTATTGATGCTGCTTGTTGATGGGTGTGAGACTTAAATAGAAAGTGATGGGATTATGCGTGGTTATATTAATAGATTTAATAGCTACACAGGACAATTGTCAATTGTATCATAGGAGTGGTTATATTGACAAGTGTGCAACAACCAGTTTTGCACCATTATGTCGCCATAATCACAACAGTCAATTATGTTTTGCTATGTTTGATTAAACGCAATACTAACAGTGACCTCACCTGAAATCATTGTAGATTAATGGCACCAACTATGTGATGTTTCTCTAGCTTAATATACTCCTCCTCTCTAAATTAGCAGTTTGTCATGTAGCAGTTCACATGCTCTTGCTTTGCATTGCTATTATTTTGGCATAATAAACTGTCAAGATAGCTCAGACTTTAATCCTTTTATATGATACATTGTTGGCAGCTAAATTAATCAATATTTTTTCAACCTCTTCCCCAAACTTGAATAAATGAAAAAGCTAAATATAAAGGAATTTTAGTTTCTGCTCACAACATATAGTATAATATAACATTGCCTGATAATGTCCCAAATTCCCCTTGATCATAACATGCAGCATCACCAAATGGAAAGTGAGTCAGGGCTGGTCACTTCCCCCCATCTGCTGACATCATTCAGAAAGCCAGCGCCACACGCAGCTACTGAACCAAGCTACACTTCAAAGCATGACAAAAAATCTATACCACTCTAAAACATGAAAAAGCTTCTACACAGACTACTGAATTGGATAGTTATTGATACTAGAAAAGCTCTTACCCATATGCACCTCAGAGTCAGGCAGCCGGACAATAGGTATAAGAGAGCTCCCAGCATAGTGCCCATCTTCTCTGTTCTGCCCCGACAACAGACTCATATCCCTCCAGTTCAACTACATGATCTCACATCCTCAGTATTATTGTCTCATTTAGTGTCACTGTGGGATGGTACCAGGAACTATGACCTGAGTGAGAACTAAATGATGTTACGTAGCAACAATGGACAACAATTACTAGGAATTTTGTCCATCTTGACCAAATGTCGCCAAAATATGTGATATTAGGCATATATCATGTAAAATGTACTACTGCCATATCTGAATTGATAAGCAGCAGTTTTAAATTTGATCAGTAGTGTGTCTCAGTTTACCCTGATCATTATTTTGCCAACTCAATTCATTTTATTTGAATAGTATATCAAAACAACAATAAAAGTTTCACCAATGTGCTTTACAAGACACACTGTCAAAGGCACATAGTAAAACAATAAAATGTTTTAAAGTAGTAAATATAAAAGATAATTAGATACAGAAAATGCTATCTAAAGTTGACAGCCTTAGACCAAAGTTCAAGGGCTGTTAAATGCCATCTCAAATAAAAAGAGATTTTTGGCGAGTTTTTGAGGCAAGATGGTGGGACAGAGAGTTTGACATGAGTGGTCCAGAGGATAGGATGGGTGTGATATTGCCCCTATTTAGAACCAGTAAGCAGCATTTTGGACTAACTGTAACCTGTTGAGGGAGGATTGTGGGAGGCCTGAATACGAATAGTACAGGGCTGTAGCCTAGGCAATTGTTTAGAAAGATGTGTATGATGTTTTTTTATGTTAGAATTGGTTTTAATTTGGCTATGCGTCTTAACTGAAAAAAGCAAGTTTTAGAAACATTTGAAAAGTTTAAAACTGAGCCTCTTCAAGCTACTTTGACTGAGAAAGTTCTTCCTGTCAAAAATGAGGGGAACCATTTTAAGACTGACCTCTGCAACCTAATATTTTTTCATACATAACCAGTGAGAAGCAGCAAAGGAAGCCATCGTAATCAGTTAAAGCATCAAATCAGTTAGGTTAAACGGATAAGGCAAAAGACACATTTGGGTGAATTTAAATAAACTATTAGTGAACAATAAAATTTTTACATAGAATAATTGTTCATATGGTTGGTCAATACCAAAAACACATTTTATAATGCAAAAACTTCACAACAACTGTCACAGATAATGTCAATGTTGTGCTGTCATTAATAAAATTTAACGCAAACAGTGGCCACTAGATGGTACTAGTGGCCTTAAACTCAATGAAAACTGCTGTAATTATCATCAGACAATAACCTACACTTCTGGGTTCACGGGGCTAATCATGCAGTGAGTTGTATACATGAGCTGGTTGGAACCATGTTCAGTGAGCAAATATAAGAGAACAATGAATGTAATTTGAAGAAAACAGCCTTTATACAGTGATGACAAGACTGCCATCTTTGTAATTACAGGTCACATTTTCACAGCAGCACTTTCCCTTAGCCTCTCTGACAGATCTGTGCTAAATGTGCCTAATTCACCAGCTACTCATTAACCATTTGAACTCTCCAATCCTGATTTACTGGCCCTGTAAGCACTTCCCTGTACCTGAGCAAACAGTGGGCGGAAGACACAGAGGCCGGTCTTTCAGCATTAGTCACCACTATATACCATGAGAGCGCAGCAGAGCAGTCACCTGTCAGTCCCCAGTCAACTAACTACATTCCTCTACTTCTCAATGTCTGACCTTCAAACACCAGCCTCACTGATGTCAGCCTGAGGACTCACACTTTCCTCCCTGTCTGCTTTTCAACATGACTGGACAAGAACAATGTATCTGTATATATCTGTCAGACTTACCAGGCTGTCTCTATCCTGTTCTCTGTGGGCACTGCGGCTCCTCATCCTGGACAGACTGCTCTCCACCGCGCTGCTCGAAGGGGCAGAGCGCCTGGACATGCTGCGGGATCGGATTCTGTTCAGCTCCTAACAACAGGGGCAAAGTCACCAAAACACTCTGTGGGTATTTACTTTTATCTTCTTTTTTACAGGGCTCATCAGACAACACCGTACACTGAAGTGCTGTAGTATTTTGATATTGTGTTTTATTAATTTAAATATTATTGTTACTGACCGTGGAGCCCTGGGTCCTCCTCTGGCTTGGGCCCTCAGTCCTGCCTTGGCCCTCTGTCCTGCCTTGGCCTTCAGCCCTGCTTTGGCCTTCAGCCCTGCTTTGCCCACTTTGCCCCTCAGCCTTGCTTTGTCCTTGCGGTGTTTCTTTGGGGAGCCAGACCTGCTCAAAGGAAGAGATTGTAGAGGCTGCAGAAGCAGGGGCTGCAGGTTTGGTCTCAGGTCCAGAGAATGGTCCCATCTGAAATGGATCGTCCACCATTAACCCAGACCATCGCCTCTGAGGGGAATGGCGGCGTTCCTCCTGCCTCATCAGCAGCTGCTCTAGGCTAGTTTTGCCCAAAGATTTTCTGGGTTGTTCTGGTTTGTCCACAGACATCTCAATAGAGCGCAGTTCCCATGGATCCTGAGAAGTGGTCCAAACAGGACTTTGTAAGCCCCCTGTGTTTTGTGGCAACACTGGTACTTGTGGGTTTACCTCCTGAATACCAACCACTGGAAACAAGTCTCTAGTGGAGGAGGGCTGAGTCTGAGTATTGAAAGAGTCAATGTCCAGGATTCCTGGTCTGAGGTTTTGCTCAGATTTGGGTGATGGCTCCTTCCACCTTGTGGAAGGGTCTCCACGAGGAAAGCCTTTGGACTGCTCATTTCTTAGAACAGAGTCTAGATCGACAACTTTGGGTCTAAGAGCTGCAGACTCCAGCCTGATGCGCTCCTGCTCCTCTTTCTTCTGTTTATCTTTGAGGCGCTGTCTTTCGGCCTCCTGTTGTTTGGCAATGTGCCTCATCTTTTCTGCCTCCTCCCTCTCCATCTTTTCTTTAAGCCTGCGTTTCTCCAGCTCCAGTATCTGCTGTCTTTCTGCCAATTTCTGCCTCTCAAACTCCTGTAGCTGCCTCTTCTCCAGCTCCTTCATCCTCTCCAGCTCCTCCCTCCTCTGCCTCTCTTTCTCCTGCTCTTGTTGTCTGAACCTCTGTTTTTCAAGCTCCTGCCTCTCCATATCCAGTTGCTTTTGCCTTTGTTTCTCTAAGTCTCTCTGTCGCTGCAGCTCTTGTTCAAGCTGCTTCTCTCTTTCCATCTCTCTCTCCAGCTCCTTCTGTCTCTCCCTCTCTTTCTCCACCTCTCTCAGCCTCAGCATCTCCTGCTCTAGAGCCATCTGACGGAGTTTTTCTGCCTGTTCCTTTTCCATTTTCTCTCTGAGCCTCTGTTTCTCCAGCTCCAGCACCTGTTGCCTCTCTCTCTGCTTCTGCAATTCAAGCTGTCTCCTCCTCTCCTGCTCCTCTGCTTCAGCCTGCATCCTCTGCCTCTCCTTTTGCATCTCCAGGAGTTTCCTCTCTCTGTCTAGCTCTTTCTGACGCCGCTCCTCCTCGCGCTGCCTTTGTTTCTCCATCTCACGTCTTTCCTTTTCCAACTGTCGCTGTCTCTCTTTCTCCAGCTCAAGTTGTTTTTCTCTTTCAATCTCTTGCAGTTTTTGTCTCTCGAGTTCAATTTGACTTTGTTTTTCAAGTTCAATTTGCTTTTGCCTTTCCATCTCTTTTTGTTTTTGTTGTTCAGCTTCTATTTGCTTCAGTTTTTCTAGCTCTATCTGTCTTTGCTTTTCAAGTTCAATATTTCTCTGTCTCTCCAGCTCCATCTGCCTCTCCCGCTCCAGCTCCTGTTGTCTCTCCCGCTCCAGCTCCTGTTGTCTCTCCCGCTCCAGCTCCTGTTGTCTCTCCCGCTCCAGCTCCTGTTGTCTCTCCCGCTCCAGCTCCTGTTGTCTCTGCCGCTCCAGCTCCTGTTGTCTCTGCCGCTCCAGCTCCTGTTGTCTCTGCCGCTCCAGCTCCTGTTGTCTCTGCCGCTCCAGCTCCTGTTGTCTCTGCCGCTCCAGCTCCTGTTGTCTCTGCCGCTCCAGCTCCTGGTGTCTCTGCCGCTCCAGCTCCTGGTGTCTCTGCCGCTCCAGCTCCTGGTGTCTCTGCCGCTCCAGCTCCTGGTGTCTCTGCCGCTCCAGCTCCTGGTGTCTCTGCCGCTCCAGCTCCTGGTGTCTCTGCCGCTCCAGCTCCTGGTGTCTCTGACGCTCCAGCTCCTGGTGTCTCTGACGCTCCAGCTCCATCTGCCTTTGTTTTTCAGCTTCTAACTGCCGTTGCCTTTGCATCTCCAACTGCAGCTGATTTTCCATTTCTAATTGTTTCTGCCTTTTTAGCTCAAGTTGTCTTTGCTTTTCCAACTCAATTTGCTTGAATCTCTCAAGCTCTGCCTGCTTTTGCGTTTCAGTTTCAATCTGCTTCTGTTGTTCCAATTCATTTTGCCTTTGCTTTTCTGATTCTAATTGTTTCTGCCTTTCAAGTTGTCTCTGCCTCTTGAGCTCAAGTTGTCTTTGCTTTTCAAATTCGAGATGCTGTTGTCGTTCCAGCTCGATCTGCTTTTGGATCTCGAGCACACGTTGTTTTTCTTCCTGCTTCTCTGTCTCTCGCTGCTTCTCATACTCATGCTGCATCTCCCTCTCCTTCACTCTGGCATATTCTAACTCTGCCTGTCTTTCCATTTCAAGTAGTTTTTGCTTCTCCATTTGAGCCTCTATATTTGATTTACTGGTAATGTTATCTACATCACTGTCATGTACTTTACTAAACGCTTGATCTAAAGATGGATTCCTTTTAAAAACTTTCCCTTGGGAGCTCCATTGGACAGAAGGGTCAAAAAAAGGGATATTATCTGCAGTGTCTGATGTGGCTGTTTCCTGCATTTGTCCAGTCAAAGCGAAGTAGGTCGCTCTTGGTTTTGCTTGTTCCTCTGTCTGCTGTGTCTTCAAACGTTTAGCAGTGGCAGCAGATGCATCCTCCACCTCAAAATCTCTTGGTTTATCTTTTGGCATTCCTGTTTCCATATCAATGTCATCATCTAGGGTCCATTTTGGCAGTGCCCCCACCCGCAGATATCTTGGAGCAGTTGAAATCTGTTCTGCACTTGTTTTGTCAGGTGTGGTTTTTGTCCCTTCTGAGCGCCTTGAACGCAGCGTCATAGCTTTATCCTCCCATTGGGCAGATGGAATGTTTTCACTGATAGCTGTGCTCCCCTCTGCAGCTGGGACAGTGTCAAACGCATGCACTACACGAACTGGCCCCGACGGAGATACTGGCTCCTTGTAGGTGGCAGTGACAAGTTTTCCTTCTTCATCGGTTTTATCGGGTATTGGTTTATCCTTTTTATTTTCTTCCACCATCAAAACATTGTGCTTTTCTATGACATTTTCAAACACAGAGGCTCGAACTGTCAGGGCTTTGCTTTCCTTTGGAGACATCAATTCAGGCCCCTGAGACATGAGTGTTTTCATCTGATCTGGGGAGTCTTTTAAGTCCACAAATGTCTTTTCATCACTAGGTGTCCTGGCTGAATCTTCCCCCTAAAACAATAAGAATGAATGAATTTATATTACTGACATTTATTACATTTATTACACATTATTCAATTAAAAGCAAACATGTACTGTAAATGTTATAAATAATTATAACATATATAGTATTTAACTGCAATATTAATACTGATAAATGTATTCTTGAAACTTTGCCAGATGCACTTTCCACAATATCACAAGACGCTTTACTTTATCAAGTAAAGTGTTTATCCAATGCTCTTATTTCATTATTAATTTGCTATAGTGTAACACAGAAGAAAAACTTCCTGTGCCTTCAAATGACCACAGTACACCTATAGATAATCCCCTCGTGTACATTTTCAGTTTTAATAGGTACATTTAGAAACAGGAAAAAAAACAGAAAAGCATTCATAATTTCAGCTGTGAGTAGAGATATGCTATAGCCTCCTCTTATTCCCGCCTGTTCTGAAAAGAGTGGGTGTGGTGCAGGTTGTAATCAAAGCCTCAGTGTGTTGACCTTTTCCCAGTCATTTTGTCTCACTGTATTTCATAACCAGCAGCCACATGGGATAATCAATGTGGCGACTGTCTCAAGTTTCTCTGCATATTTACTCTATAGCTCTTGTTCTTTTCTCAAATGCACCAGTTTCCTCTGGGATAGTTTTTCCCAGCCCAAGACAGAACAGTCAACATGTTGTGATTGTTTTTGTCTGCCTCTTCCTATATGGCCATATCTACAATAAATATATAATTAAATCATAAGCTATACCATATACCTAGTATCACAGAGGATTCACTGAAGGAAAATCTAAATCTTGCTGGCCTTGCTAGCAAACAAAAGGAGAATGTGGTTAAGTTTATTAGGCCTAATAAAGTTAATAGGGCCTTGATAGTGGTTTGTATATTCTGTATATGTATGTATATATGTGTATGTGTGTATATATATATATATATATATATATATATATATATATATATATATATATAATTTAATTTTTTTTGCTATATTTTATTTAGCAAGCTGCTGCTTTAACTTTTGTTTTTCCAAACACAAGCATATACATTTTTTTCAATAATAAAATTTGTTAGACTAGACAAATATAAAATAGACCTTTTCCACATCTTACAGTCTTCCACAAGAAAATGTGAATTTACCAGGTTTTATTTTATTGCTTTTGCGAATGTTGAAAACAATATTGCAATACCCAAATAGTTAATTGCATGACATGATAGCAGAATCCAAGTCCAAGGTTTCAATTTCTGTACAAGACTCCATAGCTTCATACAGACAGAGCGAATGACATGACACATAACATGACTGCAAAACATTTAATGTGAAATTGTTTTGCTGTATTAGAGTCCTTCTAGTTTCTACTGACCCTCACCCCACTCTTACCCTCTTCTGGGAAGCTCTACTGGCGTCAAGGCGATCTGTAGTGTCATGTGTAGTGGGAGAAACCGCAGGATCAGGCGAAAACCTAATGAACATACATCACACAAGACAAAAGCCATGCATGACAATGAGACCTCTGGACAAAGACACATGCACCAAAGAGGCAAGAAGACAACTACGTAGATCAGCTCTTACCTTTTGGTTAGGTCAAGGGGCAGGGGGCGTGGTTTCAAGGCTGGCTTTAAAACAGGGCTCTGATTTGGGGTGATTTGGTCCACAGTGAGCTGTTTAATGAGTTGTTTGACCCCTACTACAGGCTCAGCTTCAGTGTCTGGAGTTTGGCCCATGGTAGGAGACACTGGTGAAGATGAATCAAACAGAAGGCTAATTCTTGATTTGATACTAGCCCCACATGTTTCCTCACTGTCTTTTGCTTGTACATTGTCTTTGCTTTGGTCTGGTTTAATGGTTGCAGCATTTTGAAGTGTTGTCTTGACGGTTTTCTCTTGCTCTCTCTTTTGCAAATTTTCATCTGAAGTATTTTCATTTTCTCTTCCTCTTGTTGTACGATGCAAGGAAAGACCAACAGACTCAAATTTGGAAGTTAGATCTGCTGACAGAGGTCTTCTTTCTGTCCGTGGGAACGCTGAATTTGGTGAATCAGTTTTGGTTGGACTTGTTGGGAATACTGCTGATACAGGTCTCTGCCTGATGCCTCTGGACTGTGGTCTGAGTGACACAACTGCTTCAAATTTGGTCTTTTCTTTTTCTTCTTGCCCTATTTGTAAAAGATGCCCAGTGGATTTTGCCCTTGTAATCGATGTCCCAACTTTATTAAGTGATTCCAAATCCTGATCCTCCCTTTTCGTAGTCCCAAACCACTCTGCAGATGGGGGTCTTTTAAGGTTCCTCGAATGAGTCAAATCTGAAGGTTTTGGGGAAGGGGATATTGGCTTACTTGGATCACCATCAATAGGTGGCGCAGGTTTAAAAGGTTGAGAAACTGGCTTGGGAGTTTGCCCTGTATTTAACTTGGAGGTTTTGAAAGTTGTTGAAGCAGGACGGGTGGAAGTGGTAGTAGCAGGTTTCGGTTTGTTAGTCATGGGTGGTGTTTGAGGTTTTGGGGTAGTAGGTAGATCTGGTTTGTATCCAGGTGTACGAGTGGATTCTGGACGGGGCTTTGGTTGTGGTTTTGGGGCAAGTATGGGCTTAATTGTGGCATTTCGGTCCACAGCAAAGGGTTTAGGGGTAAGACGTGGCTTTGGGCCCGGGACAGGTTTGCTTGGTTCAGTACTGATGAATTGAGACTGGTTCATGGAGGATAGGTCCAGGCGGTTTTTGTTATTAGAGTCCACAAGTGGACTGAGGTGCAGGCGCCCCCCAGATCTCCCCACTTCTCCAGATTGGACCTCCACCTCAGCAGCCATATGTACACCACCTAGAATCTAGAGTGAAAAGAGACATATAATAAAATGTTAAATTAGCCATTCAGTTATGCATATATCCACTAATCATAGATTACCTAGAGCACTACTGGGCCATGGACTTTGCTTATAGGAGTGGCATTGCAATTAACAGGAGGACAATACGCTAGCAAATAGCAAATAAATAACAACTTTTACTTCATTATATAACAAAATATTATTAACACTACTTACAACTTAATTTATCCCTTATATTATATATTATAATATTACCTTTTCAATTAATAAGCAATATTTCACAGAAGTTAATATGAAGTCTCAGAAATTGTAATACTAAAATTATGTTGTTTGCAATGAACAATGAAATTGCTAAAATCAACACACTATTTAGTTTGTAATAATAAGCATGCCATGTCTCCTGTTACGTGTATGTTACATGCAAGTTACATGTATGCAATGTGTAGAAGAGAAAGAAGTGTTTCATGTTGTAGAAGTGGCACTTCATGTTAACACCAGACTGTAACTCTCAACAGATGCATAAGAAAGAGGAATCTGAAGGCAATGGGGTAAAAAAACTAACAAAAAAACAACAACTGTGTTTTTTTTTTGCTTTGTTGCTTGGAAACTGATTCTAGTTATTTAATTTAACTTACTGATGCTATGCTACAGGAAAATTACTAAACACTTAACAACCCACTGGGTCAAATAAACATGAACAGCCGACTGATTTAGTTTCCATATTGTACTAATGAAAACAAAATAGGTCAGCAGTGCTTATGGGTCAAATTCACATTTTAAACAGTCCTCTATATTTTTTTTGCAGTTTAACAAATGCTGTGAATGTCCGTAGGGCTTTAAGAACCTTCCTCTTCATATTGGATAATGCTTTCCACATGTGCAGAGACATTCTGTTTTTCAGGCTTACACATGTTTTTGTGGGAGAAAAAAAGAAAATGTTGGCTAACCAAACACTATGAAATGTGTCAGCACTTTTTACCTGTTAGCCGTCTGAGGAGGAGCTCTGATTTTTGTTGTTTTTGATCAGGGATGTCATCATACCATAAGAGTGGAGAGGCTGAAGAAACCTACAGAGATGAAAAACATGTGTCAACAAAGGCCACAGCTGTGCTGGACAAATCTCTGCTGTATCTACGACAAATGCTTTAGACTGGAGGAGACGCTTGCTGTGACACAGACCAGAGTAAACAGTGTCACACCCATACGTTTGAGCCGTACATAAATACACAAGGAAATCATTAGAAACGTGACCCTGCCATACATTTTCATCCTTGTTTTAATATTTGCATTCAGCTCAAGTACTAGCTTACAAAAATACATGCGGTACTATTGATAATTGTATAGTTTTAAACATAAAGAGGTTAATAGTTCAAAAGAAACTGAATTCTTACTATACACATGAACTAATGGTAAGTATGATACTATAATGAATTTAGAGTAGTTCAACATATTACAGGAAATACCTCTGTTTAAAAGAATGCAAAACATTAAGTGAAAAGAGAAAGACTGGGCTTACAATAGTACAGGAGTTAAGGCTGAATTAAGGCCTTAAATAATAGTCACAAAACTTGAGTAAAGTAGACATAAAACACAAATACACAATATAATTATTTATAAATAGGACATAGGGCAGGCTGTGTTTTGGCTCACGTCAGTAACCTGGTTTGGCCAGTTATAGTAGAGGAAGTTTACGCACTGACAATACAATACTTGAACTTGTCTGTTAAGAGAATGAGTATAGTATTTCTGAGGGAAATCTTAAAGTAATGTTTAACAAAGCTGTGGGACTGGGCCATAATACAGGGGTTGATGTGACGAACTCAAGGCCATAATATAAGTTACTTAGCTGATACTCCTATTCATTAATCTCTAACAACAGATCAAATGGGAAACAAAAATATCACTGACATAAACCGGTTAGTTGTAGCACATGAGCTATATTACAGCAATTTAATAAACCTAAGCTTTTGTTGTTAACACAACTATAGTTTTGTTGGTTGAACTCATCCAGCCGATTCCTTTTCTTTGCCTTCTCTAGATTTATTATAGAAATATGCAACAAGTTGCCTGCTCACTCAGCCTTCCTTTACCTTGAATCGTGCACGTTCCCAGGGTTTATTCAAAGAGAGGTGGCCTACTTACAGCCAGGGATGCGTTAAAACCAGAAACTGTGACCAATTGTTGAATGCGCAGGATACATTTGGAGAGGGTTAAGAGTTGTAGACAAGTAAACCTGAGCTTAATCTAACCTTTTTATAAATCAATCAACAGGTTGCCGGCATAAAATGTAAGCTAACAACTCAAGAGGCTGACCTCGCAAAATGGAAACACTGAGTGAACCTGTCTTTCGCTGCTGTCGGTGATCCAAAGTGGAGACAACTCACCAAACGGGAAAGGCATCTCTAGTCCTCTCGAAGCGACTCACGGTTAGTGCGGCAAATTCACTCTACCAAAGCATATATTTACAAATAAAAACTCTTGTATTTTTTTTTTTCGCTAGCGTAGTAGCTAAGTTAGCTGGTTTAATGAGCTAGCCCACTGGTAGCTATCCCGTCTCAGGTTGCAGTGTTGTTGACAGAGGGACAGACAGCACCGAGTCCGACTGTGGGAGTCGTGCTTCAGGAGCGTCAAGAATGCTTGCATAGAGGCCATGACTTCCGGTACGTCCCATCATAATAATGGTAAAAAAATATATATTAAAATACTTTTTAAATTCATTAACTGTACAATGTTAATGGTATACGTTTACATATATACACATATACACACACACACATACATACATACATATATATATGTAAAAAAATATTCACACTAGTGTTGCACGACTTTGCCCAAATCCAGTAATGTATTACTGCATTATGTCTATTCAGGTTATTCAGGATATAACACCTTAACTTTGCGATGTTTTGGTGCTGTCGAAACTCCCAAGTTTATGTACGAATCCTTATCCAAGTGTATTTGCAAGGTAAATCATGTCCGGTCTGAGGTGGAACTATGCAGTCCATATACTCTTACTAATTACAGAACACAGAAAATTGGGGAATAGAAATAAATAAAATGAAGGTAAGCGAAGCCAAAAAAAAAAAAAAAGACTATTTGTGAAGTATGACCTGAGAACACTTTGAAGGCCGCCCTCTTGTGGTATAAAAGATCTTGCAACCACACAGTGTAGGAATAGCTGAATATGCATTTAAAAACAAATAAATGCATAAAAGTTTATTTCAACAGACTAGAATGTACACAGTCCATACATTTGATCAAAAATAAATGCAATTCAGAAGCTTCAACCAAAATAAAATCAACCCTATTTTTTCCACAATCATTTATCTGTCAGCGTTAATCCAACATCCCAGTTAGAAACTGACACACAGGAGTAATGGTTAAGTTATTTAACCTCCTAGTGAATCAGAGATTGAATGAGAAAAGTGCATGTTTGTTGATTAGCTAGTCCTGCCGAGACCTACTTAATACTGTCTTTAAAGCCTGTCTATGCAGTGTGGGCTAATTAGAATTTTCTACTAATTTGTTTTAATTTTAAGCAGAATCTTCTTGGTCAAATTTTACCCTAATAATAACACTGAAGGCAGTCAGTTCACAGAGTTGCACTTTGAAATCACCAAGCATCACTGGTAAATTTTCAAAGGGGCGTAGTATATTGCAGTTGGCTGACTGCTACAAACATAAAGACACCCTTTGATAATCCGTCTGTTACACTTGGGGCTTCAAAAAAAATGCAGCAACACTAACCATCTCAAAACCATGCAACTCTGGTTTCAGTCTCTTGAGAGGACTGTGTGTGCACTGGCTTCATTTCGCTAATGGGCAATATATTACTGAACAGACTGAGGTACACCCAACTGCTGCAAAGCTTGGGTTTTCTTGCAGAAAATAAATTCCTGGCATGACATTTAAAGATACATTGGCCAACAAACTGGCTGAAGCATTACCTACACAAACCCTGCTTCCATAGCTTAGAGTTGAAAAGGGCTGCATGAACAAAAGGCAGTGAAAAGATTTGCAACTTAAGTAAATTAACTGTCTACTTTGTGTGGACCATTGATGTGCTGAAAAGAAGCTTCTGTTTTCTCTTTTTCTTCTTGCCTCCTGTCTCTTCTGAAACACATAAAAAGACAAAGATAAAATCAACTCACAGTTTGAATAAAAACAAAAAGGTGACTGTCAAAAAACAGACCTTGTCCAACCGCAGGTTGTGGAGAAGAAACTGGAACAGAGTCTAGCTCCAGAAGTGCCTTCTCAAAAGCCTGACTGAAAGAGTTTTGAAAACTGGGCACTGGGACACGGTCAGAGTTGTCACTCTCTCCATCACTATCTGCAGCAGGTGGTGCCAACAGCGCACCTAAAAAAAAAAAAAAAAAAAAAAAAAAGAAGGGGGGTGGGGGGTATTATTACTGACTGTTACAAAGCCTCAAATGGATCTCGATTCAGCAGACTGGTTCAACAGGAAAAACGACACAAAGCACGTATTATTATCTGCACTCTGCAACGGTTGTTCCCACTGACATACTTCAGTTCAAATAAAGCAATGAACATTTTAGCAAGTAATCTTATGTTATTGTTTTTTATTTACCACAAATACAGACTGAGTAAAACATCTTGTGACACATTTGTTTTGACAAAAACAACAAAAAGGTTAAAAATTAATCAGAATTTACCTTTCTTTGAAGAGATCCTGTGTCCAGAATCAACTCTGGCCTTTCCGTCTCTAAGCATCTAAACAAAACAAGTTTAAGATTATGAAAACTATGCTAAGTAACTACAGTTAATTAGACATAAATTTTAAAGATGCACTCACCTGTGCAAAGGACATGCAGTGACTGTCTTCCTCCACACTTCCTACACCAGTTGCACAGGGGCTTTGAGCATTCAGACTTGGAAATATCATCCCATCTAAAATGAAAATATTTTTTGCAGTGTTACAACAGTGTTGCAAAGTAAAGATGCAGTAAAATAAAAACATTATTTATCCTCAATCATTTTGATTTAAAAATGTGTTCATACCAGCAGGAGGACTGCTGCTGAGGGGTGAAGGAGGAGCAAAGGTGAAGTCAGGTTGGACTGGGGGGCTGCTGTTGTATGGAGGAGACCCAAAAGCTGGGAAATGATGTGGGTTTTCAAGTCCAATATGAACTTCTGGGTCTTTGAAAATGCAATATTGACAACCATTAATTACCAAACATTTTTCCTTTATTATAGTAGTGGAAGAATTGAAAAATTAATACATTTCCCCTGCTTTTTATTCTCCTCAATTTCAATGCGTTTCTCACGGCGCTTCTCATCCCTCGCCTTCTTTTGTCTCAGACGTTTTCTTTTCTCCAAGTCATCTAAAAACAATGCAAAGATTAGATTAGTTAACATAAGAATCAATGTGTGTTCAACTACATTTGAAAGTCACATTTTCCAACCTGCAAAAGTGTCCAAAGTCTCTTTGGAGATTATCGGTGGCTGCAAAGCCAATTCACAGATACTGAACTCACACGTGAGCGGCAGATGGGCCAGATAACGATGTCTGCGACGGATATCCTGAAATGATCAGTACATTTATTTATGTATATACACATTATAGTCAAGTCAAGTGGAAAAAATAAAAATTCTACTAGGGTACTAGAATACTAAAATGCAGCACTTAACTGCATTTTAAAATGTTTTTACCTCAGTGACTGAGTGTCCTACTATCTCTACCACTTTAGCAGTGATTGTATCAGGGCTGGCTTCCAGACTCCCATATTCACGCAGCAGGCAACGTACATTCACTGGATGCAAGAACATCTGCTGGCAGTCGTCAGCTGGAAGCAAAGGAATAAATGGCATATAAAAGTTTCACATTTCTAGAAATTTAATTAAAAAGGTCATATAATTTTATATGCAGAACTATCAACTATCAACTAACTGAACTAATATATACAAGTCAGTTTACTCACCTTGATAGAAATAGTAGTAGGGTCCATGCACCACATTATTTGGGGGGCGGCTTGTGTCTTGCTGCCACAGTGGAGGATCATCTGTGAAGTCCTCAGGCAGTTCAAGCTCAGTCTCTGCTGCAGCCTCTAGGATCTCCTCTGGGACGTCCTCCAGAACACTCTCCAATACCCCTTCAGGGAGCTGTGGCTGCTGAGAACCATCCTCTGGCAGCTCCAACACTTCATCGTCAAATGCTGAAGCGTATTGCAGCACTGGCTATATGTTGAAAAGGCAGAGTTACATAACTCTTAACTAGACATATCTAATGTGTCATGATTGAAAGCAGAGAGTATTTTATACCTTAGTGCTGTTGCTATTCTTAATCACTTCTTCAATTGGAGGAGGTGGTTCTTCAACAGTCAGAGAGGACAAATCAAAACTGTCCCCTGCATTTGATTTCTGCTGCTGCAACAATCCTTCTTCCCGTTCCTGAAGGCACAAATGAGAACTAGTCAAAATTGAGCTGAAGAAGGATTGAATTTGACCTTTTTCAAGTCAGTTACCTTTAAAAGACAAAGAGCACTCTGGATAAAACAGCCCTGAGAGTCCTCTTCTTTGCTTAGCTGAGAGTGCAGCGCAGCCTTTTCCTCACCCACCATTTCCAAGGCCTGCTCAGGAGAGATAAGCAGCAGCTTGGAGTACGGGCTGAGAGATGAATCTAAAGAAGAAAAGGACCAAAGTTAAAGTTTAGTCTTGCTGCAGATAAAAATTTTTTTAGAATAAAAAATAACAAAAAACATTCTCACCTCCATAACGAACAGGCTCCTCCACCTTCACCCACTGTGAGCTGGGCAGCGCTACCAGTGCTCCCTTCTCTCTCCGCATCAGGCGCATAGTAATGACATCACCAACCATATACTGTCTGGTTTCCATTGCAACAACACTTAACAAAAGATGCCAAATCATTAAAATAAACTTCAAATAGACATTATAACAGGAAAGTTTTAATCTACCTTTTCAAATCACCAGTGTGGACTGCCTCATAGCAGATTGGGCACTTTGACCAACTCTTGTCACTAAGAGAAAGGTAGTGCAGCATACAAGGCCAGCAGAAAATGTGCCCACAACGAGTTATGTGAGCTGCCACCGGAGGATAGAGACATATGGGGCAAGATGGCACCTCATGACTGTAAATGCGCTGAAAAGGTATGTAATTTAATTAAGCTCAAGATTTGTATAAAGTGGAAATGGACAGCACTACGTTACTGCACATACCACTTGCTGTACACAGTCCCAATTAACCAGAGTGTCTGGATCAGCGAAGTGTGCCTTGTAGTCCTGGTCATCAGCAACTACAAACTGGCAACTGCAACATAAACAGAAATCATGATTTTTAACAACAACTAAAAAAGTGCAACCACCACAGTTCTGAAGTACACCTTACTTGGCCTGCAGGAAAAGTTCCTTGTTAAAGGGCTTGTGCTTGTGGCCCCATTTATTGCGGCGCCCCCAACAGGAGGGGCCTATGTCACCACCACCACCACCACCACCACGAGGCTCAAACGTGAAGTTCAGCAGGTGGTTTAAACTAATTTTCTTAGGTCCAGCAAACTGAGCCGGGCTAAACTCGGCCCGGCGCGTCTCTGCTACCTGAATGTGCAAAAGAAATTAGGTTATTTAAATGAAATCAAAGATAAATTTTCTCCAATCAAAATACTTGCGCACACCTCCTCACGTCGTCCTCCACCTGTAATTCCATACTGGCGCCCTCCACCTCTCTGAGGGGGTCTCTTGTCAAAACTTTTGCCTTTCTGTGAATTGGTGTGTCGTGGACCAGGGAAGCTGTCCACTTTGGGGAAAGAAGGCTCCCGCTTGCGGTTATACCGCTTTGAGCCTCCATTATTTTTACTTTCTGATAACAAAAAAACAACAACAGCTTAGCTTACCTGTACAATCATGTTTGCAATAAAATGGTGTTTAACAGGTGGGTGCCAACAACTGAAATTCAAAAGGTACAACTAATCAAATGTACAGAAGATTTTCACAGGGTCTGTCAGTGCTTAATACACAACAAGTAATTAATATGAAAAAACAATTTTAACAGCAAATATATATAGAATTAAATGCATAAGTTATAGTTGAGTCAGTGCCACGGGTGTCATCTATTTGCACGTTTTCCCTCAAATTCACTCAAAATATATATAAAAACATATAACAAGAAATATGCCTTTCAGAACAGTACAAGTCATAATAAAACAGAAATGTGCAATAAAAGATGGCCCTGATTTGAAAGATTATGGGTCAAATGTTTTGACAGCTACGTAAGCCTAGATAAACAGCTGCGTTACTGCTAGGCCCTTAAAGGCCTCTGGTGAGAGTGCTGAACCTTCACATGACATGATTACAGTGTTCGCGGTCCTTCACCTGCTTTGGGTTTAGAGTCGCCCGCTGTCGGGCCTGTAGAGCTGGAACGGGGCGGAACCTTGCTGCTGGTGTTGTTGTTGGGATTTTTCTCCATATTTGTCTCCGTGCAGTGGGCAAAGCAGAGGCCAAGCTCCGAGCTGAGAGCCGCTGAGCTCTCGAGCATCAAACAGAAAAACCAAAGAAAATGAGCTGCAGTGCGTGCGAGTCAGGCGGCAACGGCCCTGAATCATTTCTGTCAAACACGGAGACCCCATCACGGCGACATCTTTGCAACAAAACAAACCGAGAAAAAATAAGAGACACGATATCGGCGTCTCAACTTAGATTGGATTTTAGAGAGGAGGACGAAAGCTCGCCACGCGGGGCCAAGACCCCTAAAAACGCGCTCCTTCCTCACTAGATCAACGCTGTATGCCTCCTAAAAGGCGTAGGGCACTTAATACAAGTCCCCAAACGCAACGCTTAAAATATTAGGCAAAAAAAAATATCGGTCGAAATCAAACTGCACTAATGGCGACGGGTCGCCAGACAGTGCTCCGAAGGACCCGTATGCTTCTTGTAGCTAATGCCAGTTTCTAATTGGTCGAAGCTTAACTATGAATCATGGGAAGTGTAGTCTCAGTAACTAACAGCGGCTGACCTGTAGGCCTAAATAAATACGACTATCTATTGCAACAATATATGGTATAAAACCGAATTCCTTTCCAAAAACACAAACAGATCAGTTTAGTGCTTTTAATTTAATACAGAAGACAAATACAAAAATGTGCAAGGGAAGACAACAAGATCATTAATAGACATAGGCTAATAGTTGAGCATAGTTGAGTGCCTTATTAGCCTTTACTTCTCAATGTAGCATTATGTTCTACATTGGCCCTAAAATGGGAAGCTAATTGTATTGTATAAATTAATCAAATATGTGCTTTTATGTTTTACTAAAGACAATCAAATAGAGGTAAACAAAGAGACTGTTTAAATTGTCTCAGCATCACACCAACGACATGAGAAACATCATCGTGACGCTGCTACAAGTTGCGTCTCTCTGCCTTTGAGGTGGTTACCTTACAACACAAGTAAGACTAAGTATTTTGTTAGTGATTGACATTTTATTGGAAGTATAATTAAAATTGCAATCCAATTACAGTAAATACACACATCACTGATGGGAAATAATGGCTAATAAGTAGTAATTGCAAGTTTAATACCTAATTTAGCTAATATAAAGTCTGTCAAATCAATATATACAATTGCGCCTAATATTACTGAAGGTCACTCATCTTCTTCACTTTCTAGTGCATCCTCTGCCTCATCTGTATGCGTTCGTGTGAGAGAGCAGTCCAGAATGGCTTGCTGAATGTTGCGTTTTTCATCTAAGTAAGATCACAGCATACAACTGAATATGTAATATCAATTCAGCATCAGTAACATTCACTTAATAGTATAGTTATATGCAAGAACAAAAAGCATACCGTCACTTTTACATTTTGGGAGCATCCGACGTAGCTGATGAGCATTATACCGTATCAGAAACTTTTGGCATGTTCTAATTGTTCCTAGTATTATAAAAAAAATTAATACAGCAAAAATCTAATGCTTCACATTGTTGTGCAACTTATTCTACTACTGGATGTCAATTTCTTACCTCCCACATAGATGCAGTTGAGGAAACAGGGAATTTTCTTCCCTCTTGCTTCAATACTGGTAATAAAAGGCAATGCAGTCCAAAGTTGTTTGTAACACTTTTTAGGAAAACGTAGGAATATGATTCCAGTGACAGCATTAATGTATTTCACTGGGAATAAGAGAGAACACAGGTTACTAAATCTTGCTGATAATGCTTAGATAAGAAGTATTATACAACATTTAGTTTCTATTTTTTACTTCACAAAATGTTACTGCAATATTATTTTATTTGCAACATAAATATATAAAAGATACAACTCCATAAAGTCTCATAAATAGGCCTATGAGAGAATGAAAAGCTCTTAACAATGGTAAGGAGTGAGATTGGTCACAGACCCATTCGCTTCCTCATGGTAGTTGCCTTGCTTAATGACATTCTGTTTTACACGGTAATTGAAAGTATATTTTTTTCTGAAATTAGTTCTGTAAGTCAGTGACAGTAGCTCACCAGAAAATCCAAAACTACAGAGAGCTGCCCCATAGTCACCGTGAATGCGCTGGACAACATCCTTCACTGTCGCGGTGACTGCACGGTCATCCAGCAGCAACAGCAAGTTTCGGTCCGTCACATTTACTTCACAAAGTAAATACCTGATAGAAAAAGGTCGTTGTGAAAAGAATAAACTGACAGACTGCGTAAAATATACACTGCGAGCACGCTTACCTCGACTTCACCCGGACCATAGCTGTAGCTGCTACACATGCTTCTTCCCTGCAAAAACATCCTTAAACAAAATATTCTCTTTCTCCGAATTTCATTAGCGCCCCATAGTGGGCACTATATTTTACTGCAGGGTGGCCTTGGAGGAGGGGTACGCTTAATATAATAATTAAGGCAGCACGATTTGTGCTGACAGCTAAGCAAATGCTCATGTAAAATATCCTGTAATTCACTGTATATATAATATTGATAGAATGCGGTGTAATGTGTGCCATTTGTTAATTATGTTAAAAAAGAGTATACAAGTAGTCTGTGTGATTTGTGTTCAGAAATGCAGAGAGTAAACGGCAAATCCTGACACAAAACCTTTCCACAGCTCTTTTGTAACCATGACAACCCTCATCGCTTTCAGCCAATCGGAAGCTCGCATTTCCTCTCCTTGTACACTTTGACGCCATCTTGAAATTACACCTTAGTTTGTTTGAGCAGCACCTAAATTAAACAGCACAATTGTTTTTCGTTTTTATATGTTTCACAATCCGGCATGAGCAGTTCTCGAAGCAAACCAGTATCCACAGTCAACAAGACACACGGAGAAGTTGATCAGGACCGAAAAACTGTAGGAGGAATGCTGAAGAAGCTCAAATCGAAGCGGAGTCAGATGGAAAAGTGGCCTGTTGTCACCGAGGTTGAGCTTAAGGCTCTGGGAAGAGATATTTCCCCAGATCACATCCTAGGTCTGCGGGATGTTACCGAGGGTGTTAACGTAACATGTTAACTAAGTTTAAAATTATATTTTCAGAAGAAAGTTGGTGAGGATGTGTTAGGATATTGTATTTCTGGATACAGCTAAGATTATACTCTCCTAGTTAACGCTAATATGATGGCAGTATGTTCTATAAAATTGGCTTTTATAGCGTGATGTAATGTAAGGAAATGGATGTTGATATGCATTAGGTTAATTTAAGGTTAATTGAATTTGAAGTCCCATGCTCTTCTTGTCTGGGATCCAGAAAGACACTTCTTCAATACTTTACGAGTCTGTATATAAATACAGAAATATATTATTCTGGGTTTACTAGTCAAACGCTCTTCCCTTTTCTCTTCTGAATGTTTTAATTTCACTGTTTAACTGTAAAATATTTTCTTTCTTTTTCATCTTTTCTCTGTTTTGTTTTTGTTTTTTGGTTTAATGTAAGTCTCACTGATTTTATTGTGTAATACTTGCCTGATTTGTGGTACACATTAATGTGCTTTACTGTTGTCTGTTGTCAAGGTAATCAAAGCTTCCTTAGTTACTGATTCTTTCTATTGGGGAAAGTAGGGGGATAATGTGCTATGTGATTTGTTTTCTCTCAATAGTTTACTTATGTTTGGTTTGACAACATTCAGTAATGGAGCTGGACTATTTGCTGTCTTGTGATGTTGTCACCAATGTTTTATCACGGTGTATTCATTATTGAACAGTTTTTGTCATTCAGGAACTTAGTCTGGCTTGTTTGGACTTTTTCCAGGTGTAAAAACAATGGTAGTACCCCTAGGTAGTAGGTAGTAATCCTGTTTCTCCTGATGATATTATTACTCACTTGTGCCATGAGCTTGAAACCTTAGGGGCTTGACTCCCCTTATCAAAGGGGAGTCAGTGGCCTCAAAGTGTTTGTCATGTTTCTGATTAATATAATTAGATTTGTTCACACAGACACATCATTGTTTTGCCTTTCAGATTACTTGTGTAAACCTGAAGACAACATTTACAATATTGACTTCACACGATTCAAAATCCGAGACTTGGAGACAGGAACAGTTCTTTTTGAAATAGCTAAACCCCCTACCAGTGGTAAGTGTGATCTATTTTCTAATGTAAAACAAGTTTGATTTATGCTTGTCATGTTTTTGATTAATATAATTACATTTGTTTACACAAAAAAGATTTGAAAAAATCTCATGTTTGCTTTAGGTCCCGTTGAAAGTGAAGAAGAGGGTGCAGATGTGGACATCAGTGCTGGACGTTTTGTAAGATACCAGTTTACTCCAGCCTTTCTAAAACTGCGCACAGTTGGTGCTACGTAAGTTACAAAATCTCCCCATCTTTGTTAAATTTTACTTTCTTTTGATGACTGGCATGTAATATCTAATGGCTGTTTTTATTTCTTATTCCAGTGTTGAGTTTACAGTTGGTGATCGACCAATTAACAGCTTTCGTATGATTGAAAGACATTACTTTCAGGGGCATCTTCTCAAGAACTTTGACTTTGACTTTGGCTTTTGCATTCCCAACAGCCGCAACACATGTGAACATATTTATGAGTTTCCACAGCTTCCAGAAGACCTGAGTAAGTTTTACGTAATTTGTTGTGTGCTGTGTTATTTACATTCACTAAACCTTACCCCCCTCACACCCAGTTCGCCAAATGGTGGAGCATCCATATGAGACCAGATCAGACAGTTTCTACTTTGTGGATAACAAACTCATCATGCACAATAAGGCAGACTACGCCTACAATGGTGGTCTGTAACGTTGTATGGGACAAATTGTGTGCAAAATGAAATCTATCCTGAGGCTCGCTGAGGTGGAGCTGAAGTATTTTCTCAAAATAAAGACAAATCACAGCAACAATCTTCAAAACCAGCGGACCACATCTGCCTTCATATGAACTCATTCATCAGCACAGGACAGAGCTCACATTGTGGGACTCAAGGGACAGCTGTCCTAAATATTTCTCTCTTCTCTCAGTCTGTGTCATGTTTTGCTTTAGAACTATTGCCTTACATTTTGTTGTCTCTGCTGGAAAGGGACACTTTAGTGACACACCTTTATGGGAAAATCCAGTAGATCTCTATCAGAAGTTTAGATCTTCTCATTTGAACTACCTTTTGCTTGTAATGTGTGTTTTGTTTTTGTTCTGCAAAAATGACATGAAGTACATGAGTTGCAGTATTTTAAGTATACATCATTATGTTACCAGTAGTTTCTTTATTTAAAAATCTTTATTAATCATGTGCAGCATTTGGATACTTGTATTTAAATTGAATACATTTCTACAAGGTATAATATAGGATTTGTCTTAATAAATTCATGTTGGAATTGATCTTCCTAGGTATCTACTTTCAAAGTTTTATCTACATTTGTGTGCAAAGTACTGCTCCGGTGCTAAATTTAAAGATTTGCCAACAGTTGGGTACCATTTCCTTTTAGTCAACTGTATGTTGTATAATTTTGCTCAACTAGGACACCCATTCATGTTTCTTTTGTCAGTGTGTAAAGATATAGCACACTGCTAGTTTATTATGTTCAAACCAATCGTTGACTGGATTAACATAATTCTGTGCCTTGTCCCATACTGGCTCTCTGTATGAACTCTAATGTCTCTCTGACCAAATTACAAGGCTCACACTCTGCAGCTCTTCTTAGATGCATAGAACATCACATAGCATAGTCTATGTATTGGGTTTTTGCAGTAATGTGGCTATAATCATGGATAGCAATTATGAACTGCGTGCAAAGTAAGCGTTGCCTTTGGCTCGTGATGTTTTTCAGCAGTAATTTTAGTAGTTTTCCTGAAAAGGAAATTTTCAACCTCAGTTCATCTTGTGATTATTGTATTTCATTTTATTTTATTTGCTCTGAGGGAAAACATCTTCATGTACTGATAAATGATTTAAATTACATTTTCTTTTATACATCATCAGGGACTTGTCAACCTTAATGCTTAAACAGAACGTTTACCAATGATATAATTCAATTTTATGCATCCACAATGGTACTTCCATGAAATGTAGCTTTTTATAAACGAGTTCCACCAAGCTCACATGATTTGTTGCATGAATAAAATTCAAGTAGAGAAGTTGTCTAAAATATTATTTTCTGGAAATAGTGAATAAAACACTTACCACAATGAGATTTATACTTTTATTACGCGCATGTGTTTAGAAAAACTACACATCCCATAATTCCAAACTCATAACACAACTAGCCGCTGTGGCACGTGGGTGAACATGGCGGCCTCCAGTGCAAACATGGCTGAAAACTCCAGTAGTAGCGATGATGAACTGCTCAAACGTTGTCAAGAGGCTGTGTGGGACAGTCCCGCCATTGGAGATAAAGGTAAACAATCCCTACTTTGTTGTACGAATTATGAAAATGTTCAAAATAAGCGAACACGAAACAAATCTACAACTACAACGCCTAAGTACGTGTAACTGTATTGTATTGTAGTCTACTAGTTAAGTTAGTTGATTCTATCTGTTACAGACGCAAGTAGCAACAAGAAATCTTCAAAACGGTAGGTATTACTGGCGTAAACCTTTATAACAGTGCTCCACAGACTGCAAAGCATTATTTTGTTTCACTCTTGTTTTTCTCTTGAACAGTTTAGTTGTTGCAGACCATGATCATGATGGTAATGAGCTCCAAGTCACTCAGAGCTTCCAGATGCATGTGGCGAAAAAGTTAGGTGCAATGCTTGATAGGTTGGTATGACAAAAACAGTTTTTTATGAATAGAAGTTTGTTTTGTTTACTGACCAGGGGTCTTTGTCAGTTTCATATCAGAGAAGCAGTCTTCAGCCCGACCCAATGTAAATACAGAAACAACTGACAATAAGGATGATGAGGATGAAGGTAAAGTTATGGTGACATTATCTTTTTAGAATCCAAATTTTAAAATTTTAAATGTAAACAGATATTTTAAGCCTATTCTCTTGTGTAAGCCTACATCTTACATACCATACCATAGTGTTGATAGTTACCATAGGTGTTGATAATAAATATGTATCAATACTGATTAATATTTAATTGTCATAAACTAAAAGTAAAACATTCTTCTAAAAAAATACTTTTTCTAGGTTTTCGTCTGTTCACCACTTCAGTCCCAGGACAAAAAGATGAAGAACCTTCTCCTCCAAAACGTCGCCACATTCCCAGCTCAAGGTAATCATTTAAAATTCAGATAAGCGTTGTTTTTGCTTTGTTATACATGTGTGTTCATACTAAGTTTCTTCATTAACTCCCTTGGATCCTTGCAATATTTCCAATTAGTATCAATTATAACTTATTTCTAATTTTATGTACCGTCAGCCCTTTGGAAAGATGTATTTAAAGGTGCATTGCACAACCTTTCTGGTGAAACGTCTGAAACCTGCTTGTCTTTATGAAGATGTTATTGCATTATTAAACCTATCAAGGGAGACAACTATGGGCTACTTTACAGGTCAGACCTGTGGATGCTACCTTATTTACAGGAAGAATTATAGTATTTTTGAGCAATGTTAACACTTGTAATTAATAAATGCTAGACAGACGTGTGTAATGTCATACCCTGGAACATTCCAGTCAAAGTAACATTTCCTTGGAGACAAGCAGGTGACAGACCCTCCACAAGAATGCAATGCGCCTTTAAGATTCACTTTTATTATCAGAACAAGTTAACTGTGAGTGAAAATGCTTTACAACATTACTTCAAATGTGTATGTCAATCCAACATTTTTATATCGTTAGTGACAGTGACAGCGAGATGGAAACACGATTAAAGGAGGCCGCCATCTCCATTAAAGACCTCATACCACCATCAACATCACATTTCCCCACTGATTCAGAGACACCAGGGACTCCCAGCTTGGAAAGAAAAGAAAACATGAAAAGGAAAAAGAAAAAGAGGAAAATAAATCCAGAAGACAATGATCAAGAGGACTCAAAATCTACTTCTGACAATCCAAGTGAACATACAACCCAACATGAGGTACAAACTACAATAAAACAGAAGAAGAAGAAAAAGAAGAAAAAGAACAAAGATTCATTAGGAAATTCAGAGGGACAGTTGTTGGAATAACTTTGACACACATCTCATGCATAGTTCCATGTTTAAAATAATTATTGTCACAGTTATGTTTTTGAAAATAGACTTTAATCGTTTTTCTAGGATACACCTTTCATTGTGTAAAAAAGTAACATACCATTCACACGTTACAAGTTAATTTCAAATAAAAACAAATCTAAATTTCATTATGTTTTGATAATTGTTCGTTTTACTTTAATAGACTCAAATCTATAGATTGAATTCATTTTAGCACCATCTTGTCACAAAGTCCAAATAGAAGAAGTGTATTTAATTGTGTCATGAATTATGATCATGTTATGCACAAAACTCATTCTCTGGTGGAACGATATGTGGATTTTTGACTTGCATAGTTGCACTTTTAAGGAAAAAATTACTCTGTAAAATTATTCATACTAGGCATACTTGGTGAGCATGCAGTGACAACAGTTTTTTTCTCTAACAGCTGCCAAACTTGTGACTTCTTGGTAATATAGCCTACTGTATTTACTGGAACCTTTTCTATGTACATGTTCTTGCATAATCAATTATATTTCCAATATCCTTCCGGTTATCCTTCTCATTGCTATGGTCTGGGCTTTGCCCATATACACTTCCATATATTGGTCCATTGTCACTGTGCAGTGGAGACCAGTTGTGAAGGGATGTATGAGCTTATGTCTGGAGGTGAAGGTGACAGGAGGTGGGACTGGTGACTCTCTGTGGACTGAGAGGACGGATACAATTCCAGGCTTTCCGAAGAGGCTGTTAGAAATCATGAAATATCTAATTATAAAAGCATTTGACGTGGTAAGAATGTACAATGTACAATTATTTTGAGAACCACTATCGGTCACAGACAATAATGATGCATTTCCACTTAAGAAAATAATAGTGGATTTTGTGTATCACCTAAAAGCTTCTCTTTTCCGATGTAAATTTCATATTGATTAATAATTACCTGGTACAGGTGTATGAGGCTGGAGATGTAATGATTCTTCCTCTAAAGGTGTGTCTGTGTCTTCGTCTGGGTCAGCTGTAAGTATCTATCAGAAAGTAGAAAATTGTATACATTATATCTATTTTTATTTATATGTCTTGCAGTGTTGTGTTGCAGTTCTGGCCTCTTCTTCTACCTGTCTGACAGCTGCAAGGCTGGTGAGGGTGCCCAGACTGCTGCTGTCAGTGATGACCATGGCCTGGGACAGCAGACTGGACGAATGGTACTGGGGGGAGTCTGACTTGTTGTACACTATAACATGTACACAAAAAACAAAATGAATGAAAATGAAAAATCGCCTTTATATTTAATATATATATGTTCCCCTTTATTCTATTATACGTCTCTGTTATTCCTTATTTATGTTTTTTGTACTAATTAGATATTTTTTGTTCATCATAAAGCATTCTAACAATATAGTTTTTCCATGTTTTTGCTTACTGTGGCAGGGTAGTGGTGCCATGGTGGCCATGAATGGACTGGCTCCCATGTGACTCTGGATCTGCTGTGACAGATTGGGCTGTGGGGAGCCATGGAGTTGCTGCTGGAACGAGATGGGCTGCAAAGTGGTGAAGCCACCCCCCACGTTGTTTATCACAGGTACAGTCTGTGGTTGTGTGGAAGCTAAACCTGGAAATCAAGAAGCAAAATATACAATTATCAGGGGTACACTGAATTTGGTAAGCTTTATTTCATTACAAGAAACAATAGTAAAAGACTCTGAAGGCAAAGTGATACTAGTGTCTTTTCTAATGATAAAACAATAACTTTCACTTGTTGAAGCAGGGGTCAAACAGGCAACTTTAGTGTGTGGGTAAGCAAATTCTCCACTACTGTTGAACTACTATGAAGAAATTCATGCTGTTTCAATACAAAGTCATAGACATACCTATAAGTAATGAAGACTCCCCCAGGCTCATGACACTGGGCAGGGAGGCCATGATCAGCCCTTGAGAGGAGGTGGAGGATAGGCTGTGCAGTGACGTCAGGGTGCTGACAGGGGGCAGTGATCCACCACTTGATACCTGGATAAGAGCATGGTCAGGCCATAATAGTGCAGGGCTCTCAAGAGGGGTCTGGCTGCAGACATATGGGGGTGAGTGGAACTCCACTGTAGACTCGAAACACGTGACCTCCACTTTTATAAATGAGGTACATATGGCTTGAATGGACACTTTTTTTTTTTTTTTTTTTTTTTTTTTTTTAGATAAAACCAAGCATTACACACGTGAAGAATGACCTGAAACTTTTTGGGCCTAATTGAGAGAGAAGACGCTGTTTTTTATGTCTTTATGGAATTAATTGAATTAATAAATTTTTTGCATTTATTTTACTTTCATGTGAACTGTTTACTTTTATAAGGTGTAATTTTTTTGTATCTGAAAAAAAAATGTCTTGAACAGATGTTGCCGTGTTGGCCAGCTAGATCCCACCTATTATATTATATCTACTTTAATAGACCCACGGAACCCACTTGTAAAAGGGATATTTATTAATCTTAGTGGGACTACTATAATGAAGCTAATCATTAATAAATCATAAACAAAAACAAAAAAAAACATTTGTTTGACCAGAAAATGAATAATTTTCTAAAAAATTATTGGTCACCCACGGCCTATTATATAAGCTACAGGGTGCGATTTGACGAAAAACCAGAGGGGGGATATTTTAAGATTTTAAGCAATCTCAGTGAAGTTGCATTAATGGCTCTGCGGTCCTTGTCCCCACCAGATATTAAAATAATTTAGCAGAGGTGGGGATTTGAAAACTAGAAGGGGGAAATCCTCCCCCCACAAATCGCACCCTGAATATATGTGCAAACAAATTCCAGAATGTAAAAACATTTTATAAACTACATTACACACAATCTTATTTAAACAACACTTTACGTTCTAGAGTGGAGCTCCACTTGCTCCATAGGTCTGCATAAAGGTTTATAAAAGTGAAGGTCACGTGTTTCCGGTCTAGCGTGGAGCTCAACACACCCGTACATATGCTCTCCACTAATATTGGCACTTGTATAAAATCTATAATAATGCAATTCTCCATCTGGAGTTATTAATTCGTTTATTATTAATGATTAAAATAATAGCTTAATAAAAAATAAATATAGAATAAATGTGCCAGGTTTTATATCTGAGGGTTTTTAGAAAAGTTTGTATTATTACAGCCTTGTTTTGGTCAAATGTGCAAATATTAGAGGAGGGCACAATTATCATGAGAGAAAACGCCTCTCTTCTTGATCTCTCACCGTTTTGGAGTTGTGGCTATCGAGGAGAGTGTGACTGGGCTCCAGGGGCACAGGGCTCACCACCAACCGTCCTACACGTTCCCCTCCTGTACCTCTCACCGAGCTCAGAGTGTCACACGAGATCTGCTGGCTGTACTTCAGGCCTGGACAATATATATATATATATATATATGTACACACACACACTTTTTATATATATATTATATATATCTAATATATATAATAATTATTTATATTATATTATATATAGTTACTAGTACACTACACTATAAACTACAAAGGCTTAATAAATAAAGCTTACATGGTAAAAAGGGGACTGTGAAGTCATAAACAAGTGATACATTATGAGGATATTACCGTGCTCTGGACTTGGAGGGAGAGCTGTATTTGCAGAGTTGACAGAGGGGTTGGTGTAGGGAGTGTCCAGGGCCAGTTTATGGCGGAAAGCCTCCTCTTTGCGACGGTTTGCAAACCAGTTGTACACACGCACCTCAGTGACCAGGTTAGAGCCCAGCCCTGCCAGCTGGGACGGGGACACACCCCTCTGTAAGCACTCTGCCCTGTGCACACATGGTTCAAAAACATGTCCAACAGAAAGTAACATTGGCTCGAACCATTCTAGACAGTTTATTTTACCTGTTGCATTCCTCCACTAAGCCCTCTCTCTCCTCTTTGCTAGGGTTCTTCTGTCTCTCGTAGGCATGAAACAGGATCTGCAGTGAGGCGGGACCCCATTTGAACCTGTTCCTGCGTCCTTTCCTGTTGTCTTCTCCTTGGTCATCCATTGAAGCCAGCCCATGTTTGGCATTGGTAAACTCTGAAGGTAATTGAATGCAATACTTTGTGGTTTGTTCTGTGCTTATCGTCATATTAATTAAATCTGCACAATAATTTAAATGTGATGGCATTGCAAGAAAAGTGCAATGATAATTATGAAGTTTTATTAACTCCTCACTGCCATTGCAATGTTGCCTGTTTCCTAAATATATAAATTAGTTTGTATACTCACGCTGGCTGATCTCGCACTGCTTCTTGACGTACCAGCTGTACAGTGCAGCTCTCTTCTGGTTCTTCATGGGTGTGCCTTTGTTGAGGTGTTGTGAGAGGTGGGACTGGTTCAGCCCTGTGGACTCCACCACCTCTCGCTGTGGCAGATTATGCTGCAGCATGTAGCTTTTGATCATTTTTGCAACATGCCATGGATCCTCTCTATGGACAAAACAGAAAACATGCTGTTATGTGTCAGATATGAATATATTGAAGGTTTCACACTAAAAAGGTGTTATGAACCTTGTAATGTAACCATCTCATATGTATTGAGTCAGAATTGACAAATACTAATAATAAATCAACATAACCTAATTTGTAAATCTAAAATAGTGTGCAGAATACTTTGCTCTTAAGAGGGAAGTGGTATACTGAGGCATATTGACAAAGTGAGATAAGGGAAAGCACACAGGGCCAAAGTGCTGGACTTTGGCCCTCATTTGGATCAATAAGAGGAAAACCAAAGAAGCTTTAAATCATAATAATGTTACACTGTAGAAGATGAAAATAATACAAAATGAAATCAAAGTTCATACTTCTCTAGTCTGGGCTAGGGTACATCATTTGTGAGAATTACTTAAAATGTAAGCTTTTTCTTTTTTTTTCTTTCTTTTTTTTTTTCTTTAACATGATTTCAATATTGCATTTATCACCATCACAATACACTGCTAGATAGTTCATGATTTCACACACTGGCTTGCCACATATTTAAAATCATTGCTGAAATAGCACTGACCGGCTTGTGCAAACATACAGCGTCACATGTTAGTTGTTTTCTATTAATCTTCACCTCGAGCTTTTGCGTATATAGCTGATTTATTAAGAAATGGTTACAGAATAATGATGAGGGTGGGTAATTAGTAACCAGCCAAAGGAGGAACCCTCTTTAAAAATCGCCTCAGAAGCCAGTCTGCAGTGAGGGACAGGCTGAGAAAGGAAGATTGGAGAACCACTGGATAATATCAAGTTTATATATAGCAATTGCATGGATATGTTGTTAACAGTATGGATATATTGTCAGGTAAAGTGGTATGATTGTAATTAGTTAGTTGATTGTACTTGTGCATGTGGCAAAAAGGACAAAAATATAAATTCAAGGTTGTACATGACATTTGGGACTAGGATACTGCAATGTGCTTTTAACACTTTGTATAGTCTTTGTATGCATGACCTCCTGTGATGGTAAAATATAAACTGAATAACTGTAAACTAATTTTGGGTGTTTCTGGGCAATTTTAGAATCTGTTAATAATGGAGACTTACTGCAAAAGCCGGTCAACCTCAGCTCTTAGCTTGGCAGCCTCTTCTGGATCTAATTTGTCCAGCTCTCTGAAAATAGGTGGCGGGTAGTCCATTTCACCCTCCTCCGAGCTCTCCCCATCGCCCCTCTCTGCCTTCTCGGCTCCACCACTGTTGCTCAGCCTGTCCCGCTCTAGCTCCCCCACAGCTTGGATCAAGACCTCCCGGGATAGTCCAGATCCCAACAAGGCCCAGACTAGCTGTTCTTGAAGTGCGGTCAGTTGGTTTCTCCTTGGTGTCCTGTCTTCTGCGTCCATTGCTAGGAAGATAGATCCCGCTACTGCAAACAAACACAGCTAAACCAACCCAGCAGACTGCCCTGGCCTCAGTACACCTGTAGCCCTTTTCTAACTAAAATTTCATGGTATGCTTTAATTTTCTTGAGTATTTCCTCTTGATGTGTCCTGAGCTGCCTAGTTTTTAGCTCTCCACCTGCTGTTTTGCTTTTCAAAGGTCAATTTTTTCTTGTTTGAACCTCCTCTACACCCCCTCCTCCTTACACAGGCCCGGTGAACTTTGTCCCTGCTCTCTCAAGCCCCAGCAGCGACCAAAGTGCATTTTAAACACCAATAAATGACAAACTTGGCAGCTGAGGTGGCAACAGCTTACTTACATTTCAACTCAAAGTTTGAACCCAGAAAAAATAAAGCTAATTTACTGCTTATCACTATGTTTGGATTTGTAACTGCACTTCCTACCTATAAAAACTTTTCTTCAACTTAACAATGTTGAAATGGCAATTTTGAACAAATGCATACAATCACTGACCATATATGATCAAAGAAAGAGTCCAAGTGGAACTCAACTTCCCCTTCTCATTGTTGATGCCACAAGAGGGCACTGCTGTGTCATCCATCAGTACAGTGTAACCTGGAGGCTATCATAGAGCCTGGTCCAACATGATGTGACCCTCTTGGTTGTTTACTTTTGGCTACAATAAATTAATATTGTAATTATATTCAACAGGCTACAAGTCTTAATTTAACATCTAACATCTATGTTTTGTTTTTAGAATTTGACACTTATTTCAATCTCTTTCAAAATGTAAGTGTATACACAACTGTATATGTATACATTACATTTTATGTCCTATGGGGGATGTTACATGTGTTGATGTTACTTACTAATTAAACAGCAGTTCATCACTTTGAAACATTAAATAACTGTCCTCTGTCTATCTGTCCTTGCTGTCAAAAGGAGCACAACATTTGTTTTTCTTAAAAACAACTGTTGTGAATTGTATTTCTACTTTTACTTATTTGAGTTATGAGTCTCTTGTGTATATGTTACAAAAAGATATGGAATCTTTCAACCTTTATCAAAATGTCTTCCTTCTGTTTATTTCTATTATAGGTGTCTCTCTTGCTCTTTGCTGGAAATGTTGGTTTTCAGATTTGGCAGTAAAAAAAGGTTGGTGGTAGGAAGTAGCTACATGGGAAAGAAAAGTGGTAAGACCTTTGAGAGTTAATGTAGTCCTTTATCTTTCAGTTTCTTTCAGTGTAAAACGCTCACTTTCTCAACTGGGAGCACCTTATACCATTCTCAGGTTCAGCCTATCAGCACCTTTTTGTGTGGGGCTCCTGTTACCCCACCCCACCCTTGGGAAGATGGCATTATACTGTATTTGGAAAGGGTAACAGAGCTCCCTCTATCTCCCTGAGACATGCTACTGACCTGTAATTAAGTCCCATTGTACTATTCAGGGGGAAACTCCTCACCAAACGGACAGAGGGCAATGTGTAGTGTGTGTGCGGATTTCCATTAGTTCATTTAGGACTGTGACTAATTCTGCACCACACAAGCTGGCTTTATCAAAAGGGACCACATGGAGCCTGTGGGCTAAAGAAAGTAGATTTTTTTGAAGATAACATGAACTTTTCTGCTAAAGTAAATTTTGAAATAATAATAATAATAATAATACATTGTAATTCTAATTATCACAGTATTAGTTGAAACTATTAATGTAGCAGTACAGTAGAGTAATAGTAATACTACAAAAAGTTTATGAAAGTTGTCTTAGAATTCGTGAGTGTAGCTCTGCATGCAGAACAATGAAGTGGCAATTCATCTATAGTATTCAATATTTAATACCAATAATATAATATCAGTCCACTTTTATAAATAAGACTGTATTGCACTTAGAGGTCAGCATTATATTGAATTATCTATTATACTGTGAATGTTGTTTTGAATATATGTAAGATTAGAATTATTAGGTTTATTATTTAATTAAATGAGAATATCAAATGAACTATAGCCATATGACTGCACCACTGTTAAAAGCCAGAGAGAAAGAGAGAAGTCAGCCAATACATGCAAACGGCAACTTTACCTATTTCTAATACTTCAGTAATATTATTTTGTGAGTACTGGTAGCTCTTTTACAACTGGCAAAGATCGATTGAGCTTGAGATACAGCCCACACTGGCTACTTCTCATTGCTGATCCCATGCTGGCACTTTGTATCACTGAGTTCACACTCCTGGCTCCGTCTCTGTCTCGGACCAGTGCCCTCCCCGCTCTGCACACATACATCGCCCCATTCAGCCCCATTGATCATGCATGCAGAAATTTAACACACCCCTTAATTCCTGTCCAAATAGCCCCCTGTCCCACTTCCAGAGCTGTGGTTGTTCCACTACAGAGAGGAGACCAAGGCTGAACACTGCTGTTCTCAACAGATCACTGCTCAGTGACAGAAAACCAAATACAAAAATACAAAAAAGAGTGTATTTAGATTGTCAGTATCAAGAAAGCCAATAATATACAACTTAAACTTAGAACTTGGGATACCAGAGTCATATTTTATGACAAAAACAAAATCACTCAAAAAAGTAAAAGTAATATTTTCAACATTGATTCAATGTTGTATTCACTACCAATACACTGAGAAAACATTCCAGCATTCCTTTCATCTTAATTGTTAATACATTTATGGTATGTTAAGTTAATTACGAGAGAACTAACTCCACCAGAAACGGCAGCCATTCATTGCAACTTCAGTTTGGGCACCTGTTACTCTTCAAATAATCCTATAATCTCCCAATTTTATGGTATAATTTACTTAGACATTAAAAGGGTTTTACTTAAACTTTGAGTATGTGGCACTTTGGAGCACTACCATTTTAAACAAGCTAAATGTTAAATCTGCCATTGTCTTTGTCTTAAAATACTCCTGCACTGATTTGCATTGGTTACTTGGTCACATGTTGAGTCAGTGTTGAGAAGATTAGCTGGAGCTGGCTTTAGCTCTAATTAAATACTTAAAACTAAGCAATGAATGAACAGCACACAAATGTGTGCGGTGCCCCAGTGTCGTGTACATAAGCAGGTTTGAAAAAAGATGTAGGGAGACGGACAAAAGAATTGTTGATGGTAATGTCCATATGGTTACAAGTAAATATGCTTGAGATTACAATGAGATTACAAACATACTAAATGCAATACAAAACATATAGCAATATTGCTTAAAGTTAAATACGCAAAGAAAAGTTATTCAAACACATCATGTATGTTTTTTTTAAACATAATAATATTAAAACATATATTTGTTACTGACTCTTAATCTTGTACATGTATATACAATACAATATATAATATTATTGGAATAATTTAAAGTCTTAAAATGCAAATTAGAAATAGATATTTAAAGTCAACTCCTGCCTCGTAAACTTTTGAAACTTTTTGAAACTTTTTGTGGGAGTTTGGCAGGAAGTGAGACCGTGTGTGTTTCAAAATAAAAGCTGAAATTTGACTGCAATATTAAATGATCATGGCTAGAAACCAGAGGGTCATTGCTCACACTGTAGCACACTAATACAGCAATATGGCTGGTGTCGTGTGGCAGGATTTCTGTGGAGACCAGTGGTGGAGACTATAAAGTGAGATTTGCGTACCAGACAAGCCCTCGAAATATGCATAGGCAAAGTAAGTTTCAACATCACAGCAAAGCAAAGCCTTATATGGTACTTGGCCTATGGGTTCCCAAATCATTCAGCCAAAGTAGAAGTTGGTTTATTGGCAAAAAATGTTTCTCTGCTTAAATGTAGTCTGTTTTTCACGTGGAAACTTTTTCTACAATACTACATCCATTACCAATGAGCCTATTTAATGTGAACTCATAGGACGGAAGTTGTGTGCGGTCTCTCGTAGACGCACTGCTGTCTTGACGCAGGGGGCGCGCGTGGTTCGCCAGGATGGACGCATCGCAGAGGCGGCGGTGGGGATTGAAAGAGAAGCGGGAGGAGGAGGAGGAGGAGGAGTCTGTCCCAGGCTGCATCTGGCCTTCTGCTCCCCTCTCTGTCACCCCGGGCCAAAGCACAGGGCCAAACCCGCCCCACTCCAGTCAGTCTCTGCCTGCTCTCCCACTCGGCCCGCCGGACACAGCAGCGCCCACACAGCGAGCACTCCGACATGGACAATGAAGGGAGCCAGAGCAGCCTGTCCAGCACGGACTCACCTCACGACCCCTGGTGACTACAAAACTTTTAACTTTTACACTTCTTTCATACTTTTTACGCACTCCACTTAACGGAGCTTACAAACAGAGCCGGTATTCTGCGCTCGTCTCTGGTCCGTCGCCAGGGCAGCGCACACCTCCATAAGGCAGCCACTCATGAATCAAAGATGATACGCAACTCTCAAACACATTTTTCCATTTTAACCTCAGGCAGACTTCATTGAAATGACGTTTTCTTTATTTTTCCCACAGCAAAATGTTCATAGGTGGACTGAGCTGGCAGACAACACAAGGTAAGACTTTCCACCACTTCCCATAGACGGACACTATGCCTCTACGTCTTAAAAATCCTGGCACTGACTACAAGGAGCCAATAGAAGAATTTTGAATCACGACTTGTTAATATTTGCTCAAGATTTAAAACTTTTTTATTTTGAATATTTTGAAAGTTGGATTGAGTAGGCTTCTTTTGCTGCTACTTTACATAATTAAGTTGTTGGGAAGTGTATAGGCTACTAGTATGTATGTGTATGTGTATGTATATATATATATATATATATATATATATATATATATATATATATATATACACATATATATATATAATGTGTGTGTGTGTGTTTCTAAATGTTCATTAAGGCATTACAGATGTCTAAAAAAAAAAGTAAATTAATCTTGATGAAATTTAACACTTTTCTATTGACTATTATATAGTCGGTCTCTTCTTACAATAGAGTAGTTTCTGAAGGACAACTTGTTAATATTTGTTAGACATTTCAAAAGCGTAGTTAAAGTATGTTGGTGGAAATTGTGGCAATAAGAAAAAAAAGGCTCAGTAGCCTCAATACCACATGTGTTTTATGAAATATCAAATAACTTGTTTATAAGTTGAATAAATATTCATAGCTAAAACATTAACCTGTTTCTCTTTTTCTCACTCAGAGGGGCTGAAGGAGTACTTTTGCAAGTACGGAGAGGTGAAGGAGTGTATGGTGATGCGAGATCCAGTTACTAAGCGCTCGAGGTGAGCCGCTCTTACACTGAGCCGCTGCTATACTCAAAGTTCATCTACTTATAACATCACAGTATTTTTATTTATACTGTTCTCTTTATGTCTACAGAGGGTTTGGATTCGTCACCTTTGTTGATCAAGCTGGCGTGGATAAAGTTTTGGCCCAAAGTAGACACGAGCTGGACTCAAAAACAGTGAGTTCTCTGTATTTACTTCCACCAACAACTAATCCCTTTGCTCGGTGTTTGATTAGTGGATTTTACAATAATCCTTTGGAGATGTGGGTAACTACTGCTGCTGCTACATTTTTACATGTTTACGGAGTTTCCACTTTGCTGAGTTACTCCTCAAAGCATGTCGTGTTTGTCACTAGTACAAGGGCTCCTGCATTTGGTATGATGCCACAATGGATACTTGCACTAGCCGCAGTAGCAAGACCTCTTCTTCTTTTACTCTCAAACAAGCCTGAAATTTCCCCTAGAAACAGATTCACTGCCCAACTTTGATTTGCTCCTACGAAAGGTGAGCCATAGTTTCTAGCAGTGTCTAGTTTTGTCCCAAGGGTATAATGACCCAAAAAGGAGTTTCAGTCAGGAACAAACACATGCAACTTGAAACCTTGTTGGTGTCATAGAGAAACCAACAAACTTATTTTCTTCCAACATTCTATTGAATTAATGAACACATTGAGATGGTTGCACCTGTGCGAATAGCCAGTGAAAAATCTATTAATCGTCAGGTGTTATAGATTGTGATTTCGAGTGTGTGTTCTCGTGTGTGTGTCTTTTTGTCAGTAATGAATTGTGGGTTGGTCTGGGAACAATGCTGCGCGTTGGTAGCCATAGGGACCAGTGCCCCCGCCTCTCTCCTCAGTGGGACGGCTGCAAGTAACTCACTGTATTGAAATTAAGGGGAGTCTAATTCTTTTTACCCTGCTTTTGTGCTCTGAGCGATGCACCTTCTTTTTTGGGGAGAAGATTAGTGATCAAGTAGAGCCACAACCGGAAATTGTGTTTTTTTTTTTTCCTGTTTTCAAACTTTTCACAGGTAACTAGATTTAACTAAACCAGTCAAAACAGGACTAAACTTACCTAAACTAGGTCTAAATCAGAACTAAACCTTAGATGAAAAACTTTTCTAGACTAACAAAACAGCATATGACACGCACAATGATAAATGAGCTTTAATTTACAGCTGAAATGATTTAGTCCACATGGCTTTTTGAAAGACAAATATTTTCTTACTTGGCACTTGACTTGAAGAGTTTGAGAATCACTAAACCACAATGCACTAAGTAGTTGCCAAGGAAATAGCCACATCACAGAAAATCTCCAAACTGTATTTTTGTGTTTTGCCACGGTTCCCCAGTGCCCTACTGTTATAGTGTCAGTTGCAGGCACAACAGCTATGACAAGTGGCATCATCATGGTTGGACGCCACTAACTCACCATGGGGTTGGTTTCCATCGCAACCCCCCCTCCTCAGCTGAAGAATGGCTCTGTCACAAAGACAAAAAACAGATAGACAATGCACATCAGTTACTATAATTTCTTGGATATCACAATTCATGAGAGCCAGAACAGTGATTTGGGGAAAGGAAATAAGTCAAGCTAGTTATATTAATAACCATCAAGATTTTGAAAACATCAAGAAATTGTTTACTGGCTATATATAATCTTCCCTCTCAACTTGTGGATGTGTCAGGTCTACAGAGCGGCTCAGACTGGCGGGCCCCTTGTGGCCTGATGCTGGGCGTGTCTGAGTGTGTGTGTTTTTGGCATGTAGAGCTTTCGGATGGTGAGTTGAGTAGGTCTTTTACAGCCCCCCCTCCTCCTCACCCTCTCCCTCACCTCCCCCCTCACTTCTGCAGACAGGTTATCCAGTTAGAAAAGGGAGAGAAAAGTTCTCCAGTGGCAACAGAAAGAATGTGCCATGCTGTGACCGACTGAAGCAGTGGAATTAACACAGCTTTGCACAGCCGAGTGACCAGAGAGCAAATACAGTGGAATTTATTGGGACTTGTCGTGTTGAAGGACAGATGCGGGGTGCTTTTGACCACTATAGGAAAGCAGGTTTTTACCGTGATTTATGTAATGGCCGCACTGTTAGTTAGTTACCCCTCTGGGTAGCCCTCCTGGTTTCCTGCTATCTGTAAAGCCAGTGACAGCCGATGCAAAATACACCTTTTTGTGGGACAAGGTTTCCATTGAAGTGTAGCTCCAAGGTGTTCAGTGAAGAAGTGCACTACACAAACCTTTTTAATAAGGGCTTGACATAAACGCATTAGCTCACCATCCACTCCAAGCTTACGTTAAAAGTTAGCAGCCGTTTAAGAGTTCCCTTGGCTACAGTTTAGATAGTGAAATTAAACAACAAATGGTGCAGTCATATGGTGGCAGAGTGGTTAGCCAGGTAGATTAATATTACCAAATTGCCTGTGAATGTGAGAGTGAATGATTGTCTATTTGTATGTCTCTGTCAGCCCTTTGATTAGATGTTTATTGAACTCTTAGTTATTCATTCTGTCAGTACAAATATTTTTTCTTTTCAATTATCATCTACTAAATTTAATGGATTCAACCAACATAAAGTGTTTTTGTTTTTTTTATTTATTTTAAAGCAAAGTGTCTAGTGTGGTCTCTATCCAAACCCTGATCATCAGACCTTATGGTGCATTTGTGGATTTGTTAACCGCTTCCTGTCCGGACGATGGGGGCTGTTCATAGCACCGTTAACCCGGTCTGTGATTAGGATGGCACTCCGAACTAATAGGATTGCAGTCAACGAGCTTGGGTTTTCCTCTTAGAGAAGTTAACTGAGTCGAGTAAAGTGTGATCAAGGCAGTGACAGGCAGTGCACTCGGCCAACTGTTGCATACCGTGGATGTAGCGCTCAAAGGGGATTGGCCTGATTTCATAAAGCTCTATTGGAATTACGTCCGTGATGGCCTTATACTGCTACAGGCCTTCTCACATGCCTCTGTAACCTGTAACTATTCACACTAGGTTTAGAGGTGGGTGGCCATATTGTAATTGTGTATGGATGTATGTACAAATTGCATTACTTAGGCAAATAAATTCTCAAGTTTTTGTATTGGTATAGTCAGACTAGCGGTAACATCCATAAAAAGCATTTTTATACACTAAATTAAGGCAAGCTAAACTGTCAACATAATTGTAATGCATAAAAAATAAAAACATGAAAAAATCTAAGTTAAAGTAGTGTAAGTTGATATAACCACTAACTATCCACCTCTGACTTTGTTAAACTTTTTTTGCGAAAATACCAGCCCTTTTCTTGCTCACTCATGTTTAATGTGCACGTGTCCCTGTCCTGGGACGCGCTGTGTGCCGCCCTCTGTTGATCTTGTTTGTTTGTGTGTGTGTCTGTTTGTTTTCCGAATGTGCAGGAGTGTTGGACCTCAGGCGGGTTGGTGACCGGAGGTGACTATCAGAGAGTAGTCTTTAGCTCCATATACTAGAAACTAAACAAGTAGAAACTGCATCTGATCCTCAAGTCTTTAGCCTAGTCTTCTCACTCTGCTACTTTCTAGACCAACAAATGATTCAAAAACATAATCTACATCAGTGATGTAAAAGGTTTTATTCAAGTAGAAGCTCTAGGTAAACGCATGCAGTTTACCATAGAGGCTGTGTAGATCTTCATAGTAGTTCCTCTCATGGTTTTGGACTAATCTTAGCGCTGGACTGTCTCACCATCTGTTAGTGTAACCGCAGTACAGTGTGGAGTAGTCTAGTTGTTTTCTAGCTCTATTAGATCAGTATAGACTAATATAGTGGTCTTGAATTACAATTTTACAGCCTGTCTTTGATTGCATCCTCGTGGCATGGTGTGGCTCTCTCTCCAATCTCTTAATCTTGGGGACTTATAGTGGGTTTGGAGAGTTTTCTTTTAGTAGTATGTTCTAGTTAGTACTTCTAAAAAAACTCTTGTGTGGAGACACAAGACAGAGGACAGTCCACAACACAGGTATGGGAAGTCTTGTAAAAAGGCTGCATGGTTTCACAATGTTTTGGGGTAGTTGAAGTTTTGACACGTTATGTGCTACATGTAAGAATTCATTGGTGAACAATACATAATGACCACCTGTTAAAACTTAAACTGAATGGAGCAAAACTAAATGATTGCTTAAATTGTCTAATATCATATCTACATCTACAGGGGCATTACACTTTTGCTCCATAAAAGAAATAATGTCTTCTTTCCCAATATGGTCTCTCCAGAACTGTTTTCTTAAACTATTTAGTCTTGAGCTAAAATAACATCTATTAAAATGAACAGTCAACATATTTGCTCCTAGCAGACAGGAAAATGCTAGTAAAGCAAAACTTTATTAAGAGTGAATTTCTTCTTTTATTGAAAACGGTCAGCTGCAATTCAAAATTAGTAAAATAATGGTATATTTAAAATTGTCATTACTTAATTAAGGACAGAGGGTAGGCTGTCACAAACTAAAAAGCAGGAGGCTGCTGAGTGAGTGATTGACAACTCTGTGCTCCTTTCTGCCTCTCTCTACTCCCTCTCTCTCTGTGTTTCTCTATGGGCTCTGGTTGCGGAGGTGAGCAGTGTTCGTGATTGTATAGAGCTTGTGTGAGATTCCTGCAGATCACATGTCGCACTGTAGTGACGAAGAAGGCAAAGGTTGAACGGGACATTCTACCGGTCAATCCACCTGCGACCACAGCCACACACTTAACCTGTGTGTTATTACAATAATAGATGGACTCCGAGAGGCACTTCAAAGGATAATGTTCAAGATGTCAAAAAAGACATTTTAAATCACAAAATGAACAAAAACAAACTAAACTATGTAGAGCTTACAATGAAAATCGCAATACAACTGACGTGTATTGTTTATGCCAATATTCAGCCTGGATGACTTGAGTCTGTTAGGGTAGCTTGCATAAAACACATTCAAAATTACAATGGAAAAGACAGCACACCCTTCTGCAGATGACAAAGCCACATGCTGCAAATATATTCCAATTTGAGGATTCAAATCCATATAGTAATTTCAGCGGTGTTGTCCTAGTCATTCAGTTGATTCAGATGATTTATTCAAATACTATAAAATTAAATATTATTTTTTATTTAGCATCCAGTCTCAAAGCAGAGAAATGTATATTTTATATTTTTTGGTCTTAAAGTAGTAAAATTCTGTGTAGTAGGTTGCCAATGTACATTACATGTATCTTCTCTTTTTATTTCCTCTTCTAGATTGACCCAAAGGTTGCATTCCCTCGCAGAGCCCAGCCTAAGGTGAGTTTCTTATATTGTTTGTGTACAGTGTTTGTTAGTGTTCACTGCCTTATCTGGGCTAATACCTTGTAATCTGATGAATCTGAGCTATACTGGCATCACGCTACTGTTATGTGATCATGGGTCAAACAAAAACTCACAACTTTAGGGGTTTCTGGTATTGTTGAACCTCAACGAAAATGCAGGTATCATATTTCAGGAATGCATTGTCCAGAGTTGAGATTGGTTTGGGTCTCTTTTTAAAAGCATGGGAAAACCAGTTGCACAATGTAAAAACCTAAAAAACATTCTGAAGAAGACCTCTCAAATAGACTGCTTTACGTAACCATCACCTGCCAAGTATCAGAAAAGGAGAATTGTTGACGTAAATTGTTTTTTCGTATTGGAAATTGTACATACAAACTTTGTTTTCTAGAGGATAATAAAATCACTGTAATGTTGAAATATATATTCTGGTAAATGATATTGAGAATGTGTTTAAGGCTTTGATCTCATGTTGCGTTTTGTTTTTAGTTAGTGACTCGAACCAAGAAGATTTTTGTGGGTGGACTGTCTGTGAACACTACCATAGAAGATGTCAAGCAGTACTTTGACCAATTTGGGAAGGTAAGACTAATTTAAATCTTTTCTATTTTTTCGGCTATTCACAACTAGAGAAATAAGAACCATGTTATCCCAAAGTCTGATTTAAACTAGTACTTGAAAGACATTCAAAATCACTCCCTTCATTGCTTTATCTCATGCATAGGTAAGATTTTGCATACTATGTAAAATCGTATCCATCTCTAGGAAACTACAGACTGCACCTGCAAAGTAGCTGGTTCAGGAAGCTGGCCCAACCTTCATTTGTTTTGAATAATTTTCTCACATCTCCTAGTGACTGGTACTATTTGAATTGCTACTTAAATATTAATAAGGTATTTTGTTTTGAATATCAAAAACTTTTATTTAGTTCAAGAGTTTATCTTGTTACATCTCTAACCAACTACACACAACAGGTAGATCACAGAGGAACAAATGTGTTTTAAGGAGATAAACCTAGAGCACTTTTAAGGAAGTGTGGTGCTTTTGAGACATGAGAGAGAAAAGACTTAAAGAGAAGGGAAAAATACTGAGTCTGAGGCTGTAGGAGGTCCAGACCGAAGCAGCACAGCCAGCATAAGCAGCAGGCACAGTGAAGGGGGGACTGAGAGGGGACCGTCCTGTGCAGAATGAGGAGTAGGAGGAGGAAAAGAGGGGGTTGAAAAGTTTTGTGTAGTGATGGTTTGAGGAAGGAGGAGGGATTATCAGAATCTGAATTAATCTGATGTAACAGCTGCTCCGACCCACGGCCCCCCTCCTGCACCCCCCTTACACCCCCTGGACCCGTTACCGTGGCGACCTGGCCTGCCCATTGTCCCAGAGTAATTCTGCGGGAAAAGGGTTTTGTTCTCCAGGAGGAGGGATGCCTACTGCTCCCGGGGCGTTTGCATGTGCCTTTGTATGTGTGGGGGTCACTTCAGGAGTTTAGCATCAACTTAAAAAATCAACCAAAAACAAAACTTTTTGTTTTGAGATGAAGTAGTAGCTACAGATACAGTCTCTTACAGTTTAGAGTTAAGATTACATACTTTTAAATACAACATTTTGTTTAGGACAAGTTCAATTCCTGAGTGATTTTGTGAATAAAAAATATTTTCTTCTTCTACCACTACTACTTAACATTTTAAATAACAACTTACTTGCAAACTTTGGCAATGTTCTCAGCTTCTTGGCATCTAAGTTTGAAATTACTATTTAGGTTGTTTGCAAAAATAAACCAAAAATACAGAAACGTAATAGAAATTTTGTCACAAATTGAATGTATTTTAATTGTGTCGAGCAAAGCACAAAAGTTTGCCTAAGTTCTCATTAGCAGCTGAGTTTGAAGAGACCAACGAATAATGATGGATCCACAAAAGAATCGACAGGAGAGAGAGGGAGAGGGGCAAGAGAACTGGGGCAAAGACGGGGTGTGGGGGACCATTATGCTTCTGTACAAAGCTTGGCAAATGTTTAGTTAGTTTGGCCACTATTTATTGGTGGAAATGCCTGCTGCTTTGAAGACAGAAATCTAGTATCTGTTCAGCTTCGATTTTGAGGCAAAAACATATATCAAAGGTTTCAATTAGTAATGTAAATTTGAAGTTTGAACAGAAAGTTTTCAAAGTTAGAAGCTAAGTTTGTGTTAAGTTTGTGTTCTTGTGTTACTTCTCTTTGTATAAGTTGAGAAGACATTGTGTTGAACAGTACTGAACATGAAGCAATTTCTGTTGAAACTTACTGAACATTTCAACAGGTAGCCTTATCTGTTGCCTTATAAACAGTTTTACTTTTGCACATTGGAGTCCTGTTGTAAATGCAGCTTCTTCTGACTAACACTGTCCACATTATACATTTTCACTGGCTATATAGTTTGGGCCTTAAGCTTCCCCTTTGCTCCCCGCTCAATCATAACATCTAGATGAGTTTTGCCAAGAGAGATATCGAGGGATAGTTGGTGAAATGTGGGCTCCAACCATCCATGGAAGTTCCTGATTAGACTGCCTCACTGGATCTTTTGTGCCCCGCCGTGGTGCGAACAAAGGGGCGCGGAGAGGGATGGGCCTGGCATAACAGGGAAGATGAGAGCTGGAAAAGAAAGGATAAGAGGGAATATTGTCCTGCCGAGCGACATTAAAACTCTCAACCTTTGAAATATGGAGCAGTGAAGTGCAATTAAGGCTGTTGTACATGTGTTTAATGTTTACAGTGGGCATTGTTCAACTGTTTTTGATCACATAGAATCCATTGTATTGAAGGTGTGTGCTTAACGTGCTACATCTTGTTTGCTGGAAGTAGGATGATAATAACACAGGAGGTGAGGTTGTACAATTCCCTACTTGAAAGATGGAATTAAAAGTTATGAACCAAGTTATTTCTCAAGTATTTTATGACAACTACTATTACAACTAGTGCTAGTATGGTATCTACTTGACTGTTAAGTAATACCATTTATTTTAAAAAATTACAATTTAACAAGCACATTATAAAGTGATTTAATGCTAATGCCAAATTTAAAACTAATATATATGTACTTCATATATACATATATTACTACTTATACTACTGTTCCTACTATTATGACGGCTTTTATTGTTTCTGCTACTGTTATTTTTACTGCTATAGGCTACAAAAAGATTTTCCAAATTTTCATGCGTTAAACTTTTTGTGGTGTGCCTCCTAAAAATATAAATTCTTCATTTGAAAAATGGCAGTAAACTATTATTAATCTATTAAAAGTTCTTAGTATTTAAAATTACCGCTATTACAACTAGTGCTACTACTGTATCTACTTACCTACTACCAGCACTTAATATAGCAGTTTAATGCTATTACCAATCTAAAACTACTGCCATAACCACAAGAATTACTACAATTATTTCTCCTGCTAGAACTGCTTTTACCTTTTTCTGCTAGATACTAGATTTTCCAAGAGTAAAGTTTGAGATTTTGTAGTATGCCCCCCAGAAATTCTCAATTGTCTTAGATCATATTGCCATGTAACACTCTTGTTTTCTCTTGTTGATTGACCTTAGATCTCAAATGTTTGCTGCTTATCAAATTCCACCAATAACATACTAAAGTAGAGCAGTTGGCCAGCGATGTGCATGAGTCAGGCCATGAGGAGCTGGTGACTTCAGGTCCTCTTTCACAGACTGACACTCTTGAATAACCTTTGACCTTTCTGTAGGCAAACTGCCCTTGGGGGTCCACTCACACACGCAAATGCACCCCTCTCTGTGGGACTATGACAAATTATTCAGTGGAGCATACCCACCACGGCTGCCAGTAAACTTATTATAGACCCAGATAGGACAGATTCATTTACCAAATGTTTATCTGGACCCTAGACACATGCAGTATAAATGTGTGAGCAACAAAGTTTGGTGAATGAGAAGGGCATTTTAACATTAAACTATATTGTACTCTTATTATTCAACAGTAATAGACAAATAACAGACAAAACAACCTCTTATTATTCTTATTATTGTCCTCTTATTCTTGCCTGTAGTTTAACTCTAGTTGTGTACTGGTATAGTCTCAAATCAGTCTTTAGACCTGGTCTTTGGAACTTCCATGATCCGAGTAGATCAAAATAATCTTATAATTATAATTTCTTCTGTCTATACACATTCTTGTATTTAAATATTGCCCACCCAACTGGAAAAAAACATTCATTTTAAAATACAAATAATTAGAATTTATTGTTATTAAGTTAAATAGTACTTTTGAGGTTGTTTGTACTTTATATGGGGTCTTACCAATAGCACTTTATTTTTACATTTCAAATTGCTTCAAACTTGCACATATTATATCACTGTTTTCCTAATATCATGTAACTCTCACATGCACACAGCCAGATAGACACCTGTGTTAATGCTCCATAAAGAGAAAAGGCCATGCTGTGGAAAGAGAGTGAGAGAAAGAGAGAGAGGTCAAATGGAGAAGAGGAGGAGGAATTATGGCCGACTGTGCCAACAAACAAAGCCTGCAGGCCTCCTTTGTTCTGCTTAGGCCTTTTGTCTCTCGCTCTCCTCCCTCTCCACTTTGACCCAGTACTCCTGCCTCTTCTTGCTGTTACTTACTTACAGGACTTTGAGTGCTCTCATTCACCAATCCACCTGTCGCTATTTCTCTCGATATCAGTTCCCCCTCTCATCGAGTTTCCACCTGCGCTGGATTCACCTTTCTCAAATATGACTGGCTACTTTCTCCCTCACTCACTCTTTTCTTCTTATGCGGTGTGTAGGCTTTGTCCCATTCACTCTCTCACTATTCATAAACCATATTTGATGTTGGCCCAGGCCTGTTGGTTGTAAGAGGGACTTTTTGTAGTGTTGCCATGGGAATGTCAAACTTTGGACTGGGACAGAGAGAAGGGGAGGGCTTATGTGCTTTCTGTGAGAAAGATTTTGACTGAGCATTTCAGTGGCAACTTACAATCTCAACACTCATTGAGTGCAACCACTTGTGATCGGTCAGTTGTTCTCCAACTGTGATGCAGGTGCATGAAGTGGTATTGAAGTGTTCGAGTGATTTTGAATGTAGTTTTATTCCTTTAAGTTTAGAATTTGATCTGGCTTTGTTATAGTGAAATTCCAGTTATAGCTGAAATGTTTTAGTTCTTGGTTTAGAAAAGGAAAAAAAAAGTTTTTACTGTATTGCTTCATTTGCACTCCAAGTTTCAGTTTAGTTTAGACCAGTTTTATACCCAATTCAGACCGGGCATATTCCAAATTTAGTCCTGGTTTAGTCTTCCTATAAAAGTGGAACTATAAAAGTGCTGGTACAACGTATGCAAAGATTAACAATCACTGTCACTGAGTACAGTATTCAACTCTTTCAAGTCATTGGCCCCTTATTTTCTTATAAAAAACCTGTCAAAGGTCCCCTGCGTTCCCCCCTCTCCCCCTCTCATGTCCATCTGTTGCTGAGCCTCCTGCAGAACTTGAGAAGGGCTGAGGTCAGGCAATATGCCGCGTGGCCAGAGAGATATCAGCGCCTAAAGCACTTTTATTTGTCTTCATTTTAGGTGGATGATGCCATGCTCATGTTCGACAAGACCACCAACAGACACAGAGGTGAGGCAACAGAGTACTTTGCTTGTGATGTTCACTTTATTTTATTTTTGCCCAAACTTATAACCTACTTACAATAAAAACAAACAAAACAAACAAAATAAAAAGCTGTAGGATCAAAGCAATGCAAAAGTAGAATACAAGTATGTTCTGTGTGTTTTAATAAAACCAAGGTTATATTGAAGTGAAATATATATTAAAAGAAGCAGCCAAATTATCAACCCAATATTATAGACAGAATTAATAAAAATGTAAAACAAAGGGAAAAAGAACAAGTCACAGGACCAGTCAGCCTAACTTACCTGTTTCAGGAAATGCTTGTTATAAATATTTTCAGTATTTTATATTTATATCTAAATGTGCTACTAGTCCTCACATTCAAAACTTCCATATATATAATAGGCATGGGATAGTATTCAAATTTGATGTCATGATTATCATAGCTAAATTGCTGTTAACGATTATATTATGATAATTAATAAAGTTGCTGACAGTTAAAAAGTTATGAATATAATTAAAATTTTATGAATAAGTTCCATATTTAATCAACTGTTATAGTGTTATACTTAAGAAAAAAGAATACTGATCTTGAAGCAACCATGATGGACAAGAATCTTTTTTCTACACATTCTGGTAATAAAATGGTGATTATCTTCGTTGGTGATTCTCATGATTATATAAAGTGCCCCATGAACTGTTATTGCCTATCATTTTTATCACGATTGTTTATTGTTCCTTCCTTATTATATAATACATATTTTACTTTAAAATTTTTTCCAATATGTGCCCCCTCACCATGTTTTATTTGACACTTTTGCACCTCCATCTGAATGTTCTCCAGCTCCTTCCTGTGCCCCATTGATCCAGCCCCCTGTTCCTCCCTCACCCCACAGGGCTCCTTCCTGTGGGCTGAGCTACAGCAGAAGAACAGGGCTAGTCTAATTAGCCAGTCCGTTAATCGGGATCAGAATAAAGCCTCCTTAAGCACCTCCTCTGCGTCCTGGGACTGATCGATTATGACAGGCTACAGGCTTTGCCCCGGCCTTCTGGTCCAGGACGAGAACTTGTTTCTGAAGGGGGAAGGGAGGAGGGCAAAACCTGTTAAGACGCTATTACAGTGCTGATTACTGGAGACTATTGGCTGAACAAGTGCATACTGTACCAAGGTTCTACTGTCTTAAAGGTACACTCTGTAACTTGTTCAGTGGAGGGTTCATAACCCTCCACTGGACTTCGCTTGTCTCCATGCAGATGTGTAAAGAATATTCCACAGTATGGCCATAAATGTAAGAATCTCCATGGAGACTTGTAAGCTAAATTACAGTTCAGATTTGACCTCACTTACAGTAAGAATGAATGTTTTAAGATATTTTGAGCAATAAATAACACCTGTAGTTGCATAAATGCAAGACACATGAGTTTACTACCATGCTGTGAACAATTTAAACAAAAGCATTAACATTTCCATGCAGAGAGGTTGCAGACCCCCTCCAGAAAAGTTACACAATGCACCTTTAAGGCTTTGTAAAGTAAACCATTAAAACGTTTTTCATGTACCTTTATGCAGGTTTTGGTTTTGTGACATTTGAAAATGAAGATGTGGTGGAGAAAGTCTGTGAGATACACTTCCATGAAATCAACAATAAAATGGTGAGACTGAAAGTTAATACAAAAAACTACATGAACAAAATACACTAAGATCTAAGTTTTTAATTTATTTGTATTGAATAAATTTTATTAGCTAAATTTTTTATTTAGTTCTGGTATAGTCCTGGACCGTTTAGTCCTAATTGCCACATTTTAGGTTTAATCAGATATTGACTCGTTTTAGTCATTTATATTGGTAGTGGAATAAATAAATATTTTCTGGAGTGGTACTTGGAGAGAACCACTGACCTTTACACAAGTAGCAGTAAAACTAGACTTTATTTTCCTGATCAGCAGTGACATATATATGTTTTGTTATGTGATTGGCAACTGATGAATGTTTATCAAAGCATTAACTATTCAAAATATATGTTTTATAATCAATTTTCTCTCCTGCAACAGGTGGAGTGTAAGAAGGCTCAGCCCAAAGAGGTGATGTCCCCTACTGGCTCAGCTAGGGGGCGCTCTCGGGTGATGCCTTATGGAATGGATGCCTTCATGCTGGGAATTGGTATGCTTGGTAAGTAAATATTGATCAGGACAGGAAGTGTGCAACTGTGTTTTACCTGGATCTGATAATAACTGCACTAATGCCCCAGCTGTTCTAAATGTCACATAGACAGCATGGGGAGAAAGCTGACCATTTAACCTGGCTGCAAGTTAAAACACGTGTGTAACATGTAGTTAATCATGATGCAATTAGTATAATATTACATAATTATGGTAAGATATAGATCCCCACGTTGAAGAAATGTTTACTTTAAACTTATTGTGATGACATAAAATTCTTCAAAAGAACATTATAAAAGAATATTATAAAAAATCAATTCTAAATTTTATTAAACAATAATAGGTATACATGCATAGATCAATAATAGATATTAGAAATGTACTGTTGATCGTTAATTGTGTTAATTTTACAATAAGTTGAAAACAATTATCCCCCTCAGAAAGAAACCTGTTACATAATGTACTCTCGTAGCACCACCTACTGTTCAAAGGTGGAAGTGCAACATAACAGGACAAAAAAGTACAGCGCATCCAGTCATGCTATGACTTGTGCAATAGTAATAAATGTTAATGATACATCAATTACGTATATCCTTATCCTCTGAAAACTTTGTCTTAGTCACTCTCTCTAGTGATAACAAATGGTCAAAGACTGTACCTAGAAGTGAAGAATGTACAGTGTAGTTGTAGAGTTCTTTTTTCTTTTTCTTTGAAGTGATTACTTCTGAGGGTGAAGACAAAGAAGCTAACAGTTCAAAAATCCAGATCTCAGGTGTTGAATATCAAACACCTGCGTTTCCCATAATACAAATGTTCACCACTAGTGGGTGCTTTTGTTCATAAAACTAACAGAGCTGTCTTTTACTTCTTCAACCTCTACTGCTCTCTTTTTAGGTTACCCTGGTTTCCAGACAGCCACCTACACCAGTCGGAGCTATGCTGGCATCACACCCGGATACACGTACCAGTTTCCTGGTAAAATCATTATTACTTTTGTAACATGTACTCCAGTAAACATGGGTAGAACTAAGGTTTAGTACTGATATTTACATTTAGTGAATCAAAATAGTCTAGTTTAGCAACAATAGCATTACCGTAATTGCCATGCAAACATGCAACACCGGTGCTCTATTGTTAAAATGTATATAATGTGCATAGACTTAGACATAGACAGTCTAACAAGCCCAAAACATACACTCTAAATCATGATTGTCTTTTGAGGACTGGCCAACATATGGTCCACACTTATAGTTTAAACACTGAATACATTAGTGTACATTAGGATACACAGTCAATGTATTAACAACAACAAAATGAGTATGTATAGTAACATGACACTGTAAAGGCTGCTTGTAAACATCAGGGAGTGGATATGTCTTATTATTTTGTAGTTATTATAATAATTTAAAACTGTAAATGTACCATGTAACATTTAACGTCTGAATTCTTTACCCCTGGACCCTAGCATCTTTACCTCCCTCCCCCTCTCCTTCCTCTCCTCCTCTGTGCCTATGGTCATGTGGTATTGACGGTGTGCGTTTGGTGCCTCGGGAGAGTGGTGGTGTTGTGTGTCTTACAGCACTCTGATGTTTCTGTTTTAGAGTTCCACTTAGAGAGGACCCCCCTTCTGACTTCACCCCACCCCCCTGAGCTCACAGGTCAGTCAGTCCCTCCTCTGGACTTTACAAGCAGCATCATGTCACATCGCCATAGCATCCATCATTATCACCATTTCATTTGAACTCACATTTGGTTTGCATGTTTGTGTCAATCTGCCTTAGGTGTCATCCTAATTCATGAGTGTAGTTTTTACATTCTGAGAGCTCAGTGTAAAAAAGGTGCAAATGACATTTTGAGCAATGAGCTCAACAGTCCTGCCCACTTCTTGTTGCAGAACAAAATTTCCATTCATTTTTCCCGACTTTTTCAAAAATTCTAATATTAAGGGTCCAAAGGCATTGCAGAGTGTGTAACTTATATCTTAACTTATATTGTAACTTATACGGTAACTTATATCTATAACAGGGCGGATTTATGTCCAAAAAGTATATTTAAAATACAAGGTTTGGTGACTTTTTTTCAAACTCAATTTATAAAGTTTCAGAGTTAAATCAAATCATAGATCTTGTTGTTATCGTATCATAGCTGATTAGCCTGTAATCTTTTGTATTAACTTTTAATAGTAAATTTATTTTTCATAAAGTTTATGGGAAAAATAAATGGAAAATTTACTTCTGGAACTGGGGTGTGGGTAGTCACTGTTGAACTCCATAAAGTTACTCATATATTGAAAGTTTGTAATGACCAAGGACTATTCACTAAGAGGAAATAACTGCAAGACTCTGTTGGTGTTGATGCCAAAAGGACATAACTCAATTTTTATTATGATGACATTTGAACAGTTATATACTGAAAGGGTTCCTCAATTTTGTAGATTGGACAACAATACTATTTATATAATGAGGATTAAAATGCAATTCCACATCAACATGAATGTAGGTTTTCTTTATGTTTTTATTGTAGTTAGTTAGTTACTAATCTTTTTCATCTATTCTTTTTCCAGCCATTCCTCTGACGGCATATGGACCAATGGCAGCAGCAGCGGCCGCAGCAGTAGTTAGAGGTACAGTACTTGACAAAAATGACCTAAATACACTTGATTGCCGTGCTCACAGATAGTGGAACACTAAGCTTTTTGGTACAATATTGGTAATATTGGTAATATACATATACTGTTATATTTCATTCTAGGCTCCACCCCATCTCGTTCTGCTGGGTTTTTAGGTACGAGCAGCCCTGGGCCAATGGCAGAGCTGTACGGGACAGCCAGTCAGGAGTCCGCTGTGAGCAGTTACCTCAGCGCTGCTAGCCCTGCCCCGAGCACTGGATTCAGCCACAGTTTGGGGGTCAGTACAGCAGCTCCAACCATTTAGACTTTTATTGGCATCCGCAGTCAATTTGGTCAGTATTTATTTAGAAATATTAGATCTTTTAACTGCAGTGTTGTAGGACTTGTCTTTGGTCATGATGGGGATGGATAAGATTAGGCATGAGTGTTTTTGAGGGATAGCTCAGTTCTGGAGGCTGAATTGTTAGGCTATAGTTTTTGATGAAGACCAAAGAGGACATTTAATATGAACGTAAATTTACATAGTGTATGAGTTTGATAGAATAGAATAGAGTTTTGATGCAGTGTCCCAAAATTGTGCATCCATATTTGACAGTATCCTTGTATAGTTTTGGATGTAAGTGGTGGTGGTGGTGTCGTCGTCGTCGTCGTCCATAGGGGTTTGTCCCGGTGACAATGGTGGCTACAAATGTAATGATGTAAAGAGTTCTTCTACACCATAATATAATAAATTCTAATTTTGTTTGTTTCTGCAGGGCCCTTTGATTGCCACAGCCTTTACTAATGGATATCACTGAGAGAGTAAGTCAGTTTCAGGCAGTTTTTCCTTATAACCTTATCTTTTGTAGTTTTAATCCAGTTTTTGTCTTTTGTCTGCTGGGTAATAGACTGAGAACTGGAAGGAGATGATGCTGATCCACCCTGACTCCAGTCCCTTCCTTGGTCGGGACAGGGGACTCCGTACCCCTCTCTTCTCTGGTGTCTACACTGGTCGACACTGAAATAAATGCACCACCATTTTGTCAAGTCAATGCTGATTCTGTACTACATATTTTTTTCTTTGTTTCCTGTTTTATTTTAAGTGACATCTACTATAATGCTCTTCTGTTTTGGCTGCGTTTTTGGGTTGTTTGATCTTTGAATGTGATATTTGGAGGTCAAGAGATGTAATATGTTTTGAAAACTGTATATTTGTCAGTAGTTCATACTGAATCCTAACAACCATTGGTTATTAAAACTTTCACTTGACAGTGTGTCACAAAATGTATATCTTGGTAGGTTTTTAACAAAACTTGATTCACTAATAATGGTCTGAGAGAAAGGTCATTAGTCAGTTACATACAGGCCTATGAACGCTGTACAATTATGTAATATATTGTAAATATTCATTTGGGAGGGAGGGGATACACATTTTTGTGTTTGGGGTTTTGGGAAACTTTGAGGAATTTGAAATCCTCAAGTGTTGTAAACCGCGACTGTTACTTATCAAATTTTGAGGGGATGGGGGTCTATGTGATTGAAGGTGTGTAAGGAGCGAAAAAAACAAACTGTTTTCTTACTTTGTCATATTGTTTTAACTGTGATGCTTATGTGTTGATTGTGAATGAAGGACTTGGCCGCAGCTATTGTCAGTGTGATGACTCTGCAGCTGGTGAAGTATCGCTGGTGTTCACATTGGAGTCCAATGTGCCATGTGCTGTTTGTTTGGGGATGGTACCTCAATTACAAATGTGAAATTTTAATTGACTTTTTTAAATAATTATATTAACAACTCTGTCATTGTGGGTGTCAAAAAGTCTTATTAACTCATGTTTACTTGTCAAGACCCACAATCTTTCACTGCATATCCACTGGAAGTCACGACTGTAGCAAAGTGACAGCTTTTTAGACCAAATCAATCAAGTTCAGAGCTAAGACGTTGCACTGGTCTATCATGTAAATGTTAGCTTCAGAAAGCACCTCTTCTCCTGGGAAATACTTTTAGGATATTTTGATGCTGCCACAGTAGTTTACACTCCTGTTTTCACTGAGAAATAACAATCTTGTCAACACTGTAACATTTTATGATTTCGTATTTCCAGTTGTTTATTCCTTTGAACAAAAAACAACTTTTTAAAATTCCTAATAAATTATTTTAAAACATTCCACATACGTGTCCTGTCAACTCTGTAAATTTAACTTAATATCCAGTGCAGACTGCACAGTCCCTTTGGAACAGTTTGAGACTTTAAGAATTAATCAGTACTAAGAATCTAGGTAAATGTAATTTAACCTTCTCAGAAGTACTTTTTTATTTTTCTATCACGGTGCTAATCTTATACATGGTTCAATAAAAATGTCACAGGAAAATGTTTATTTTAAAACATAATACAATTAATATATATATATATATTTTTTTTTAATGATAATGATTTATTTATATGTTGAACACACCCTCCTCCCTTGCCTTAGCTTTGCTGGAGCATTTCAACCCAGTCAAGTCTGGTCATACTCCTTAGAGCTTCAAGGGAGGCAAAGCAGATGGCCCTAACCTCACAGGGCCCAGTCCATGGTGGTCCTCCCCCTCCGAGGAGCTACACATGCCTCACCATGATCACTTGCTTCTGCCCTGCATGGGCCATCAACATTGTGGCACTGGTCTTCTCTGTGATGGGGAGTTACTTTGCATGTGCAGGTAGAGTTTGTAATGGGCCATCTTTGTGAATACTTGTTTCCCAATTATGTTGCAAATTAAAGGTGATTGTTCCTTTGTCAAATTCTGAAATAGAATTTTGATCGAGTTAAAGGCTGATGTAAAAAAAGCAATTGTTCACTTAATGGTGTCTGAGTTGTACAAAGCGACACAGTGCTTGAAATTAATATCCTAATATAGAGGAATGCCAGTCATTTCCTTCAGTTATAAACTACATTTTTACATTTATTTGTGATATATTCAATAACTATACTGGGGCAAACTAAGGTTAGCAGTGTCACTTAAGTTAAAAAGGTGTGGAGCAGAAATCAAAGCTCCAGCAGCTGCTGTAGCTGTGAGTAACTGGACGATCAAAGCAATGACATAATTCTCTACTTCTCAAGAATGTGAATCATTTGAAATCTGTTCATGTACAAGTCACATGGTTGTTTATTTATAGTCTTTTAAATACTATTAACTACTACTACTCCTTTTTCCGGGTTCCTCTTATTAAGTAAACCTGTTCTGTCTCAGTCCCAGAAGAGCTAAGAAGAGGAGGACTTTGAAGGGTCCCGGCGTTTGGGGAGGAAAGCTTTGCAGCTGGGCATTGTATCTCTGGTGATTGGGCTGGCAATTATAACTGCTTACATTATTTTGCATTTTACAACGGTACAAAGAATATTTGTGATATATATTTTGAATCATATTTTGAAATATACTATTAATATTTGAAATAATCTATTCTTAATTACAGAATATGGTCTGACTATCTGAAGATAAGAGCTATTTCTAACTGTTAAAACAACTTTGTATTATGTAATTTTTATTTATTTATTTATTTATTTTTATTTATTTTTTGCTACTGAGACAACCCATCCATTTTAGCTAAACTGTTATCTGCTCAGTTTTGATAATTTGCCAACTTTAAAGTTAAAATTATATCAAACAGCATTTTAAACAGCATGCAAAATGTTGTAATTTCATGTAATGCGAATGTGTCTTTGGAATGGATCTGTGTACTGCTGAAATAATCATGTAAATAAAACCCTGTCTGTATAATTTTAATAGTTGGAGAGGGCTTATGTCACTGAAACAGCATGTCTCTGTAGCAGCTGTTGCAGTCTCTTCTAATATCATATGACACTTACACATAAATTAATTATATCAGCGCTGTCAATTTAGGCCAAAGTAGAGACAATCAAAGATTAATCTTTTAATTTCAGGAGTACAGACTTCGAATCTCATAATCTGTGGGGAATTTCATTGGCTTCAAATGGTGATATTGTACCCTTATTGACACTAAGAGGCTTTTTGCTCAGATCCTTCACATAGAACCAATACAGACAATGACAAAAACAAAAACACAACAAAATTTGGGGATTGGTTGGTTCTAATTAAAGGTACACTAAGTAACTTTCCTTTATGGAGACAAGCAGTGATGGAAGTGAAAGGTTAAATGGTGCACCTTTATTTCTAGCATCACATCTAATACATTATTTGTAAGACTTAAAGTCTTATTTTTATGTAAATCCATAGATAAAATCTGATTATTTGTCCATATTTACACAAATTATTTGAAAATTAAACGTACATGGTGCTAAAGGACAATTTATAGATAATTTAGATTTTCCTTTTAGTGAGCCTATTGGACATCTTGAGGACAGAGGGTTATCATTTAATCAACAATAAAACCTTGATGACTGTGCGTTTTCAAATGATGGTCACAATAATAACATGTGAGAGCTGTGAGAACCAATGTCATTTAACACCACGAAGCTTTTAACAGAAAAAATGGAAACAGTGTCTTGGGGTCTCAATGAATATATTATTATTATTATTATTATTATTATTATTATTATTATTATTATTATTATTATTATTATTATTATTATTATATTATTATATTATTATTATTATTATTATTATTAGTATATCTGATGTTGCAATGAAAATGAACTGAAAGTAAGTGACTATTTCAACAAAAGCGTAACTCGAGTCAAGTAAATAATGCTAAGTAAATGCCAGTTCAGAAGGTTGGTTGGCGCTTATAGGGTTAAACTTTAACCCCGCGCGTGCTGCAGGCGGAAGAGGTGTGTTTTCTGTACGGAAAACAATTTCAGCAAACTTTCATAAAGCGGTTTTAGCAACAACAACAACAACAAAAAGACTAAACATGGCTCTGTGAAGTAGTTGACTGGTTTTGGCACAGTTCTTTCTGTAAAAATAAACTTTCTTCTGAAACGAAAGGCGGGAACTAAGTGAGAACAACTTCAAGACGCCAAACGTGCTCCAGAAAGGCCCACATTTGACAAGGGAGATTCAGGTAAGTTACTCAATAGTACAATCATTTTCCAACATTTCCCATAAATTGACAGCGATTTCCGTATCCATTATGGATGTATTTGGGTTCACAACTGTCGTACTTTGCCCGCAGACAGTGGTGTCTCTCCGGTATGGGGAACAGCAGCAGTGACCGGGGCGGTCAGGGGGACAGGTCCCCCTCTTATCGAGATGGACAGCAGGGGGGAAAAGATGCACGGCCCAAAATACTGATGGATAGCACCGAGGACGCAGACCTGTTCCAAAGAGAAGATCCAAAGGTTGGGGAAAACCCATTAAACCCTAAAGTATCTGTCAGAGTACCTTGTATTTCAATCTTAATGTGTAAAATACACACCACAGTTTGCATTTATTTTAGTTGATGATCATTGTAATCCTAGCTGGCCCAAAGTGTACAACCTGGATCTCTTGTTGCTAGATTAATATAAATTACCTTTTCAATTGGTGCCTTTTGTAGTCTTTTGTATGCACTGATAACTTGAAACTGTGCATTCTGCAGTCTGATTCGAGGATGCCCATAGATTGATTGAGGTTTACATGGAGCAGCAATTCAATATATTTGTGCGCTTCTGTTGTTCTGTCTAGGCTAATTCAGAGATGCAGGAGTTTTTTGAATGGCAGCGAGACCTCGAGAGTTTAACCAAAGGTTCAACACAGGCCAGACCCACAGTGTTCAGGTGGACCGGAGCAGCCAAAGAAGTCTATGTATCCGGATCATTCAACAACTGGGCTTCCAAAATCCCACTAAACAAAAGGTATAATGGTTATATAGAGTAGGCATTGGATACTTTTTCCATAGCCTCTGTTTGGTGATCTGTGAATTGAAATTGCCTTTAGTAGATGAGCAAGTGAATGTCTAATGTAGCTCACCTAATGACAAAAGTTGCTGTCAACCGATACTTTTAGAAAACGAATTGATTGTTTTATGATAATAATCACTATGCATTCTGTTCTTTATGTTTTGATCTTAGTCAGAATAATTTTGTGGCTATTGTGGATATTCCTGAAGGAGAGCACCAATACAAGTTCTGTGTAGACGGACAGTGGACTTTAGATCCAACCGGGGTGAGTTTTTGATAGCTGATATCACCTTTGTTTTGGATAGATGGATAGATTTTTAAACATGTACGCCTTTGCATCCTGCAGTCTGTAGTGACATCTAAAACAGGGACCGTGAATAATGTGATCCAGGTGAAGAGGACGGACTTTGAAGTGTTTGATGCCCTACGGATAGATTCTGAGGATTCAACAGAAGGTAAACCTATTATGCTTTTGTATCAGTTGTCTTAAGTAAAATTATTTAAAATTGGGAGGCATTGTGTATGAGTAAATTGTAGTCCAACTATTCACTTAAATTTCAAATGAAGTCTACTAATTATGTAAATGTGTTCTGAGTATGTGAGAGAGTGGCAGCAGGTCACAGTAATATTGTCATAATTTGTAAATAAAATAATATGTAGGAGAGGCAAATGCGCGAGCATACAAATACTTTTTATGCATTGTTAAATGTATTAACAAAAAAAACTTGTCAGAATTATCCAGTTCTCCTCCGGGTCCATACCACCAGGATTCTTACTCAATCAAATCTGAAGACAAATTGAAACATCCCCCTTATTTACCTCCACACCTGCTGCAAGTGCTGCTCAACAAAGACACTGGTGTCTCTGTAAGTACAATACAACACAATCTAGACATGAAGGTGCACTTTTTTTTTAACTTTTTGGTTTGGGTCAATCACCTACTTATTTCTAAGGATATGTCATTGATCTGCCTGGAATGTTCTACAGTATGACATTAAACAACTCTGCCTTTCATTTATTAAAGGTTGTATAGAGGATTTTCCAAGGAACGAGAAATCCAGCAACTGTTTGTCCTTTTTCAAATGTTGCGCATGCGTGAAACCACCCCCCCTCCCCTACAGCTCCCTACATAGAAACGCCTCCTCTCGCCTCCTCCTTACGCCAGAAACAGGTTTGTTTACAGCCGGTGCGCTGCACATGACTTGTAAACAACTAACTACAGTGTTGGTGAGGCAAGGCGGAGAAGTGAGGAGCGGGGTGCGCGGGTGCGCGGACATTTCGTGCGCGGACGAGAAGTGAGGAGCAGGGAGAAGAGCGGAGCAGGGAGAGGAGAGAGGAGCGGTGCGCGGAGATTCCGTGCCCAGAGAAGTGAGGAACAGGGGGAAGAGCGGATCGGGCAGCGGGGAGAGGAGCAGGAAAGGGGTGCAGAGAAGGTTGCGCGGAGATTCAGTGCGAATGAACTAGCTACAACACGCAGCAGCAAGCGGACTCTTTCTTTGCATTGAAAATTACGTTTTCAGACATAGGATATCGCTTTCGTGTCCTGAAAAACGTTTGACTAGCTCTTGGAAATAAAGTACGTTTTCATAATAAGCAGAAGTGACCTGTCCAGGAGTAATTTGGCGACCAGTGGTTCAGTCTTTAGACCCTGCGTCTGCTTCAGTTGCGCCATCGCTGGAATGAATCTATAAGAATCACCTTAGTTTGGCTTCGCTGCTTTTCCCCTTGTCTTCTTCTTTCAGCAATCTCAAAAATGGACTTTCTTTTGCGGCTAACTGCTCCTGGATTCTTGTCTGCCATTGCAACAAACTTTGTGCTAACTGCGAGGAAGATATAGGTCAAAAAAAGCCGCTAAGAACTGTTGCGTTAGTGGAGTAACAGCGTCTGTGCGGCTTGCGTCTGTGGACTGCGTGACAGGGGTACGTAAACCACGTACCGGCAGCGCGCAGGCAAGTCAGTTACTCTAGAAACGTAGGGAGATTGATTGACAGCCTGTCAGCTAACAGATAACGAGGCAGTGTCGTTATCTATTGGCAAATGTTTAGCTGGCCCCACCACGTCCAGAGTTGATGAATTTTTATTCTCTTTTTTTTGGTCATTATAATTACAAGGCTACTGCATCTCTATAATGCTATCATTGACAATTTGAAACAAAAAAAAATCCTCCATACAACCTTTAAGTCATAGATGGTTCTGTAACTGAAAAATACCTAGCCAAAAAGGCATTATGACTGTGAGCAGGGTTGCCTCTCCACAGATCTGACCTGTAACTTGATCTAGTTTGGTCTTCATGAAGACAAAAAGGTTTAATGCCATACTGTGAAACATTCCATACAAAGCAATAACATCTCCATGGAGAAAAGGGTTTGACAGACCCTCCACCAGAAAAGCTGCATAATGCATCTTTAAATATGACATGAACTTTAATTTGCTGCTGTTTTAATCTGAATTGTATAATTTTATTTCATTAGTGCGACCCAACACTGCTTCCAGAGCCAAACCATGTGATGCTCAATCATCTGTATGCTCTGTCCATAAAGGTAACGATCTCAAATGAAATAAACAGGCATGGATAATCTAATCATGGATGATCTACAACCACAAGATTAGAAAATCTTTTGGTTGTAGACTACATTTTAAAATATTTGAGATAATAGAACTAGAAGTGTACACTCTGTATTTTTATTGTATTTTCAGGTATAATTATCTAAAGGAACACCCTTGTAAAGTAACATTTTAAACAGAGTCAACCACAAGAAATGCCAATTATGAAATTGCTGAAGTGACAATCAGTAAACATCACTTGGGTCGGTGTTGCTAGGCCGATTTCCCAGGGCTAAAATGTACAGATGCCAATTATTTAAAAGAAGGCGAAAAACTAGACTTTTTTATAAGTTTATAACTTTTGGTCATATGCATATGCATTTTTACTGCTTATGATTTATAATGGTAATGTGGAGACGTGTGCAAGTATTTATTATTCAAACACGTTGACTCTCTTAACTACACTAAAGTAGTTCACCAATATACATTACATGCCAATAAATTTGTAAACGGTAGTTAATACTTAAAATATACAAAGATCAGGTGTTTGTGTGCCACATCATGTTTATTAAAAATACTAACACATTTGAGTTTTAAGGATTTCTGGGGGAGGCCAACCCAGACCCCCCCTTACATTTATTTATACAGTTTGGGGGAGCAAAACAGCTAAATAGTATTTCTCTATGTGATTTCAGGATGGAGTCATGGTTCTCAGTGCAACTCACCGCTACAAAAAGAAGTATGTGACAACACTTCTTTACAAACCCATATAAAACGATAACTGTTGATGTAATGTAATTTATACAACTACATTATTGATAATTTTTCCACATTCTGTACATTCTGTACATTCCAATTCAGTTGCTGTTGCACTCATCAATTATTATAGTTATTACATTGAGATTTGTATTGTGAAAAACTGAATTTATAATTTACCTGTTTTCTTATTATGAAATTGCTTTAGCTGTATTTGCATACAATTTCTACTATTCCAATTATTTTATTTTATTTTGTTGTCTTTTTATTGTATCAAATCACCACCTGCTTATGTTACAATAATAAGGGATTAAAAATATCAAATGGAATGCATGTTTCTTGTTTTGTGGGTTTTATTTTTCAACTCAAACACAGAATTTGGAATCCAGGTTCTTGTTTTCAGGGTTGTAAGGTTTCTCAGCGAAACAGTGAGCTGCAACACGGTCACATTCGCACACAGCAGCCTGGCACTTATCATTAGTGTCTGCAGACAGTGGAAAGACCAGTCAGTCAAGAGTTAAGCAAATATTATGCACTGATTTGTTTTTAGATCCTGCAATATTATAGGATATTTGCTAAACTGCTGATATGAACATATGCTGCTATAATCAGTTTACACACACACCTCAAAGGAATGCTGAAGAAAATGTTCTCATTTGACCATTTACTGACAAGTGAATTTGTTGGAAAAAAAGCAATAGCAATTTTTCAATAGATTTTTAAAAATCATTTTGATCCTAGTTTTTGTGCTTGGTAATAATATAGTCAAAAAGATATTCCATGTTCTTAGGCTTTGCACAACATGAAAATCACACAACAACACTAATATATGCTATTGAAATAGTCTTGTTAATGATATTTAATTTTACCTGAGCAGGTGACTCTCTCATTGGAGCAGGTGTGATCATAAACCAGAACATAAGGGAGATCTGCAATAGCTGTGCATCCAGGAAGTCTTCTGGCAGTTGCATAGCAATTGTCATGCACTTTACAGCACCTGTCAAATATTTAGACTTGAATATGCTGTAGTAAAGAGACTCAAACTGCAATTTTATGTAATTCATGTGTTTTTACTGGTCCAGTTCATCCACAGGGGTCCCTTTTCCTCCAAAGCCACACCAGCAGCCGTATTCATTGAAGATGAAAGGATTGACTCCAGGTTGAGCACATTGGATCATGTTTCCAAATTGCCATAACGCTTTTGGCAGAGTGGCACCATTGACCACACAAACTGTCAACAAACAACACAGTACAGTGTAACTAGGTACTACAAGTACATTATAAAGTTAATAAAAATATACATATATATTCATGCTAAAATACAATTATTAAAAATCCCAATATCACGAGTGATAAACTGCACTTAATCAGAATGTGCTTTGTTAATTGCAAAAAAGGTCCAAAGTATGGGACAGATAATTTGTCATGTTGTTATTTCAGTTGAACCATTCTAATTTGTGTTTTAATCAATTAGAGGGTATGTTCATTAGTTCAACTCTAATCAAGATCAAAACTAGAACTAAACCCAGATCTAAATTTGGGCTGGATCATGACTAAACCAAGACTACATTTGGACTCAAACTGGGCAAAAACTATGACCCTTTTTGGCTCACAAGTGTGAACACACCCTAAAACAAATAATGATTACCAAATTACCAGATTATAATGATAACCAGATTACCAAAACTATTACACAGTGAGTCCAGCATTTTTTCATTTCCTACCAGTAACAAGGAGGGTCAGGAGAGTAGTCCGGTACATGGTTGCTGTCTCAAGAAAGTGACTGCTGGTGTAAGCATCTTTTTATACCTGAGTAGGTAAAAGGAGATAAGGGAACTATGGGGTGGGTGCTGTGAAAAGTATGCTTTTGAACATATGTTTCATATTTTATGTAATCAATCTAGATTTTGTAATTGTGTGATTTGAAAATCCACCAATTGCTGCACATTTTCCCTTGTTTTGCGAGTTCACATTTGAATGTCCCTTGTTGTTCTCCTGTGTACACTTTGTCCTCTTTGGGGCCTCCCAATTTAACATTTGTTGAAATTAAAGCAACTTCCCAGCACGCAGCTGAGCAAACAACCAGCCACTTGCCTAAGTTCTCATGGTTTTGCACTGAATGTACTTTGGCCAGCATAGAATAAATGTAAAGCTAAGTAAACATATACAAATGCTGTACCATGTGTTTTGACCACTTATGACCATTTACATATTATTTAGTGAGAGTTTAGCTATTTCTCCTTATTTCTGATTTATGGATTTGTACATTTCTTAAATTATCTTGCAATGTACCTCAAGATTGTACATCGTGCGCATTGAAGATAGGCTGACACCAGGCAATTGGTCAGAAATGACCTCTTTACGAGGTTTGGAGGTTATATAATGCACCTGCTCCAGTCTTCATCCCGGTTTACAAGATGTACCTGTCTCAGACCTTGTCCATCCTGCTTCTCTGCCTCCCAGCCTGTAAGTACCCTGCACATTACAAGGCTGTATCACAGGAAAGATAAATAATGACAATTTTAAAACTGCATCTTGACTCTACAAAACTTTTGACTGTTACAAATTTCAAATTAAATGTTTCAGTACACATGAAGTGAAAAAGGATTTGTTTAGTGGGGTTACTCATACATAGAGAAGTCACAGGAGCAGTGCATGTGCCCAAGTGCAGTGATCGGGAACCCATCTCCAGATTTTGAGCTAGGCTTGGTCAGTTGCATGAACCTTATATCAGATGTGTCTCTCTTGTCTCCTGCAGTGCTTGGGTACAGAGCTGTGTGGCAGTTCAGGGCCATGATCCTGTGCACCATGCCTGACAGTTGGCCCATTCTGGACTACGCAGACTATGGCTGCTACTGTGGCCTCGGGGGCTCGGGAGAACCAGTGGATGAGCTGGACAGGTAAGTGCAGATAAGAATGTACAAAATATTTTGCTATAACTTTGCATAACCGCTACATTCTTTAGGTTTGGGGTTATATAGTTATTTCTTAGATACTCAAAGTGCCTTACATTACATTATTAATTCACTACACACTACTCAGCAGTAGTCAGATAGTTCTGTAGTTGCATTTGCCCGGGGGTAGACCGACGTAGAACTGATGATGTAGCTTTTTAATAACATCTAAACACAAACATCAATTCATGTATCAATATTATAAAATTTTACCAAATATTTAAAATTCCCAACATTACCCATGAAATAAAATATTGGATACTTATGAATTAATCGTTTTTACTTGATGCTTCTCTTCTTTCTTTAGGTGCTGCCAAGTTCACGATCAATGCTACAGCGACGCCATGCAGCACAAGGACTGCTGGCCCATTTTGGACAACCCCTACACTGAACTCTACCACTACAATTGCAATGAAGCCACTAAGACTGTCACCTGTTTGGGTAAGGATTTGTTTATTTTAAGATCTTTCTGCAGATTCTCCTTCACACCGACCAAAATCTTTACCCACGTGATTCTCATGTCATGGCTGAACTTGAAGTCCACAGCAGCATTCTCTGTGAAAGCCTCCATTTCCTGGATCTCACCCACATACCTAAATCAGGGGCTTGGAGTAGTGCTTGGGAATGATCCAAGAGCTTTGTATGAATTGGGTCACAGAAATGAGACAAGAGAGTCAATTGCTCTGCCTCTGGTGTTACAACTACCACCAACAATGGGCTTTGTTCAGTTCTTCTTGTTTTATGGGGGGCAATTTATTATTGGAAATGACTAAGTTGAAACAATTAATCATCCCAACAAACCATATTTTTCTGTTATGCTATTTGCACCCTTATGCTACAGTACAGAACGTAATTACAAACTGCAGAAGCTGTACCGGACCTCTCAGGTCTCCAGCCGTGATGTTTATTATCTATCACAGGTTGTTTCTATCACTGTTTTTTTTTTCTTTTCTTCTTTTTTTATAGAGAAAAACAACCCCTGTGAGCAATTCATCTGTGAGTGTGACAGGAAGGCAGCCATATGTTTTGCTGGAGCTGGATACAGTGAAGAGAACGCACATCTCCCCAGTGACCGCTGCAAATAACTGACATACACATAGTTAATGCACCTGCTGTTCTTAATGTTTTTATTCCTCTTAGAGTATAATAACATTTCACAAGAACAGGGTGGATATACTATACTACTACAACAGCTCTTGAATATCTACATTTATATATTTAATTATTGATTCTTAATGAAGAGGTCTATCCTTATCACTGTCCTTAAATAATAATACATTTAAACCAAATTACTTTAGTTCTTAATGTAAAATAAATACATTTTGCCTGACTATATATGGAGCTTAACATGCAGAGTCACTGTTACCAAAACCATAACTGACTTCATTATTACATCTTTGGGTTGCAAGTTATACAGTGCTCTCACAGATGTAGCGGTACGCAAGGCTACAGTCTGCATCATTCCACAGTTTACGTTTGCGTCTGACTGAAGAATGAAGCTGCCCACAGTCTTCCCCATTTTCACGGTAATCCCAATCATCAGGCTGGCCCTTATCCCAGAAACTTAAGACAATAAAACATACAAGCATATGGTGAAGCATATATTTATATCTAAGAGATAAAACATTTTACATATTTTTACGTTTGGATAGAACTGTAGTCACTTCCATCCACCCAGCTCCAGTGTCCCTCTTTATGTCTCTCAACAAGTCCAATCCAGTAGTTTTCTCCAAGGGCAACTACTTTTGAAATGTAGTCCTAGAAAGAAAAAAAATCTTTCAAAAATATTAGAATGGGAATAATTCATGGTATATCAACAATAGCATGGTACAGGAAATGTACCAGTTCCTCCACATTATTTATAACCAATAGATGTCCGTTAAGTCTTTGGCAGTGTGTTTCTGCATTTCTCCAAGGCTCTGGGGTAGCTGACAGAAAGTAACAGCCTTTATCATAAGACACCCATCCTTCTCGACAATTTCCTTATTGACACCAAAAGTAAAGTAGGTTAGGATAGATAAATAAATGATTGTAGTAGATGTGCAATTTACAGGGTTCACAATGAGAATATGTATTTTTAAAGTGAATTTACAATTGTAATTCAACCAGTGCTTACCTCTAACTGGAGTAATTTCTTCAAGATAAACCTGCTCTATAATTCTCTCAGTCTCACTGTGAGCTTCAAAATGAGCTGTCAACAAATAAAGTGATGTTTAAGTTGCTGTTTGTTCATCATCGAGTATCTATGTTGATAACTTAAAGGTGCACTGTGTAACTGTTGGGGGTCCGTCACCTGCTTGTGGCTATGGATATGCCATTGCTCACTCCTACTGTGAAACCTCCACAATATGACATTAAACAGCTCTAAATTAGGATTTATTAAATTACAGGTAGTTTTATAGCTTAAAAATACTTCGAAAAACAGGCATACTGTGAGGGGGGTTGCCTCTCCAGAGATCTGACCTGTAACTTGGTCTGGTTTGGTTTCCATGAAGATAGAACGATTTAATACCATACTGTGAAACATTCAAGACAAAGCAATAACATCTCCATTGAGAAAAGCATTTGATGGACCCTTCATCTGAAATCTGGACCCTTCATTACACAATGCAGGTTTAAGTAAAAAAAAAAAGAAAAGAAAGAAAGACTTACCATGATTGGGTGTAAAAGGCACATTGTTGGCTGCTTTTGAAAGCTTTATTTTTATTTCATTAACATCGCTGCTTATTTGAGAAACTGGTTAGAAAATTAAGAAAGACATTTATTTGTTTTACATGATCGTTTCAGTAGTTTCTCTTGAAGAAAAAAAATACATACATTTAACTCCAGTCATAAACAGCAAAATAAACAGCAGAAGCAACAGGACAGCATATAGGGCGTAAACAACGATTTTACTTATACCTAAAAAATTAAAAAAAAAAGTTTTTTGTTTAGAGTAAACTAAAACTGCAATCCTTTATATATACCTCTATGTAAAGTCTCTGGTGTGTTCTCAGTGGACTCAGGGCAAAACTGATGATACTGAACTTCCATTATTGGCTGTTAATAAAAACATAATTTTATAAATTTTGTGTTAAGATGTAGCCATAATAGTTTTAAGTAAATGTCAAATGCCAGCTGAAATTAAAGTGTTGAGCTTACCTTACTAACAAAGGGAGCCTCTGTATTAAAATGCGTTGTTGGACTCATGGATCTATAATAAGAACTAACGATTTTTTTTAATACTTCCATGGTTGGACTCTGACCATGAGATCAGAAAACCCACCCCTTTCCAGAGAAACAAACTGATGACCTACATCAAACATTGCAGACATTTCAGAGAATTATCTTATGTTGAAGAATAATACAAATTTACCCATAATGCTAGAAATTTGGATAAAAGAAGAAAAAACTAAACACAGTCCAAAAATATCTAAATATAAATAAATATAAATAGTCTAAAAAAGCCCCCTCGAAAAGATAACATATCTCCCCTAAAGTCAAGCGAACATGTATGCAATAATTTCTCCTAGACAGCTCTCCTACTCTTTATTCAACAGTCAGCAGCACTGCCATGACTCTGTTATTAAAAAACGGAAAGAGAAAGGAAAGAGAAAAGAGGAAAACTCTTTAAAAGGAAAATAAAATCTGGGGGAAAATGTTCAAAAACATGGGAACAAAACCTCACAATCTCAATTAATCAATCCTTTGAAACATCAGACATAATACAGATATTTGGGATGGAAAATAAAATATTAGTTAGTAAAGTATAATCGTGTGTTCGCTTAAAAAAACTCTCAGTAGCCGCTAAAGGGCGCTAAACACTTTCACCTCACGTGACCTTTCCTTCAAATAACTTCCGGTCTCAATTTCTGACTAAAACGGAAAATGGCGGCTCTCGGACGCGTTTCGCTGGCTCTGCTGAGGTCCAGTTTGGCCCACAACCGGCGACAGCTTTCTGCTGTTGCGGGAGGCCACGGTGAACAAGCAGGTAATCTTATCTTTTCTGTAATCATATGCGGAATGTATACTAATCATTTTGTCCCGGCTGTTTGAGAGTGACCTTGCTAGCATTAGCTTCTGGTAGCGAAAACAACATCCTGTCATTAATATCAAACTAAACAAACACTTTCCACATTATCTAAAATATAGTAATACACGCAGAGTCTGCTGCCCATACTTTGTTGCCGTTGACTAAATACATTCATTGTATGGTGACATTTTGGCTCATGACTCATGATAAAGAGTAGTGACCGACCTCGCGTCCACTTCCTTTCATCTAACCCAAGTTATATGCTCTTATATTTACTAGCAAAAACTTGGAAGATCCTGTCTTTCGTGGTTGCCCTTCCTGGCGTTGCTGTGTGCATGCTCAACACATTTCTGAAGGAACAACACCACGGACATGACCAGCCAGAGTTTGTTGCATATCCCCATCTCCGAATTCGCTCCAAGGTGAATTTATCTTCTTGGAAATAAGTACCTACCGAGAGTGATACTGTAAACTTACTGGAGTTTTTTTTTAACTTTGTTTGTCTTGCAGAAATTCCCTTGGGGTGATGGGAATCATTCACTTTTCCACAATTCCCATGTGAATCCTCTGCCTGATGGCTATGAGGGCCATGATGAGTAGATCGTTCCTCTATAAAACCTCTTAACTGGCTTGGGACCAGTCCTCACTCCGCTCTGTTCTGGACCACATTCTGAACTACAGTTTACTTTCTTTCTGTTGTTTACTGACGGGCTTGTTGCATTAAGCACCCAAAGTTACAGTTTGTTCTTACCTAGACCATATGACAAAACTTCTGTGTAAATTAAACATCAATAAACTTAACTCTGTCTTGTATTTTCATTGTAGGAAGATGTGGTGAGGTCACACTTGATTGCTGCAGTGGGGTTGCAACACAAACTGCTCTGTCCGGGCACCAATTCTAGGGTAAATCTATTCCTATGCTTGTGACCGTGTCCTAGGGTTCACTGAGACAGTGCAGACACCATGGCCCTTGCACTGGTCACAGGACTTTGTTCAAAACAGGTCTGTTAAGTGTAACCAATATGCTATGTGTCAAGTCTCGGGGATAGGCTACTACTTTTACCAAGGGTCAAATTAGAATTCAGAGCTTGACCAGCACAATCATTAACAATGACTTCTTTTACTGACATTGGAATATGTATATGGTAGATCTATATATTTTCTGGGTGTGTGAGTTTGTTATGTTTGTCTTCAGTTATTTAGAATACAATAGAGCAAGGTGGGTTTTCTATTACTTCATACAGTAGTCATTACATATGATCCGTGCAGGAACATACACTAGTACATGGATAGAAACATGCACATCTCATGAAATGTTTCTATCAAACTTGACATTTTGTGGTCTACATGAAAACGATGTATATTTGAATAACCACAATAAATGACACAAAATAATGGCTGAATCATATATATCTTAACATAATGCAGTATGGAATATGTATCTTTTTTTTCTACTTTTGGTTAATCCTATACGCACACGCCCCCTGGTGCGTCACCGAGTTAAGCCTCTCTCCGCCTTTTCACGTGAACGCGCTTTAAGCCGAATTTAAAAATCCAGGGTTAACAAAGCCTGCGGATGTCCCTCGCCTCAGTGGTAGCTTCCTTCGGGACCCGATTTCGGTGCTTTGTTGGTAACTGAACCGGCAGAGTGTGGGACGACAGGAAGAAGAGTAGTTTAAACTTGACTTTCCGCTGTCATAATGGCGGAGCTGTGCGATTTGATAAGTAAATCTAGCCTTGAAACATCTCGGATAACTGCGTCCGTCCAGGCTGCAGTGGAAGGCGAGAGCAATCAATTATCGATCGCAGCACTCATAGAAGCAGAGCGAGGTAAATAATAAATGTGCCAGTAATACATCTTCTAATTGTCAACGTTCAATACAATTATAATTAAAATCTTTGTTTTTATTGTATAATTTTTTTTTTTTTTTACAGAGCTTCAAATGATGAGGAAACAGGAAAGAGCACATTTTTTCAGCACCAAAGAGCAAGAACTAATTTTGAAATTGTATGAAGAAGAAAGGGATATATTAACGGCTAAATCCAACACCTCAAGTGCCTCTAGGTTAAGAGAGGAGGCGTGGCAGAGAATAGCTGATAAAATCAATGCGTAAGAATAAATTATCAATGGCCATGAAATCTCTTATGTTGTTCATTGTAACGGGTATGCAATTACATTTCAGGGCTTCTGATAGTGGCTACAAAAGAAGTTGGCAACAAGTAAAAATTAAACATAAAAACATTATACAATCAGGTAGTTGGCTGTGTATACATATATATATATGTATGTGCATGTGTTTATCAAACTAAAGGGAAATATGTGGTCTGTGATCTATCATTGAATCACCACTCTACAAAATATGAAAGTAATTATTATTTGCTGTCATTACAGCCAGACGACGAAGAGCAGAGATGTTGAAAAATGGATTTATACCCCCTTTGTCCCCCACAGACATCATGCCACAGAAAGACAGACTCCGAGTAGAAGTCTTACCATCAGCTGAATGTATTGAGCCACTGAGTGATACTGAAGCATCTAGTGCTTATATTAACGGTAAGTTCCTTTCACCACAGTGGATATTTAATCCAGTGTGATTTAAGTGTGAATGTTACTCCTATCTGACAGGCAGACATTGCTGTAATCTGTGTTGTGTTACATTTGATATTTTGTTTAAACAGTATCAGGCCATCCAGTTATCCTGATGCCTGTAACAAAAACTGAACCAGAAAGCATGAGCAGTGATGAGACAGACATCAGTGACACACATTATGAAGGTGTAAGTGTATATTGTGGTTCAATACATAATGCAAAACAGGTGATTAACATTTTCTGTTTGTTCTTTTTAGATTGATGTGCACAACAGCAGCATGCAAGAAGTTATTTCTGTTGGTAATAAAAATGCCTCCAGCAGTAGGAGTGTTGAGGTGAGATGGAGAATATGAACTCAACTTCTAAAAAAGTAATAATAATATTTGTATATATCATTTTTATTTAGCAGGTGCAGAAGGATGATTTAAGATCTCTTTATTGCACATATCTCAAAAAGGAAATTGAGAATCGGGAACAGCTGATGGCTTATCGAGCACTAAAAATGAAGAAGCTGGAGAAAGAAATTTTATTATTAGATAAACAGTTAGCGTGACAATATATATTCTGTTTTACAAGTTTGATTCATTCTACAGTAATACATTGGAACTGCTGTACACCATTAATTTTTATGACTAATAATATAATATAAATGGTGTGCAAATACATTTTAATTTTGACATTTAACATGACAAATGTAAAAGTAAAAAACAGGAGACTTTTGTTTTTAAATGGTCATTAAAACTGTTTACTGCCCTAAAGCACTGAGGGGCCCAGTGGAAGACATGAAAGAAGGAAAAAGGGGTTTGGTCCGGACAATTTGATCACATAATGATCACATAGTAATATGCGACTATATGATAAATGTAAATATAGTAAGCCTACTCACAACAGTACATTTAAAGGAACGTGCAGGCCTTTCCAAGTATGCACAATGTTGATTAATGCTTTAATTTACAATCTTAATTTTCTAATTACCTTTGTGCACCCTTACATCGTCTACGAAGCCTATGTAGAAAATCCTTGAGAACTTATTTATTTTTCCAGTCTGGAGAATTTTACAATAAATTATACTTTAGTAAAAGGGCAGTTTTGTTTTTAATGCTCATAGGCTAAACTCAGCATGCATGTTCAGACTTGTGGATCCAGAAATATGTCCATGAACTTTGCAATATGCTGCATTTTTTGAAGTGGTCACGGTGTTATACGGATACCGTCAAAATCAAAATCTTAATAGTTAATGTTGTCATAAGAAATACGAGCAGCAACATCCTAGTTTCTCCTCGGTAGCGTTGCAAAGAAGCGGTTTGTTTGAGTTCGAAGATCGTGCGATTTGAGCCCTGAAGCGACTGGGATGTCAGCGAAGCGCGTTCACAAACATCCAGGCATCACCAATGGGGAACAGACATTACGATCGACTCTCTCTCTCTCTCTCTCTCTCTCTCTCTCTCTCTCTCTCTCTCTCTCTCTCTCTCTGATTCTTATTTTATTAATTTACTACACTGCTTTATTTTAATATATTTACATTGACATACTTTTTTTGTTTTATTCCTATACGATGAACGGCCCAAACTATATCCCGGGCAACAACCATAAACTGTATACAACTGTCAGTAAGTAAAAAGTAAAGTAAAAATTATGAGATAATGCATTGATTGTAAAGCAAAAGGAATTATTATTATTATTATTTCTACTTGTGGGTTTGCTTTTTGCGCCGTGGGATTCATAAAGTTTGTCCCCCCTCATTCGCCGTACCTTCACATGACTTTACTTGTGCTTGTGATCTGCATTCCTCAAGTGGCTCTCTCCCATGGGTTTTTGCTTTTTCACTGTCAGACAGACTCATGTTTAGGAAGAGGGCTGCAAAGAGCGTCTAAACATCTTTGTAGTGCGGTCAAGCTGTAAATTGTCAAACATTTTGCATCTTGGTTTTTCATTCGACTGTCAGTTGTTTGGGATTTAAAACAAATGGATACGAGATAGTTTTCGCTTTCCCAGTCAGTCATGGCAGAGCTTACACCATCAGACTTCAGAAGGTAAGATTAAAGCCTGTGTTTTAGTCATTTGTTGTACATAGGTTTGTGTTTTGTGTGTGTGTGTGTGAGGACCATAGCCTATTGTCAGTGGCAAAGATCAGTGTTTTAATATATTAACCTAAACGTAAGGGCTGTGTTCGTTTAGTGAATCATATCAACAAATATTTGTTTACATTCACAATGTGCAACTTCTTGTAGATGCAGTTTCTTTTTCCTATATGATGGATCAAAAGTGAGAGAAGAAGAGGATCTCACAAGAAAAGGAATTTGCTATTTTTACCCTGAAGAGGTTTGCACATAACAAGACTTTATTTTTTTTCAATAGGGGAGAATATCTGACTTTATTTATGTCTGTTCTTAGACTCCCATTGACAAACAGGAGTTACTTTGTGGACAGTTGGCTGGAGCAGGACGCTGTGTGTCTGAACTGTCCTCTTCACCTGTCCGTGTGCTTAGGCTTCGCAAGAACAAGTTTGCAATTCGCATGAAGGATGATTTCTTTTGGGTATGCACATTATGTTACTGTCTGACTATAATGAGGATTTTATATTGATTAGACTGAACACCTGTTTCCTATCTGCTTTAGGCTTTGGGCTGCTCTGTGGATGTGCCCACTGTGAGTGTCTGTGAACTCCTCGATCACCTAATTAGCCTGTTTTGTTTCTACAATGGTTCTGTTCGGCAAAGCTACCAGGTAATATATGTAATATTTCATAGAAAATGCACACCTTTGTAAAGCAGGTGTTACTTACTGACATTTAACAGTAAAAGGAACACAACTGCCATCAAATGATATCACATTGATGGTAGATGTTTCAATAGTTTTATAAGTTAAACAAAATATAGATGCAATTATTGTGAATGTGACTGAACAGGCCAATAAACAAGTCTTGTTTGTTTTATGTAGCTGCACAGACGAGAGATTTTGGCTGCTCAATGGGCACAGTATCTCTCACACCATCAACAAGGATCCACTGATCTTCACCACATCTTCAGCTGCATGAAAACCATTGATTCAACAAATGTATGTATCACATAGTTGCCTGCTTCTGTGTATTTACAAACAGGATACACCTCTGTCATTGTGGTATTATGCAACTGTGTGTTGTTAAGCATGCTCAAAATACAACTCATTATTACAAATGGGTACATACAGTGGCTTCTATTGCAGTTAAATGATAATCTGCAATAGAAGCCATTGTGTGTATGCATTTGTTTCATAGTTTTGAGAAAAGGTTAATTTTGTGGTTCAAAGCTATCATATGATGGAAAAATTGCATAACTATTTCAAATAACCTTTTTACAGCTAACTTTACTGCCCCAGTTACAGGCTACAGTGTTTCCTTATGTAAATACATTTGATATTTACAACCAAAGTAAAAAAAAATAAATAAATAAAAATCTTCTTTTTCAGGTTGACCCTCTCTTACTTTTAAAAGCAGCTCTCATTCTTCAAGCTTGCCAACGGTGTCCTCTTGTGTTGGCAGGCTGTATTCTCTTCAAGGGCAGGTAGGGTTACTATTTGACACTTGAACTAAAGACTTTGATTCTTTGGAACTGATATACTAAATGTATTTTTGCAGAGTTGTTAGCACTCAGATGATACCAACACTCACAATGAAGGTCATGGTTCATGAAAGTGAAAATTTTATCAAGGTACGGCTTGGCATCGGTGAATAAAATATTTTGCTCTGATGTACTTTATAATTTTGATTAACTACTAAAACACTTACATGTACTTTGTATGAAGGTACTGATTTCAAACATCCATGCAATGCTACTGCTCATGTTCATGTTCAGACTGTGTGATATTTACCAATTATTTTAACCAAAACACATAACAGACTCTTTATTGTTCTCTATTTCATTTTATTTCAGTCCCAAAGACTCAGTGGTACAAGTGGCTCTAGTTCATTAGGTGAATCTATGAGCTCCGTCCCGGTGTTTCTGACCACATCAGAGCTGCATTATCTTCAGTCTGCTCCGGTTGACAAGGAAATCAAGTAAAGAACTTTTACACACAAAAACTACATATAATATAAGATAATAATGCATTTTGAGAATTGGATAACAAAGCAGTTCCTTTATTTACAAATACAGATGTGTTAGTCTCAACGCAATCTGCGTTGTGTAACTTTTCTGGAAAATGTTATTTCTTTGTTGTTTCACAGTTTGGCTTTAAACCTTTCTATCACCATGAACACCAAACCAGGCCAGTTACAGGTCAAATCTCTGGAGAGGCAACCCTATTAACAACCAGAGTGCCTTTCTTGATATTTTTTGAGAAATAAAGCCACCTGTAATTGAATAAATATAAAATAGATCTGTTTAATGCCATATCCGGAGCAGAGAAATTACCTGTCGATGACAGATCTCCAACCGAAAAGTTACATAATGCACTTTTAACATCCAACAAATAAGAGGTATAATTATATTGTAAGTTAAGAAAAATCTCTTATTACAGTATAGCAAGTTTATAGCTATGTAAAGTTTTATTGTCAAGACAACAAAATAAAATAATTGGAATAGTCTTCTGTTTATCCTCATATGATGGTACGTATTTACTTTCCAGAGCCCACTCCACTCCATACAAAGATTCCCAACCAAGGAAGCCACGTTTGTCACGAACTTTATCAGATACCCTCTCAACTGACTCTGAACCATCTGACCCAGGATCCTCCCAGTCCCCTTTAAAAACACCCTGCAGCCCCAGTGATAATGCGTTTAGTCCTGGCAATGGTGACCAGCTTCTATCCTCAAACTCCCCTCTCCCAAATGGCAAACTCAAGGAAAACGAAGACTCTTATTACCACAGTTTTCATTCCAATGGTGATATTACTGATAATAGTATGAACAGTTTGGGGCCGGAAACAAACTGCATAAATGGAGGAACAGGAGCACACTGCAGGACACTGTTGGATTTCAGAGGAGGTGGTGCAGCACAAGACTCACGTGATGTGGGGCTGAGGAGGAACAGTGGTCACATGTTGCCCTCTAGTGGTATGGGAGCACCTGACAGCCAGCATGATGACTCCCTGGTCCCCTTGATGCTGTACCTTCACCGGGTCAAAGGGCTTGTATTGGCCCTGCTGGTGGAGAAGCACTTCCTAAATGACTCTGCATCTATGGAGGAAGTGGTGAGTATATTGTTTGACAATAATACAGCCATATGTAAGGGCTTAAAAATAGATTGTGTTTTGGATAGAGATAGATATTATAAGATCTGGAGAAGTGTCCCCTCCTCCTATTGCCCCAGTGGCATTGAAGGATGGGTCAAATGCAGATGGCAAAATTTTGTTGTTTAAATAATTCTTACTAAACTCTAAAATAACAGTAACATTATTTTTCTGATGCTCAATAAACATGATGATCTAAAGAAAGTCATACAAAATCCAGTCATCTGGGAATTGTTGGGGAATGGGGCAGGAGAGGGTATGTGGGTGAGACATGACCCCAACAATCTTCAAATTAAAATCAAGCCTTTAATGGAACAAGACTAAATAAAACCATAGCAGGTGAACAGGCCAAGTCACAATATTATATGGCAGCCAAAACTCTAAAGTCAGAATTTTCTTGTTCATAAATTGTGTCACAGTATTAATGCTTATAATTTCTCACACACTATAAAAATAACTCATGTTTTCAAAGCTCCTCAAACTGATAAGTAAAATGTTAATGTCAGCTTTGAAAATAATAATAAATTATTTGTTCAATTAAAAAAGTGTGTTTTCAAGTGCTACAAATGTCAGCATTTTTATGGATCTCTTTTCTCTCTTTTTAGCAAAGTTTTAACACAAAGTGGCTTTGTGGCTCTGTTAATGTCATACATCACAATATCTCCCTGTGTAATCCACTAACTCATTACAATTTGAATCTGATTTAGTCCTTAAGCTTAAGTGTGAACCAGGCTTCAAACACTGTTGGTATTAATTTAAGCCAGCCCTTCCACTTTATAACTACATGAGTGCACTAATTTATCTTTGTGATGTTAATATGTGCCTTTGTGGTTTGTACCCAGTATCACAGCAGCTTGGCTGCGCTCAATGGACTCGAGGCTCATTTGAGGAGCGTCACCCCGGGACCCCCAGGCCCTCAGGGACCCTACATTTTTGCCCATTCTGACTCCATTCAGAGCACACTGACATGTAAAGCCTTCATAATACCTACCTTTCTTTCTCTTTGCTTGGTATAGTTGTCAAATTCTTTTGATGACTTAATCTTTCATTTTCTAAGCTTTCACTTTTCTGCTAGAACAAGTATTTACTGTGGAGGGCTGGAGGCATGGGCCAATACATATTGTAGCTCGTCACAGTAGTAAAAATGAATAGAAATGTGTACACCTGTACATTAACTAAATGAAATAACTGATATTATTACAGTTCACAATATGCTACAGTGCTTATAATTGCAGAGGACTGAATGGTTCAATGCAAAGAACCAGGTCCCTTTCATATCCATTTACAGTATATACACTATACACTTGATAGTATGTTTGACTTGTGCAAACAAAGGCCAAATGACTACTGTCATATAATAAGCTTTCTAGTCCATATAAAGGTCTGTTATTCAAATAAGTACAGTATTTGGTGCATGCCTGTCCATATGCTGAACTTCCTGTTTCTCTGTAGCCAATTTGTCTGGTCGTCCTGGAGCAGCCCATGAGCGTCCCTTTGTGAGGGCCACTTCACTCCTTCACTCGCATTTCTGTAACACTGAAACTCTGCAGGAGGCTATTATCAGGTCAGTCCAGCAGCAGGACAGTGAAGGTGGTGGAATAGGCAGAGCTGATGGGGGTTTTCAATATAAATATCGGGGGTAGGAACCTGGGGTGTAGGGTGTATCCAGTATGTGACAACCTGCACATGCCTGCACACCTTTACCAACATCTCTGCATAACAAAAGAAACACACAGTACTACAGGAACTTATTTTATAAACTCTCAGCAATGTCCATAAACTTTTTAGTTCTTCACAGTCATTTTTATAGTCTTTTGAAAAAAAAAAAAAAAAGCACTTGTAATGTAATTAGGCTACTGCTCATATCAGTGTTTAATAATACAATTAATAATATAATCAATAGTAAACCATATTTTTGAAAACCTTCTACAGTGTGTACAATGTTTGCTTTTTTCTGAAAGATTAAAGAGCCGTTCTTTTGTGTTTAGGAACGCGGGTGCTGCTGTGTATGGAACCCGTAGTGTGGCACATGAGACATATTTCCTTCAACATGGTGGATCAGTGAGAAACTCGGGCATCCCAAACCACCAGGACAGTGCCTTCTCTCTGCCCACCAAGGCCCGCCACAGACTGCTCAAGCATGGGGTCAACTTGCTCTAATGGCACAAGGTTATGCACTCTAATGTGGACAGTAGCTCATACCATTTCATGTGCAAAATGATTTACTGTAAAAGTAGTTCACACTTAGTTTAGCTTTACAGTCTGGTTAAAACAAAATGTAAACATTTATTTTCCAATCGAAGTTTGAATATGCACGTTTTTTATTTAGTGTCTAATGCATTTATACTTCTCATAAGAACATTATTACAAGTGCAAATAGGGTGTACATTAATATGCAAATCAAGATGTCTTTGTGGTCAGTCTATTCAATGAATGTAATGTACATACAACCAAGACTTGGAGTAGACAACGTCTATAAGATGGCAACCTTAGAAACAGCATTTTTAAGACTTTATGTACTCATTATTCTCAAGTATTGTTTTATTTATTGCTTTATTGCTTACAAAATCCAATAAGTTTTACTTTAGAGTCTATAAGCTAGTGAATTGTTTATTTCTAAGTATATAGGATGTGTTTTGGATATACTGTTGCATTGATACCTTATAACGTACGGTAATTAAATGAGTTCATTCTGGACATGTTTTTTGTTCCTTTTGTAAATTAATCTTAAACATACAGCTTGCAGCAGCTTTTACGGACCCGCTTCCCACGAGGCCGCGTGCTTCCCTTTAGATCACTGTAGACTGGAGCGTGTCCGTTTGAAAACACATTCTTGTAATAATATCTTATTTTTCACATTATAGTAATTTGTTTTTAGGTCACTTTTGTAAATAGGGTCGCCCTTGATGGTCCAAACATAAAGTAATTACAGTCATTAGTAGTAGGTGAATGTGAATAGAGGAGCCCATGGCTCTTTGGGGCGCCTCATTATGCAAGCGCATTTTAAAGTCAGTAGCGGGGGGCAAATTGGTGGTTAGGGGTACGGACACAAAAGAGGGGCAGGGTCAGGATTCAAATTCTAAGTGGGAAGATGTGCCATTGTGGCTGGGTTTATATACGCTGCCCGAGAGCGCACATGAAGAGTTGGCACACAGACGAGTACAGAGCATCAACTATTTGGGAGCCATCATCATGTCTGCGCACACATGGATTGTTTTATTTCTCGTTACTGTCATCACTAGTGACATCGGGGTGTACGGCCGAGTGCTGTCACTCAGGACTACAGTGGAATACGAACATGCGTCTTTACGCGCCAATGTGTTGAGACGGTGGAGACGTGGAATCACAAATGCGCACCGGGAGCGCTGTACGGAGCTCACAGCACCTTGGCTCGAGAACACCGAAGTGCCTCGGGGTGAGGCAATTCCAATGCCGCTGCGAGTGCGGCCCTTTGCACCCGGAGTATCGCACGGATCAGTATTCCCGGGAAAATTCCTTTTCAGTTTTGTGCGCAGGGTTTATCACTGCTGTCAACAAAAAGTCCATTGCCGAAACGTCAAAGGGATTCAAGGCCGACTCAGAGGAGGTAAGCCGAAGTATAAACAACCACTGAGCAATGGTATAATTTCCATTTGCATGTTTATTTGTCACTACTTAGACCTTGACCTGTATGTAGCCTACTTGTGTGACAAGAAAAACACAATCAGTCAGGATATGTACTTTCTGCTCCTTGTACAGAATGAGCCACTGCAGGCCGCACTATGGGCTATATTGTTAGATTTAAATGTAGTTTAGTGTAAAGGCAACTGGGAGATAACAATGGCTTGATTTTGCAGCTGCGTAGGGACAAGATATCTGCATACAAATGAGTCTTAGCTGGCTTATGTCCTGAGTGCAGTTGGATGTCCTGCTGACAGATTAGAAGCTCTAGGAGTCAGAGGATGTTCTTAGGCTTTAGTATCTCTAGTATTGAAGGATCTTTGACATTCAAAAGGAAGTGTCCTTTCTCTCAACTCATCTTCCTCCTTATTCTTTTCAGAGGCAGATGTGGAGTTTCTCTTGTTGAAGGAGATTTCTTCACTGACTGTTACAAGGGCTGAGCTTCACTTGCAGCTCTCCAACCCACATCATGCTTCTATTCGACCTGTGCTTCCACCACTGGCAAAACACAATGTCCCAACCAGGTAACCAGTCAGATCACAAACCATTCAACACATGAATGAAACACATTTATTTAACATGTATTTCATTTGTAGGTACAGTTCTTCAACTCGAGAAGATGTGATGGAGATGAAAGTGGACCTAAATTTTATCATAAAAGCTTTACAGGATGTAGCTGGAGGCACTGCTTCTCCTGGACTGAGTCTGGTGAACATGCGTAGTGAAGAAAGACCCCATAAAGACCATAATATAGTCAGTGATGTTTCAGTGAGGGACCTAGATTTAGGTTTAGTTTTAGACTGTGGTATATCCTGTAAGTCCAAAAATGTCCACATCTTACATGCACCATTCATGGTCCTCTATTACAAATAATGCCTGGAATACAACCAATGGAAGCACAAATGGGGAAAAATATATGCACTTTTTGACTTTTATTAATTTATGAATGTAATGTTTTGTAAAATATATATTATTGTATAAATTGTGATATACTGTGAGTTTGATGCTTCATTTATTTTTAAAAGAATACACAAACAGTGGCAAAAATGCAGAGTTGTGACTTCTATCAATAGATGCTGTCCACTTTGTTCAGCTGTGTGCTCCTTTTTACAGACGCTATGATATGAGCTGCTATTTTGAGACATGGTTTTCACAGTTGGTACAGAAAGGTAGAGAAAACGGCACCTGGACAAACAATGGCCCGTGCATTTGCTGCACATCTGCTAAACAAAGTCTAAACATAGTCCAAACAGTATCTGCACTGTATTTGACTTATTCAGAATAACTGCGACTTTTCTGCATTTGAAGCTTCACACGAGTTCTGCTAACAATGGTTGCAACAAGTAGCTCTATAATTATAAGAATTTCAAAGACACTTCTCCTAATGCATTGTGTTTGTAACAATGGCCTGTCAATGATTTTTGTACATTAGCCTATACTTTTTAATACAGAGTAACTGCACAAATGCCCTATAATTGTTCTACAAGTCATTTAGTGATTTGAGATCTCATGAGTCGTTTTAAAACTGGTAGGAATTTTAAAAAATTTTTGTCAATTAGGCCATAAAAATGCACAGTACAGAATCTAACCATCAACATTGTCTGTTTCTTTCAATTTGTTTATAAAAGTATGAATGTATTTATTCATGAAGTTAGTAAACCTTTTCTTAAGATGGAGGCTCACAGCAAAGGCCAGCAGACAGGTGCAAAACTTGTAAATTTTCCTCTAAATTAAGATGATCATGATGTAGATTATGTAGTTGAGGTATACAAATGTGGGCAATGCTGCATTCAAACAACCACCACTAATTCTGATAAAATAGCACATTTATTAAAAAGAGACAGCATTTATCAGAATTTGCCATTTTGCAGATATGTCACATCTGAGAAAGTTCAGTGTTGAATACATGTCTCTGTTTTCTTGCTGCAGGTGTAGCCCTCAAGAACACATTTTATACATATCCTTATTATTTTCATATAATGCTCAAATGAACTGCAACACTGTGATGGTATAGGCCATTATGTTTGGTTAGCAAACTCCATGATTTAAAAATTCTAGTCATGTACTGTATCTGTACTACTCAAGCTCCTTCAAAATAATAGAAAAAAAAAAGATGGTAACCAAAGAACTTTTCATATCAACAAAAATGTGTGGTGTGGATTATACTCCAAAAGGGGGATTTGTGGTGCTGAAAATGTGTTACACTAAAACTAAAACGAAGAAGAAAAGTGAAGCAAACAGTTTGGTTTTTTTTCTAAACAATTTGAGACAAGTTATTCAGTCTAGAGTTGTCCACACCTTGAGAGGTTTGATCAGAGGATTGTTTCTTTTTTACAATCCAAAAGGGGAAGACTGCAGTTACACTGAAGCAAGGGGAGCCTCAGCAATTAAAGTCTATCCTTGGACTTTTACTGTGGAGGAAGGAATAAGAAAATTTTTGATGCAATCCAAGAGAAGAGTGACCTCAAGCCGAGTGTTGGAAAAGCCATGTATTCAATAATTCAAGGCAACATAGAAACACAAAAATGACAAAATTTTTCAAAAAAAACATGAGGCAGTGCAAAAAACACACCAATAAAATATCAAGTTTTTAAAAATCAAACAAAACAAGATCCTGAGGCAGAAAACTCAAACATACAAATCAAGTGGATCATAAAATATCTCCAGACCAGCCCCATTCATTTAAATTATATACCTTTATAGAATGGAAGATCCCATATATTCAGAATTAATCTAATTAAAATTTTCTTTAACAGTTCATTTTATTGCAACCTATTCATTTTTATACCAACCTATACCAACAACCGTTCCTTTTCAAAATAAAGGCCTCACAAGAATAAGTATAATTACCCAAAACTACAAAATAAAAGTGATCGCCATCTTTGTCACACAGTATCGGTGTGAGCATGTACCTTATATACACACGCAGCTGTGTAGCATCGTTTAAACGGACAAAACATAGTGACTTTGGTGCTGAATTTAAAACTAATCCTAATATACATACTTTCTGGCACCATCTTTTTGCACAAGGTAGTAAAGGAGAGGTCCATAGCCATTTCTCAGGTACTGCATTTGGGATACAGCAATACTCAAAAGGCAGGAGGGAGTCTTAGGGGACATTTAAGAAGCATTAGTGCAACAGGCAAAGTTACAACAGCGTCCTTGGACCAGAACAAGGCATTAGGAGAAGGAAATTAGAGACATAAATAGGAGGGTCCACAACACAGCTCTGGAAATAATGAGAATAAAGATACTTTATTCCTAAAATAATAATATCATTGTCCAAAGGCAGCACTTACACCAAGCAAAATAGGCAAATGGTTTCAACATAGGTTTATATTCTATCAGGCTTTGCAAAAGTTTTACCCAGTAATGTTTTGTATAACCTTGAGGTCTATGCTTTCACTAAGCACTCACTAAGAAATTATAGTTTTAGTAGATTCTCTCCTTTCATACAAACATTTGATTAAATTTACCACTAAAGAAAACGCTTTAAACATAGGTCTTTATACAGTTATCTTTTCCACTGGGAGATCAGTGCCTTAGCAGAGGATATATTTGAACAAGTCATAATTCATAGCCTAGGTTTCTAAAAACCTGACTAAGACTTTTGCAGAGCACACTAACAAATGCACTTACATTTACACTGGAAATTAAAATTAAGGGGACAAATGATAACTGAAGTCTCCCCTCAGTAAACGTTTTTCTTGAGATTGTGCTTTTTGAAAGTGGGGCCAGTGTAGGAACAATTAGCACCTATTTTATAAATCATTTGAACATTAAGTATAAATAGACATAATATGGCTCAAATCATGGCACGTCAAGACTTTTTTTTAAAAATAAGGGATAGTTCTAACTACTTTATATACTGTATTTCTTCCACAAAGTTACATAATGTTTGGCTAAGAGGTCAAGAAGTTTTTCCTTGTCAGTGAAATATGGGAGTTTAAATTTCAGTTCACTGACTTAAACGTTTTTAAAAACGCATAATAGGAATATACTTTTTTTTTTAAATCAAGCATTTGTAAAAGTAAACAATTGTGATATAGACATTTTGTTAATAAAAAGGCAGGCAAAAGAAAAGAGAATCAAGAAAAAAAACAAAAAAACACAAGCAATTAATGAAAGAGGAGCTGTGACCAAAAGGCCTAATGGCACATTAACTTTGCCTCTCACTAAATGCATTCATCAGTGTCTTTCAAAGGGGAAAACAAATCAAGGCTGTAGGAGTAACAGCCCTAAATCAGTATTTGGTGAAACAAATTACTACATTAAAATACATTTAAACAAGCAAGACACAAAAAATGCAAAGATAAAGGCAAGATGACATCTGACACATAAGGCTGTCAGGTAAAGGGCTGGTTTAACTGCAGTATGGTTTACCTTTTTAAGATGTCATGGCAAATTAATTCAAAAAGACAGATTCAACAAACAGAAAGCCCCTTAGAACTCAAACCGTATGTTCACTTACTGCTTAGTTTCCTATCTTTTCTTAGCAGCGCTTTTGTCAATCCAAATTTTTTTTTCTGTGTCAACCAGATGTTGAGCAGGAGTGTTGATCCAAGTGCAGTTTCTCGCTACACTCAGTCCAAAAAATAAACAAAAAACAAAAACCCAATGCTTTTGTCTAGGCCCAGATAAGTCACTCCTGAGCACCCACGAGCTGCAGAAAATGACAGGGCAGGAGTAAACCCTGCCAAGTCAAGAGTGAAAAAATGACTAAGATTGTTCAGAAAGGGTCAGCATAGGTGGATGCAAAACACAATCACAAGAAGCGTGGCCAACACTCTCCACTATTCACCTTTGATAGCAGAGACTGAATCATCTTGCAGTGGCTTTCCAAATAAGATATTGTCCTCCCATGTTCTGCTGTCTTGTCCTGTGTGTATGCTTTACCTGTGTTGCAATCTTTGCCCCCTGCTCCCTTCTGTTATAGTCTGTTTTCAAGTCTCTTACAGCCGACATAGGCAGAACAATGTGGGGATGAAAACCCCAAAAGCCACCAGAATTGGAAACATTAGGCTGCTATTGTCAGCTGCATACGGGTTTGGTGTTCGAGGTCCGGACTGGACCCTGGTCTTAGAGCCTGGGGGAACCTTCTTCTTTCCTCCTTCCTCTCCTCCCTCTGTTTCCTCCTCCTCTTCATCCTCCTCCTCAGGCTTCTCCAGACCTGGGTGAGGCTGAAGTTTTGGTACATCTGTGTTACAAAATATAATATATTATTGTTTTATCACCTTCATCAAGTTTGTTGTGCTTTCAAATTTCAATCTGCATATGAATGCTATAGTACTGATAGAAGTATGCAAAATATGAATGATCAATATTGCATTTACAGGAAAATATTGAAACTTACCATCCAGTGTCCCTTTCATAACATAGAGAGCACAGACTTTTGGGTTGTCATAATATCCCTAAAGGAACAAAAACATAAGTTAAATCAAATGGGGTTACAACACACAGGCTTGTCTATTATATTCTTTATATAACCTATACATTTTATATTTCATATTGCTATAATATGACAATATCCATTTTACATCCAAACATGTACCACAGATTTACATCTGCATGGCTTAATCTCACAGCAGTACCAAAAGCCCAAATCTACAAATATAAAAGCAAGACTAAGGCTTATCAGGTGGCAAGTGATATAATGGTTTCACAGATGTGGCACTGTTGCTAAGTAATTTTTATGGGCTCCACACTGGTCATACCTCCTCCTTAAGCATGTGGTTTATCATGTGAATGCTGGACATTTCAATAATATTTCTACTATGTGCTTCTTTACAAAAAAACAACAACAAAACATACATTATTTTATTAATTTGGTAAAAACAGTATAACCATGACAGTATTCAAATGTACCTTGACAAACTCCACATTGAGCTTGCCATTGAAAGTGGATACCTCTCCTTTGACACTGAGCTTTCCTCGTCGTATAGAAAAGGGAACTATTTCGTCATGCGCAGTGCTGTGGCCTACTCGATCAAAGATATCCAGGTCTTTTACAACTATGTGCCCATTTACACGGACATCAAAAACCTGAAATAACAGTTACACCATATGTTAGTCAAGCATACCATTATGGCTGATACAATACACATATAACATACATATATAAACAACATAGGATATTTATGTACACAAAAGAGTGGACACTAGAAAAAAAAAGAAATAGTGAGTACTTAGTTTTGTTATTAAACACTGAAGTTACCTTTTGTTGTGACTGTGCAAAGTAAACCTCTGCAAACTTCAGAACTAATATATAGTCTCCTTCATCTCGAATGGGGACCTCATATCCAAATGTGTCCTCATTGTAGCGTTCTGTTTGATACAAAATCTGGTCTTCTGGACTCGACCGGAGGATCGGCAGACGCACCCCATAATCAGATGCTGACAGGAAAATGCATCAGATGTAGATGAATTAAACAATAATTTCAAAATCACTGTCCTCAAATGCTACCTACGCATACAGAGACAAACCCAAAAACATTGCTGTGTGTGAGTTGTGCCTAAAAACACAATTTTGTATATAAGCTTAAGATAAGTCTGCAATGTATAATGATGTCAGCATAATAAACAGTTCTGTCAAATACTTTACTGCCAAGGTAACACCGTGCAGTACAATAGTCTAATACAGTCAAAACGTCGCTGTAGATTTGATCACTACCTGCTTCCCCTCTGAGTAGAGGGGGTGGAGCTGAGGCTCTCTTTGCTGACTCCTACTTAATCTGAAACTACAGGAGGAAGCTACATCGCGGCAAGCTTTACTCATAAAAATGTACTCGTCAGTCAAGCTTTCACTGTGAAATGCTGAAGAAGTAATTTAAGTTAACTCTGTCTGACTGTGTCAGTACCATTTCAACTTGTAGAGAGAGTGTTGATTTACCTCAAACATCCAAACACACGTAACTATAACTAAATAAATATCAGTCTTTCAGAGTATTATTTTATAGAAGCAACTATTTATGTTTGTTAAGTTTGCAAATACCAGACAGTAAGGTTCAGTTAATCTTCAGATTGAATAAAAAGTGACCAGAAGAGATATTTATAAAGTGCTATAAAGGAAAAGAGCTCACACTATCCTTTAAAACTTCAAAAATGACTTCTTTCACATCATATAAGACCTGAAAAAAAGATTAAGAACATTTCTCCAACTTACCTTTACCAACCTTTCCTTCTAATGGGTCCTTCTTGAAATGGATGCCATGCACGTCCAAATGGGCCTCACCACCAGAGTTTACCGCCCAAATCACCCGTTCGGCGAGACTGGGGCCACCACCGTCTGCCCAGCACTGCTCTGCCAAAAGCAACAGCACTGCAGCAAGGAGCCCAGCGACCAGTCGAGCAGTGTCCCACTTCATGTCCACACACACAGCCTGGTCCTGGACAGAGGAGACCGTTCTTAGCAAGTTGTAGTCATTTGTACTAAATGACATGACCTAATGCAGCTATCTGATAAAAATGTGTAACTGATAATTCATTGTAAAAAAGGGAAGGGCAATATGGCAAACTTTTGCATTAATCTATAACTACTTTCAATTAAGTTTCATTTCCACTATTAAACTATTAGCACTATTAAAAATAAGTGTTCTTTACTTTTAATAATAAGGTTCATGAACCTAGAAATATAATTTTAAAATAAAAAGAAAGTTTGCATCAAACTTTGCTTTCTGTGACAGAATTGGTTCATTTACCGCTCAATTAAAAACCCCAAGCTATTGTCAATTATAAACAGTTTAGTCCATTAAATGTTAATCAATTGCTCAGCTCTATTGTAATGATTCCAAACACAATTTAAGTCATTTACAATTTTGTAATAAATAATCCTTATGCCTTGCCATGGCAAGTGGTACAAAAAATAACTCAATAAAACTAATAATCATTATAAAATTAAGTTAAAAGGAGAAGACAGCAAATGAAACAATTTCAGAAAGTTCTAAATAACAACTTTGAAATCTCTGGCAGCCTGAGTGTTATGACAGTTCTATGGAACCATTGCAGATTCCAGTGGGTTCCCCTGCTCTTGAGGCTCACTCTGTGATGCTAAAAAATACTACAACGCCATGACGATCGACTCAGATTAAGTGTTAAACATGTCAGGGACATTATATTTTAAGGACAGTTCTCCGTTTACATGAAATAATAGCGACATATGGTCACTTCGCAGGGAAAGCTAGCAGTCTTGTCAATCTTGCAACATGATATCTCCAAGATGCATGTCTGACTGAAAATGAGCTGCATTTAGAGCCAGGGCAATGTTATTCAATATAGCAAATGTTCGAAGTACAATGCAATAATTTAAACACGTTTACAGCTCATCGAGAAAGTAGAGTAAATGAAGGAAAGCATTAAAGACACGTAATTACTCCAAAATAGCTACATGGCTAACGTGACACCGGTAGTAGCATTAGCACAATAGCTCAGAGATTGGAAAGATTACATTTTAAAGCAATACCAGCCTCAGCCTAGATGTGTACGATTACATTAACGCATATCTTAATAGTTCTTAATAAAATTTTATGCACTGAAAGGAAAGCGAAAAGAGTATCATTGTCCAAATTTTGCTAACATACCTGTCTAACCAGAAATTCTTGGTTCAGCAAATACTCACCTTACCCCACAAATATCGTCAGTGTTTTTTGATCACGCTTTATAAGTACACTTAATATAATGCTGCCGTACAAAATGCCTATTATAAAAACGTAAAAAATGGTGACAGCGTGAAAATATTCCTCTGAGTCTGTACTGAGCAGGCTGCTGTGCTGACTTTCATTCAATGTGCAGCCACTACTGTGCGGCTAAGCTACAGTGGAGGAGGAGGCGGAAGAGGGATACCTAACTTCAGTTTGCACTGGCAGGTGATTGACAGAAACTAGGCCAATCAGACAAGATGAGTCTATTTTATTTCAACTTTATATTATACACAAAATGATTCATATTCTGCAGTGCGGGTAATATCATGGTTACGGTTTATATCACCTGAATTAGGGTGTTTTAATTAAAATTAAGTTAGGTGAAAAGGCACGATTTAAAACATAGTTAACATCTGTTTTAGTCAAGTTTTTTTTTTTTTTTTTTTCAGCAATTAAAATACATTGACTGAGGTGGTGATAATACATACAATTTAACACTATGCACTGAATGATTTTGTACGACAGATGCTGCTTAACAAATTAAGTGTATTTAGTGTATCGATCTTCCTAGTAAACGCTACAATTTGGAATTATCCATTGCACTTAAATGTATATATATATTTTAAACTAATAAAAATATATGATGAGCATTATGTTTATATATATATGTATATGTATATGTATGTATATATGTATGTATTATTCGAAAATCTCGCACCCCTCCACCTGGTAGACATGGTGCAGTCCAGGTCGTCTTGTCCAATCAGAAAAGTCCAACGCAGCTCGCTCCGAGGCTGACCACACGAAATGAATGGAGATAGTTTCCATGGTAACAGCATTACCTCAGTGGAGGACAGGTGTTTCTGGATACCTTTTTCATCGAAACTTAGGCCCTAAAGATTTCTCACAGCAGGAACAGCTAGCTACATTTATATTTTTAGTGTCTAGCAGCCAACCAGAAGTTTAAGTTTAAGCTTATAGACCTAGTTGGCTTCAAGGAAAAATGAACATTGAATAGCCTATACCTCTTGATCACAATGTGAGGACATAGCAAAGAAGCAGTGGCTGCAAACACCGTGTCCCAAGCTTGCATTCAGATCAGTGAATGTAGCGCTGTATAATATGTATTATGAGAGATTCACTGGGAGTTGTTCCTTTCCTCTTCAGTTTTGCATCATGGTTTTGACTAAAATGTAAACAGCTTTTATTATCATCATCATCATTTTCTGTTTATTATATATTTCCCCACTATAGAAAGTGGTGGCATGTAAACATCTTTTAATCTTCTACAGTCATCTTGGCAAATACTTATGAAATGAAAATGTGCATACAGCTTGGTAAAAGTATCTCTTTGGCATGCATAATAATTGCTTTGACAAAACAAGAGTGGTGTATAACCACTACAATCACTGACAATAACAAACATAGGTCTACATATACCATAAAACATTAACTGTTGTAAGAAATTTACATTTTTCCTGCTGTTTCATATGGACAACATAGACTTTACATTCACTTTGTGCCATGTATTTTCAAAATCAAACAGCATCAAACCTCAAACTAATCAGCCCTGATGGCTTCAGGATAATGGGCAACTGACAGTGTTCCTAAGACTCACTAGTTGTACAGTGCTGGGGGTAGGCCCTATCACCCTTCAAAATTTGGTTTCACTCTGATATACTTGGAATGTCAGTTATTCACAATTGGTATTATGAAAAGTTTGAAAATCTCTATGCACATAAAACTATTCTTCAGAAATGCGTGCCTGGGGAATATAGCTTTATAGTTCCTCATTTAAATGTAGCTTTTTCATTAGGATTTCATTAGCTCTGCTCATTAATTAGAGACAACCTTGTGACCTGGATGACTGGGAATCCCCACAGATGAATCAGACAGTGACTACATCATAGACAAGACTTGCACAGTGAAGTCATACAAATGGACACACGTTTACCTCATGGTTCTCAGTGGAGTACCAATACAGCACACAAAGACATGCAGATAATGCACTACTGTGTGACTCCTTGGTCAAATGTATAACAGTGCACTTGTTTTATCTACACAAATATACATTCACTTTCTGACAGTTCTACTTGTGTTAGAGTGACAGGACACTGACCAACAACCTACCCAGCAGGAAGTAATTAAGTGGGGAATAAAGTGCAAAAAACATAAGATGGACAATCATCGGCTACAGCAAGTTCAACCTTTGCTGAACTAAATTTTTTTTCAGGAAGAACACTTTTTTGGGTGAGGTGATTTCTTGTTCTATAAAACTGTGAGAATTCATTTCCAGTGTTACTTGATTGGCTCAGACTTGACATGGTTCTGTTGGTCCTTGTCAAGTGTAGTTAGCTTCACATTCAAAACCACAAGTGTCTTTGTAATGCTAGCGCGACATCATTCGGACAAACTCTGTAAATGTAAAAGAAAAATTAATTAGTTAAAGTTTAAAATATAAGCCTAATTTATATTTGAAATACTACAAGTTATATTATAATGTCCAGGGGCATTTCTAACAGATAAACAATATATATTGCAAATAATTCTATATGTAACTTTAAATAATAGCTAATAATTATCTTAAATTACTAAAAAAAAAAAGCACTAAATAAAACACTCAAATAATTATTAATAAAAAACTGCTTCAGATGAACTAAGGTATGCATACTTTAACCAATCTGTTCTGGGGCTATGAACTTTACCTTCAAAATCCACAAGTCCATCACCATTTAAATCCACATCTCTTAGAATATCTTCAGCCTCTTTTAGGCCGACCTAGAAAGATACATACAGACTACTGGGGCACCTCTAACTTCAGGCAGTATTTTTAAATGTACCATCTAAGTCCTACCTGCTGCCCTAAAAGTTTTCTCATTGCATCACGTAGCTCAGCAGGGCTTATAGCACCATCTCCATTTGTGTCAAACTTGTGTGAAAGAAAAAAAACAAAACAGTTAACTCTGGGGAAAGATCTGTATAATCAAACTAAAACCATCTTCACACTTACCTCTCTGAAGGCATCTTTTAATTCTTTTATTCCAATCATATCTGCTGTTTCAGCAAGGAGTTTAGGACCCATCAGCTCAACAAAATCTTCAAAATCAACATGACCTCCCACTGAAGACAAACAATGAAATATACAGGATGATTAAAGGTCCTATATTATGCAAAATTGACTCTTTTGAGGTTTAAGCCATGTAAGAATGCTGGTATCTCCTCAAAAACATACCTGGAGTTGTGTTTTGTTTCACACATGTTTGAGTAATTTTTATTATTCATCTGTCTACATCTCCTAGGCTCACAATACTCCGTTCCACCTTGTGATGCCATGTAGTGACAGATGTCAAGTTAACAGCTACCTTTAACCTTTAGTTGAGTAGAGATTGGCAATTCCAGCACTGAAATCATCCAAATGATTCCAGTGAAGATGTGTGGAGTTTAAGCACTTCCTGTATTACCACATGACATCAAGGTGGGAGTGTTTTTTGTCTGAAAGAAGAAGCCTAAATATGCAGAATTTGTATGTTAAACATGTGTGAATGAAATAAAGAACAACTCCACATATGTCTGTGACAAGGAAACATTATACATTATAACATAGATCAGAAAATAACGTGATATGAGCCCTTTAACTTACTTACCATTATAGTAAAATTTATTCTTATACTATTTCCTTTTAACCCCAGACTATATGATGAACACAAATGTATATACATTATAGATTATAGAGTTGTCTGAATCTCACAAACTAATTAGTAATTCATTTTTATTAGAATTTTGTGTATCCCTCTATGTGTTTGCTAATAATTTGAAAGTGAGGATTGAAATAGTTTTACAGGCCTTTCCCACAAAACCATTACCTTTTGGACATTGCAAATTTTTGTTGCACATGTCTAATTCATGTTCCTAAGAGGCTGGCAATGTTTACATGCATACCAAAATCTGATTCTAATCAATTTCTCACTAACTTCTCTCTTTTTCCTTTCACCCCCAAACTGTGACTTATACCAGATAACTTGAAAAGAGCATTTGGTACAGGAGTGGTTAAATACATTATAACTTGGATACTACACCTATCAACCTAATATATATCCATATATCCTATATCCAATCTGATATTTACTGTACCCATATGTGTGTAATAATAATAATAATAATATATAAACAAGCAACACTAGAAAAAAACAAACAAACATACAGTTCATGTTTATTTGCTGGCTCAATTCGATGAGTTCCATTTCTGTCGGCATGTATCCCATGGTCCTCATGCAGTTGCCCAAGTCTTTACAGCTGATAAATCCATCTTTATCTTTGTCAAACTCTTTAAAAGCATCTCTCAACTCTGTTATGACCAAACACAAATTTTAGATATGCACAGTATCTTATTATTATTATTTGATATCACAATATAAAAACATATACAGATACACTTACCCTCCACTTCTTCTGGCCTCAACTCTCTGTCCTGTAAACATTGAGGCACACGTTACTGCAATATTTATGACTTTGTGTGTCTCTGGAAAGTATTCAGGTCTATATACCTATAAAACATACCCCAATCAGCTCAGCGGTCAAATCTTGCATTGAGATGATAAAACCAATTTGAGGAAATGGGCCGATCCCTATCAATGATTGCTGGAAATTTTAACCTCGAAGTTCACAGAAGAATGTGACTGTGTCTCTTTTTTGCAGTTTACTTACAATGAACACAACCTTTAAAGGACAGGACAAGATACAGACACATCCCAGAAGCCTTAAGGGTTAACAGCAGGAGCACAGCAAAGTCTAAACATAACAAGAATAGTGACGTCATGTTGGACCCAAAACCGTCTGACCGGAACATGACATGAAAAACATCAGACATACGAGGCAAGAGCAGTCAACACCATGATTAAAAACTACATGTACTTCAACAAGTTCAAAAGTGTTTGTAGCTTTATCTCTCTGCCTCCATTCTGTCCATGCAGGTCTTCATACTAAAAGTGATACTGAGTGGAGCTGATATAAGTGTAAATTTTGACAGGTGCCATTAGACTTAAACTTAGACAATCTTTATTGATTCACAAGGGAAATTATTTGGACACAGTAGGTCACACATCACAATATATTATAATAACAAAGAGATAATACAAATGGTGATAATAAATTCTAAATAAGCAGCAAAAATAGCAAAAGACAGGTGTCAAATAAGGTATAATTATGTACAAGTAAAAATAAAATAAAAATAAGTCATAAAAATATCTCAGCTATATATAAGAGGAAGGAAGGAAAACAATGCAAAGATGATATGATGATTGACAGGATATAGGGCCATCTATTACATAAAAGTCAGTTGTTGTGCAGTTATATGGAGAATGTCATGATGACTGAGTAGCCCTTCCTTACCCCACAGCCATAAGGTCCTGGCCTGACCTGTGTGTGTGGAGTTTGCATCCTCCTGGCAACTTGCTCTCACCCATGAACCTAAAACATTCACTGCAAAATCCCTCAACTAAGACAGTCCTCACTAAGCTGAGCTAATCATTAGGAGGTCCCTAAACACTATGGCAGCTGCCCACTGCTCATGACAAGTTGACCCAGTGGAATGGCAACCATTAACTACTTTAAACAGTTGGATTTTATTAATTCTAAAAATACACCCATTTTGTCAGATACAATAATAGGCACTCTTTGGAATGATGTTAGTCGAGACTGTTACTTCTCAAGAATGTTTATTTGCCCAGATATGTTTTACTATAGCATGCACTGTCTTCGGTTCAGCATGGTGCATAGTCTATAAAGACAGACTTTTATGTTCCAAGAAATGTATACATGACCTTTTCACCAAATACAGAAATACACAATTGTTGGTGTTACTTACTGTCATACATACCATACATGCACAAGAGGTAAGTCTTTTCTACAAATAGATTTAAGGGCAAATAAATTAAGGAGAGACACTACAGGCAAAAGGTTTTTTTTTTTTTTTGTTTTGTTTTGGTCAGTTTGGTCTTTTAGCATATAAGCTTTCATGTGGAAACACTGCACTGAAAGATGTTTTAATATTTCATCAACCTCTATAGATACGTATGGGACATTGCAACTTCAAAGGCTGTTTTCTGAAAATACATCTTTCCCTCATAGGGACATACGGATCACCTCTTAAAGTAGCGCCTACATTCACCAAAATGTCCAATCTTGTACTTAACAAGCTTTTGGACAAAATTTTAATTTTAGGCAAATTGTCAGTCAGATCTAGTTTAATCAAATACTAAACAAAATATCCAAAATCTCCTCTGTGTATTTTTTTAGTAACTAATGTGTCAAAAAAAGAAGACTTTTAAACCTGGCTCTTTTCTGTTTTAAATGTTCCAAAAAATGTAAATTTTGGCAGTTTTTACACATAAAATGCCTTATTTTTTTAATATGAAAACATTGAGGAAATCTTCATTCACCTGTAGTGTCTACCCTTAATTAAAATCGATTTGATTCAAGCAATTTACTTATTCAAAAACACTAAAACATGCTGCGAGAAACCAAGGGAAAATTACTTCTGAAACAGAAAAGAAAGGCCTCTTACAGTATAAATATTGTTTTGGTTATATTGCAATGTATTGTGCACTACATCTACATAAACCTAAGCATAAATACTTAAACAAGGCCTCGGCAATCTATTCTGAGGTTAACTACAAGGAAGCAACAGTTTTTTGAGAGCCTTTGTTACATAAACTCAAAAAGCCAACGCTTTTCAGTGAAACTATTATGCAAGTGATTCTGGTGGTTGGGTTGAGTATTTGAAGCATGAAAATGTTGAAGAAACAGCAAAGGCATCAAATAAAACAGCCGGCTGCCAACTTTCCGCTCATCGCTCATAACAGTTTACTTGACACATTGCAAAGACTGGCATCTCACACCTATACACTGTCACCAGAACTGTAAACACACAGGCAGACAAAGACACAGGCAGCAAATGACAACAGCTCCAAAACACTGCCACTGTTTCATTTGTAAAACCTATGCAAATACAGTACAATGATATAATAAAATTAATCTATTGTAAGCAAATGTGGTGTAAATTATCTACAAGAAGCATGTTGTGATGCAGTGCACATGCAAAATTTTGTCTCTTTTCTCTCTTTTTAAATTTTCAAGTAAAATTATTTGGGTTACTCCAGCCATTTAAAACAAGACATGCTATTTTGAATTTAGTTGTTCAATATTCAACAACTAAAACATATATACATTTTGGTTTGAGCAGAGGTAAATATTTTAAGTATGTTCTAACTGCATTTTTTTCTTATGCACATTCTGCACATTATGTTTGAAGAGTCTACTTCTAATTCTTCCACTCCAAACACGTTCTTATAGATTTTTCCCTGTAATAGTTTATGTGATAAGTGTTAGCTCTATGCTAAGTGCACTCATGTCTTACCGTCTGCAGAGGCGAATGTAAACAGTTCCCCATACCAATAGAAAAAAGAGGCACTAAAATGGACCATGAGGACTTTCTTTCTGTCATAACTGTGGCCCGCATTTTGAAAGGAGACCGGACTCTGGTGGCAGCGAGACCCATGTAGAACAGCAGATAACCTAGATTTCAACCAGATTCAAAGTTTGTTCTGGACAGGCTGACCTGAATGGAGAGAGTATGTCGTAGAACAAATGATCAGGACAGAGAGAGAGAATGAGTGAGCGAGGATTTACAAGAGAGGGAGAGAGACTAGACTTGGACAACAGAGAGAGATTTATGCCTATTAAAGGAAAAGAAGATGATTCCCAGCCTCCGATATAATCAGTCACTTGGACCCAAATGTTAATGTCTGAACAACACAGACTTACTGACATGTTACGATCTTACTTGTTCTTGCTTTGGCAATGAAATGCAGATTTCCACTTCAACTGGGAATATCTTCTTGACTTGAAACCTGCCCACACTTTTGCCATTGGCAGTCACTGGTGACCCAAACAAGTCAATGAGAGCCTAAACAAATGGAATTTTGTGAGTTTGTATTCTCACAAGAATCAGTATTGCTGGTCCAAACAAGTCATACTGGCTCCAGTGGGAGACAGTACACTTTGCGCTAGCCCCAAGCCCAAATAGTGTTGGAGATAATATAATCTGTTGTGGCCAAACAATTTACACAAAAACTGGGTAAAAAAGTCTATGACTATTGAAGAAAATGGTTATCTATGATTTCAACTTGGCTCTAGATGTCTTCTTTTTAGACACAGTAAGCTGATAGTAACAACAGTAAAGACATTATCATAGCCTTCAAATACAAATGTACAACAGCTCCATCTACCACCAGCGCTGCACCTGTGAATTATGGTTCAGGGTCGAACACAAAGCGTGTGACGTTTGTTAATTTGGAGAGAGAGGATTGTGCAGTGCCCTGTTGCCTTCACACACAGCTCTCTAATGTAATTTATTTGAATCGACACCCCATTCATATTCCCCTTGAATATGTGACTAATGCATGTGCTGGTTTCTTCCGCTCATCTCTGCCCTCTGAGGCTCACACAAGGTCAGTCTGACCTCCAACAGCATCACAGCGACTCACAAGAACAGGGGAGGCAATCACTGCTTCAATCAACCAGCGCTGTGGCACTATCATTGAAAAAGGAGAAAAGAAATCCCCAGTCATTCTAATTGCAATGATTTCCTTATAAAAACATTCTGTAATTTCCACCGTAGAAAGCACTGGCAAACACAACAGCTCAATGTAAAAAGCAAATCAAAAGGGCTCTTGACAATACAATATCTTGAATTTAGTGATATTACATTGCTTCATTAAACTAAATGTCTTAACACTCATTTATCCATGCAAATCACCTTCTAAGTAATTCTGCTCATTGCATTCCTGCATTTAGTTTCTTACAGATGTTGTCATGCTTTTGACATTTTTGAATTGACAAACACAATGGTAAATCAATGCTAAATGCATATTGATTTCCCGTCACATTTTTCAGCCACAAAGCCAAATAACACAATTCATTTTATTGCATGAATGTGATTGTTTTAGAACACCAACTCATAACATTTCTATCAAAGCACAACCTGCCACAGTGTACACCTGTTTTCTTCATATATCTTTTCTTCCACTCTTAACTGGGACCAGAGTTAAAGCTTTTGAAATTGATCTTACTCCACCTCCATGTTTTCTTTCAATAATGTGAGTATTTCCAGTCTAACACACTACGACATGTTTTATTATATAAGTCCCTGGATGACAGAAGCCTGTCTTTGGTCAAGGACAATATTTACTCTTCCTGTCTTCCTGTGTAAAAAAGCACTCTATGTTATCTACACATCAATCTTTTAATAACACAATGAAGCTCTAAGATTTTACACTACAACTAAACCAGCTAAAATTTGTCTAAATTATGCAAATTAAGAGCACTGACTGCCAACCAGGAAATGACAAATACATTTGTGGTTCAAAATAGTCTGTTTATCTATTTCCAGCAAAATGATCATTCTCAGACTTCACTGGAAGATGCATAAAATTACCTCCCTTGCACTAAACAACATCAATGATTCCCATCTCTTTGTACTAAAACTGTTTCATCTGCCACACCTGTCCACTCCAATAGACACTACTCCTTGGCTGAGATCTGTTGGAAGCATCATTGTATATTCTAGTCTATTCAAATTACACAAGACAAAGCTTAAGCATCAGTGGGTAATGGCAATGTAGCAGACTGCATTATGGACCATATAAGCAAAAAATGTATCTTATTGATTCTAAACAAAAATACCACTTTCTTTGTGCTCACAAATAAATGAGAAGCACTTATTTCCTACAAATGCAATTCCACCATACCCAAAAAAAAAAAAAGGCTATAACTGGAACAGTTTTACATAAAGTGCCCACAGGGAGACAAAGCAATGTTCTAATCTATAGCTATTGACTTGACCCATAGGCACTGCAAATAGCTCAAAAAGGAGGTAACAGCTACATATATTAAGCCAATCTTGACTCGACCTGTTCTGTACAGGTAAAAAAAAATATGAAAGGACATGTAACAATATGTCTATAGATGGCCTATTTTGTCACATATGCCAAATACAGGAGTGATTTTTGTTGATGATGCTTGTCCCAAATGTCATATAGCCCACCTAGCCTTGAAAACTGCCTCATTATGACTATGTAAATATATTTTCTGCTTAAACCAATATTTACCTGTCCAAAGAGTGAGCTCAGGATGGTACGTAATTGGCAGTCGGACACTAACGAGGCACCGCTAGATCTCCGGGAGCGACGGGATGACCTGCTGGACAGTGGCACCGGGGAACACGAGGACGGGGAGGAACTGCTGACCCCGTGCCCTCCTCCCCGGGCCCCATTCATCATCACAGTGTTTCTTTTACGGTCTGCGGGCTCAAAAAGGGGAGCCCTGTCGTCGTGGCAGTCGGACAGTGACAGCTCTCGGGGCACATGGCGTGGGGCGTGCGTGTGACAGCGGCGCGAGGGTTCGGGCTGTTGTTGTTCAGGTGATGCGGGATGATTTGGGTCATCCAGGGGTGCTCTGTGGTGCTTCCTCCGGTGATGATGGTGATGATGATGGTGGTGATGGTGACGGTGAGACCTGGAGCGCTCCTTTACGTCAGACTCGCCACCCATGGGTTCCTGCATGTCCAAAGCGTGGTTGTGGCGGGACCTAGTTTGAACGTGATTGTCCCGACTATCAGAAAGCGAGGGGTGACAAAGGGGTCTCCGGGCAGTAATGTCCCCCTCTGCGGGCCAGTGGGACTCCTGCTCGGTTGAACTGCTGCTGTGGAGCGCGGCGGGACGGTGGCTGTCGTGGTGCGGATGCTGAGGCAGACTTCTTCGGTTCTCCGACGGGATGTGTGTCGCTCTCCTCGTTGTGGATGTTTTGAGCAGTGATGTGGTGGAATCAGATTTAGGGAAAGATGAGCTCATTGCTGCGGTTTTCTCTACCTCTGTGGCGCGATCGTCGACATCACCCGCGCTTCCTCTCCCATTGCCGTTCCCTGTCCTCCCTGCGTTAAGTTCAGGCTACATCTCACCACCTGATCTCCGGAGCGCGCACACAAGGAGCACAGGGGGGCTCCTCGCACGTCGCCGCGGAGTGCGCGTCACCTTTTTTCATTGATGAGAATCCTGGCAGCCATACAGTGACGTGGATGTGAGCCATAGTAAGATCTAGCCCAGTCCAACTTTGTTCCAGAAACAACTGAGACCAAAAATATCCCTTCAGAATGCTTTAGCTATTTTTAGATTATTGTAAAATCAATGTTTTTGCCTAGGCTCTTTGTTAACAGATGGATATGCATAGCCCATTTAGTTTTTTAAATAAATATTTATCATCTTCCCCATAAAATTTCAAATGAAAATATTTATGTAAAATGTTGTATTCTGTGGTGCGCCAGCTATTGTTCTGGGGTTGTTTCTTCCACTGATTAGCCTAATCAATTTTCAAAATAGCCTAGTAAAACAACAACAACAACAACAACAACAACAACAGCAACAAAAAAAACAAACAAACAAAAAACACTTCTGTACTTATGTTTCCCTAGAGTTTTGTCGTGTCCTGAAAGTCTGTATGTCATACCATTGTGCTATTCTCTTTCACCCCAACCAATTCTGCCTCCATTACGTCAATGGCTGACAAACTAACGTAAAAAACCCACGAAGATGAATTACTTCAGTTAGAGGTCATGTGATTTATTGATGGAGAGCATGCGGAAGAGCAGACAGCAGACAATCTGACTAGACAGGGGATTAAACTCTGCATGTGTCCAAATATGTCCCTTGTGGATCAATAAAGTTATGTCAATAATCTGACATTTTCCGTGCACCTGTAGGATAAGTAAATAACGGTGTCTTATTTGTCTGTCTACAGACTATAAATGTTCTACAGGTTTGAACCTAAATAATGATGTTATAAAGCCAAGAGACTGGATCAACTGTTACAATATTTTGTGAACCTACGCCTCCAAGTGACAGGTCTAGATAACTGCATCATAAAAAAGAAAACTTAGTAAAGCAATTTTTCAGTGAGACTCCCAGAAATGATCAATATCCATATCTGGGCCCTTTCCTTTTATAACCTATTTTATCTTTTACACTGCAGTAGGTCTCCTGTCATTTGTTTTCTATAGCAAAGTCATTTGGCAATATAATTTGGTTCTATTGCAGATTTGGTGAATATGAATGAGTGAAAAGAGCTGTCAGTTTATCTCTTAAACCTTTTCACATGCATCATGACCAAACAATGTTCTTGCCTTTTCTAGAACTGGGTCAAGTGTAAAAAAGTATTTGGTGTGTAACTTAAACCATAACATAAACAACAATGTGAACAAACTGAGCAAATTAAATCATGACATGAAATCACATCTGACCATTAACTTGACTTTAGTTCACTTTTATGAAACTGCCACCAAGTCATAATTTGTTGCTCTTCTTTTGGCATGGATTATTCTAGTTTAAGACTTACATGAGAGCAAATAAAAAAATAAAGAAAAAAATAGGGGGAAAAAAATCACTATTATTTTCATGGTGTTATAAGAGTAAAAAGACTCACTCAGCTGATTAAATAAGTTGACCATTTATTAAATGTACAGAAATGCTGTTCAAAATTTGCACAAGAACATGTTAAATTACTTTCAATGTAAACCGAATGCTTGCTCACCATGTGTATGTAAAGCGATCGCTTCGGGAATGACCCTTTAAAACAGCATTCAAGATTTCCAACCCAATTATGGACAGCTCAATGTGAGTGCCTTAGTCGCCCAATGATGTAAACAGCTTGTGATTATAATACTTTTGTAAACATTAGTAAGTAAAGTGATCATTAGTTGAATTGCAATGGACCAGTAAAGCTATAATGACTATCCACTTGCAACAATTTGATCCTTTGTGCACAGATATTCATAAGGTGCTGCTGATTTAAGTATTGTGGCTGTGTAATTAATATGCAGAATTACAATGTTCAAACAGAAAACCTCACAGAACAACAGGGATAGTACTTCATAAACATTTTACAGAATCTACAAAGTCTTCTATCAAAATGACTTTCAAAGATGGCTCTGTGGCAATGGATAATGAAAAGCATTCACTTCACCTGAAAAATCAAGACAACACAATAGTTACAGCAACGAGACAATCATTTCCAAATGTACCATTCACATAAAACCTCCACCATATGTACAGAAAAACAAACCAGATATCAAACACACTCGAATCACATGAGTAACCTGGTATAGGCTTTCTGACGTTACAGCACAGGTCGACTTACTTACACAGTGTGACCTTGATATGTGCTTTTCTAACCATTCACCTAAGACTGTCTACCACACTAGCAGGAGTTAGCGACATTAGCAGTGTCTGTAAACATTCATGAATTCAAAGTGGACATTGGACCTAGTTTATCAAAAGCGTACAGATGACTATGCTCAATATGGGCTTGTCCTTAGACACATCACAATTGCAAATTAGATTAAAAACAAGTAGCTGGATTTTAGCCCTTAAAATGTAGTTTTTAAAGAATAAGTGCAAAACAAAAATCATGATATTAAATGTACAGTAGTATATTTATGAGCTAAACTACATTCTCAGCACAGCTGTCTACTCAAAAAGCAAACAAACTAAAGCATTACTACACCACCGCCTTTGTACAAAGTGCTATAACAGGCCACTGAAGATGTCCCCCTTTCCCATAGCTGCATCATCATCCTTACACAGTATTAACTTACCATACTATACCAACATAAAGCTTAAAGCCATAAAGCTTTTAGTAATTGTTATTGTTATTCTTTACCTGTGTCTCAGCATATTTTGACCAAGTAAGGCTACTATTTGGTCAGCAGCAGCAGTTCTTAACTCTGGTGGTAAAATGACTTGGTTACTGGTGGCAACATCCAATGTCAAATGTCAAAACTGTGAGATTCAATGGTTTGAAATGTACCTTGAGCTCTTTCAACACAGAATAATAGAAAGGGGATTACAGAGTAATGGCTATTAATACTAATGTGATTGTACTTGGTCCAATATAAAACGTGTATGATATTGGCTTTTTAGTGCTCAGGGTGGAGATAAACAAGGCCCAATGTTTTGTCAGCTGTAATGGGGAGTTATGTTGAATATGGGCCAAAATATATGTACACAGTGAATGCAAGAGCTGGTCTGGACACAAAAAGAGTTGCTCCCTAATCATACAAACACTTCCTCAAATGCCCTGTGTCTGGCCTGGACATGATTCACTTATTTCCCCTCTCTGTCCTCCAAACGTCCTGGGGTGAAAATGTAGTCCAGGGCTTGTCTCTCAGCAGCTGCCACATTTGGGTGCCACAGGTCCACCATAAAAACCACACGTGGGCCGTCTTCTGGATTCCCTTCATAAATAAATACATTTTTTTTTAAATAATTATGTTTGGAAATCATCGATACATATTGGAATGATTTTTTTCTCTTCTCACCCTCATGAAAAGCCCTGTGGAGAAAGGAGTCATCAAACAGGAGACAGCTGCCCTCCGACCAGCACTGAGGTTCTCCACCAACAACAAGCTCACACGATGGGGGAACTTTCAGACCTGAAAGTAGATCGAAAACACCTAAATGCAAAATGCACAATGCACATTATGAAGATCTTTATTCCCTTCATTACTTAACCTCTGAACTTCTGGTGCCTGTTGCCATTTAATATGGAAGTATGAATAAACCAATCAGCATAACCATCGATTTTAAGGCTTGTGTTGACATCAGTGTCTATGTGTATTTTTCTGTTACCACTGCACTGTGCCGTCCTTGGACCACAGCTGACTCATGGAGGATGCCCAATAATTGCAGTTTTGAAGCTCCTCAGTCCCAGTTGCACATTCTCCCTGCTACTGACAAACTGTTTTGTCATTACAACCTACCAAAAGACAACTTGTCTACTCCCCTTACTCAGATTTTCCATGATAATTCTGTTGCACATGGTTGGATTTTTAAAGTGTTACATTTGTTCATCTTTTGGTGCACCATGACTTTACTTACATACTACTACTTACTTACTACTGTTTGTATATACACAAATGCTACAAAGATGATCTGACTGCATTAACTGCAGTCACAAAGTGATGGGTCTTACCCAGGTGGCAGCGCAGTCGGACATTCGTTGGACCGTAATGCTCAGTGATGAGAGCCCCAGGCGTGAGTACAGAAAAACAGGCATTTCCAAACACATTGTTAGCAATGAAGGTGCGCAGCTGGCCCAGGACTCTCCATGCTTTAGGGCACCTTCTAACATTGAGGACCAGAGGCGTGCCTTGGTTCACCAGATAGTAGGTCCACCATTGACCTCGTGGAGTGTTGTTTGCTTTCCATCCCGGAGGGAGTGACGAGCCGCTACGAGCTGGCGGCTGGTGATAGATACTCTCAAACTCAGCCAAGAGAGCTGGGAAGCTCTGCTCCAGCAGCTCCACATCATGTCTCTGCACTTCTCTAGAGAAGAAAGGAGCTGAGGGCAGGTCAGGGAGAAAGAACACCTCTGGCCTCTGAATGGTTGGTCTGCTATTGAGATATCTCCCCTGGTCCCGCACCCCTTTGTGCACTCGGCCCATACCAGACCAGGTGTAGCGTTTGGCGTATTCCTGCAGACTGTGGTACAGCCTCTGGTTCAGGCTCTCCCCTGCGCTGGTGCAGCGGAAACACTCAGATGACTGACAGAAGGCAAAGCCATTCTGCTCCTCCAGCAGGGAGTGCTTCCCTTTACTCCTGAAGCCTCCCACCACTCCCCCAATGTGGCTGGACCCACTCAGGTAGCGGCCTCGCAGAGGACTGGAGCTATGCTCTCGGCCCACTCTGTAACAGTACCACATAAAGAGCAGCAGCACACAGATGCCTATGGCGAAAGCACAGATCTCACACTCCCTTATAGACTGCATCCCTCCAGCCACCATCTCCCTCACATTCTCCAGTGACCACTCCATCTCTCTGCTTTGTGGAAGTGCTGAATGTGACAGAATCACAAAGTGCTGATGAGGGATCAGTTAACACGTCTTTTCTTGGTTGTAAAGGAGCCAGGTCTTGAACCACGTGCAGGGTATTAGAGAGCTCCTATTTCCCCACCTCCAATAAACAGTCAGCTGATTTGATCTGGCACTTTGTGTCTTCACTGCAAACATTTCAGCACTCTGTGACCAGGGAAGACTTCTTGCCCGATGTCTGGCTGTGCAGCATTTGTGCTGTTGTTCCTTCAGATAAATGCAGACAGACACTGCACCTCGGGGTTATCTGAAACAGACAGGAAGATGCTGCTGTCACTGACAGTGCATTCATGCAGACTGTCAACTGAAGATGATTTGGACACATCAGTTTCACATTTGACAGTTTAGTGTGTGCACAAGCTTGTTCAGATTTTTACACACACCCCCTCTCCTTGCACTACTGAAATTATGAGTCATGAGACATAGCTGCATTTTACACATCTGTTCCCTCTTCTTATTGCTGCACACAGCTTTGGCTGAATTATGTAAACAGTGATACATCCCACAATAATAATTGGCATTCATAGGTTGCTCAGCAGAGCTGCATACGGATCCTCAGGGGATGGTAAAGGGGTGGGAGGGGTGAAATGTAGCTATTCAGTGATCATATGCTGCCCAAGAAAAACAGACATTATATGAGAATGATTATATAATACTAATGGATGTAGGGCGCAGGGAGTGCAATGCGTCAATGTGATGAGAACTCCATGGTTCTCTCTCTCCAAAAATGGTCGGGTAATCCTGCTCCAAGAGATCCTCCCCTACATCCTGTCTGACAGCGTCAAGACGCCCCCACACCCTCACTCCAACGCCGCTTTTAGGACCCACTGACTGAGGCCATCAGACCCAAATATTACAATATCACATCCATTCAGAACGGTACGCAATTTATTCACAACACTATCTATCTGGATCTTCACCATGATTAGAGCTTCTCAAAAGAGCCACAGATGCAGCGACTCGGAGAACTAGCCTTCTCATGATCTGCCTCTACAGCAGTGATCCCATACCCCATTAATTTAAAGGCATGGAGTTAAATCGTCAGTGTGTGTGTGGTGCATTAGTTAGTGGCTTTTTGTGTCCATACCTACTCAACATTCATGGCTGTGGCCAGGAGAGGCTCACAGGTGTTCCTCCAGACGAAGCTGCGCACCACTGCAGTGCACACGGCAGCAGGCGGATATCACCTCGCAACATTATACGGCGTTTCCAAAATCAAAAGCAGCTCAGCCGGTTTAGACAGTCATCGCATATTTGTTAAAGTGTTGGCACGTCGATATGCCGAGCGTTTCTCTCCGTGCCTTTGTGTGGCTGCAGAAAGGCTCCCGAAAACATAGGTGTAAATAGCCTACTGAAGCTTCACCAGAGGAAACCCCGCGTCAAGTTAATGAAACAAAACAGATGAACATCCACACACATTTCAAAATAAAGGTTGGATATTGGTCTTAATTTTATTAACATGTTTTTGTCAAGTAGAAAGAACTAAAAACGGACAGGTCTATTTTTGGGTATAGCCTACAGTGTTTTTAAGATTGATATGAATTTCAGATATATGCTAGCTGTAAGGGCAGCGGCTGATATAGGCTTATGGGAGATTGTGTGTGTTAGGCTACGTCCACGAATTTGCTGTGTTGATTTTATGGCTTAAAATCTTTCCAAACTGCCAGACTCTTCTACTAAATTTTCACTTTCACTTTGTAAAATTGTTATAATTGTTCACTTATGCTGACAGATTGGGTAAGGCATTGAATTTTGATGATTTATTTATTTATTTTCTTACGGACAGGCCCAGTAGTTAGAGTTTTAACCAAAACATGTCAATACATCTGCCATCACATATTAAAACAGCAAATTCCACCATGCGATATCTGTATATATTGTAGAATGTTGTACACAATAGGTCTTCATCCACATCTCATATGTCTGCCCTTGGGTTAGGCAGTACCACCAGTCCCTCCAGTCACCACCAATGATAACTCACACCCCACATTCAAACAAGGGCAACATGGTTGACATCTTGCCCAAGAACACAACAATAGTTAGTTAACAGTAGTTACTAATAATAGCAACACTGAAATGAGCCACTGCAAGCCATTGATCATAAAGTGCTTGATTCACAAGGGCTGTTGAAAAGTCCTTTTATTCGGCCACTTTCACAAGATCAAAACTTAAAAACTACTCAAAAGTTGATTGTGGTAAATTGTATAGCAATAACAACATTTATGCAGCCCATAGAAAATGGTTTGTACGCCTACATGGTCATTTTATGGTGAAAGTCTTTATCCGGCATTACAGTGTACACAGTAGGCAAACTTTGCAAACTCATGCGCCTTTCTTCCGTGTGGATGGATGATCGAGGCTCACCCAGGAATACATTTCCCACCATGCTTTGCAATGTAAAAGCATGTGCATCTGCAGCAGACGGCTGGAAGCTCACTGACCGGTGGATAGGGCCAATTAAAGGTTTACAGTTTACAGTTTTAAGACGTAGGCCATTACTAGCACAGCTAAACCTGGGTTGCTGGTGCCTTAACCTGGATACATAGTACACGCACAAGTTTTCAGGGGAGGGATTAATGACTGGCTGCAGATTTAGAGAAACTCATATGAGGCTATAAGGCTGTGGGAATTGATGACCAAAAATTCAGCATGTCAAAGTAGTGTCCCATCTTTTTTTCAACTACATCAGACATTCTCGAAAACCTTAAATCAGACAGTAATATTATATTCTAAATTTATTTGTCAGAGTCCTGGTTACCCATACCCTACTGAACATAGGACTGCCACACACAGTGTGGTACTATAAATGTTTTGATACTTAAGACCAACAATGCTGAATTTTCTGCCTTCACAAATGGAAAGTGTCAGTCCATTATGATTAATTTATTTATACAGTACTGGAGTTAGTCAAAGCCTTGAGTGAGGTCACTATTACAACGTGTACAATTACAGTTAAAGTTTTGTCATCTGACTTTCGTACCCTATTTGCTTTTCTTACACAGGTAGGGTTTTATGGATCATAGGCTCAAATTCATCCATTAAAAAAAACAAAACAAAATGAAAAAAACTGGTAAAACTGGAAAAGGACTAGGCTATTCATACTATAGGCATTATTTTATTCACTTGAAAAAAAAAAGGTTCTGTTTTTACGAGTAAAGAATTATTATTATTTTTTTATGAGTAGTTTAAAATTTTTTGAGAAAAGGTTTTGTTTTTATGAGTAACGTCTAATTTTTAGACCAACCATTAATGACATAGTAGAGTATGTCCCAGTCATCAGTTGGATGCATTGCGTGTGCTTGGCCTCAAGGGACTGGGCAGTAGTGAAGAGGCCTGAGGGGACTTGCTAGAGTTGGGTTTGACATGTACATATAGTGCACATATCTGACTCGCTCCAGTTACTCCCAAGCATGTGTATAAGAATGGACATGTTGCATTTTGAGCTTTTCTCCTAAAGAGTAGGCCACTGCGTTTGATTATGACATGCACAGGAAAGTCTTTATTTATAAATTAGCAGCTCAGGTCCAGCAGAGATTTTCTCATAAAAACTTTTTTCTCATTAAACCGAAACGAATGCAATGCGCAAAGCAAAAAGTAGTATATTCATGTTCAATCATTCTAAACCTGTTGTAAATTTAAGTATAAAACTTTTCTTGTGTGAAAACCTTAATTACAGAGACTATTATTTATGCACCACAGGCCTACTTGCTACTTTGCAGTTTAACTGTTATAGGACAAAACAGGCTATAGCTTTTTTGTCGCTTGGCTTAAATATTTTCATCATGAGTAATTATTTAAGCTACTCGAAGTGAACCGTGAAGTTTTGATTGGCATTGCAACTTTGTTTCATTTTCCACAGGCGCTTGATGGGCGGGGTCAAGCAGCTGGTTGGTTTATACCTGACAAAAGTTTTTAAGAAAAGTCATCACTCGTTTTAAGTGAGAAAGGGTACAACGTTGCGTCAAAGTCACGCAAAGTTCATGCGTGGAATAAGAAGAGTGTATCATGGCCCGTCCGAAACCAAAGACCCGAGTGTACGTGTACGCGCTGATGCTCCTGAGCGTCGTTGGCGTCGTTGTGTGGATCAGTGTGTTTGCTTCGAGGTCCAGGTGTCCACACGGAAGTTTTTCCAAAGCAGCAGTTGCCGCAGACTCAGAGATATGTTCTCAAATTGGAAGGTGAGGTTTCAATTAATGCTCAGTTTAGTGGTGAAAGAAGAGAATCAAATTACTTTTAGATTAGACTTTCTCTGACTAAATGAAACATGCTTGAAATGTAAGAAAATGCTCGTGCTTTTCCCTGGAGAGAGAGAAAAAACGTTTTAAAGTCATCTCTGTTCTGTAGCATATAGACGTGTGTTATACATTGATTCAACACAGTGCATTTACTATTTGTCAGATACACAAGGGACATGTCGATTGAAGTATCAATATTAAATTTGGCTGCTGTATTTCCTTAACGCTATAGGCTATTTGTGCTCAATATTTTACAATGAAAAGCAAAAGATTATTTTTCACTTACAATAATAGAAGCGAAAGCAAAATAGACAATAGAAGTGGTTAATTATGTTCATGTCTGTAACACGGAAAAGTAACTGCACTGAAAAACTTGTAATAGGACTATTGTTTGCTTATTGCCACGGCCAGTCTTAAGTTTTGCTGTGTACTAGAGACATGCTGCAGAAAGGCGGCTCGGCGGTAGATGGCGCCATTGCTGCGCTTCTCTGCACCTCCCTTGTCAACCCGCAGAGCATGGGCATCGGAGGAGGGGCTATATTCACAGTGATGGACAGTTCAGGTAAGTTTTGGGCTATTTTCCCCCGTAGTGAAAGTATATGATATGTTTTCTCCTCCTTTTATAGGTAATGTAAAAATCATCTCCTCCAGGGAGAGTGTTCCACAGAAGCTCAAACCGGACCTGCTAAAAATTTGCCCTAAGAAATTCCGATTCCTATCAGGTATAATGCCCTGTACCCAAGACCCTGTGAAACGTGAACCACTTGTTCTGTGTATTAATGTGAGGGTGGAAAGGGGGTGGGGTGAGGAAGGATGGAAATGTTAGAAGTCCATGAGCGCCATTAGAATTTACATATGACTTCTTTTCTCTTAGGTCCTGAATTTATTGGGGTTCCAGGAGAAATCCGGGGTTATGAACTGGCTCACAAACTGTACGGGAAGCTGCCGTGGGCCACACTGTTCCAGCCAGCAATCAAACTCGCCAGGGAAGGGCTGCAGCTAACCCCAGTGACAGAAAAATATATCCCAGCCATCAACAAGAATTTTTCACTGTAGTATGACAATTATCTCTTGTCTTGTTTATTGCAACTGTTTGGTGAAAAATCAAAGGGAACAACTATTCTGCACTTTTAAAGTGCTGCCAACTTGGAGAAATAACCATTATTTAACATTAAGCCCTTTATAGAATGGGATGAGCCTCAATAAATATGTTGCTGTGATTGCACAGTACAGATATGGATAGACTTGGATCAGGTTTTCCACATATATATGTTTAATTTCTTATCTCTTTTATGTTTTCTAGTAAACTCTTTTCTGATGCAAATGGGAATCCACGGAAAACTGGTGATATTGTGAAATTTGAGAAACTGGCTGATACTTTAGAGCTGATTGCTAACCATGGTCCAGAGGCCTTTTACTCTGGGAAGATAGCGCAGGATCTAATCAGCGACATACAGGAGGCAGGTACTGGCACCTTTCTATCTGATACATTTAGCATTTCAGTTATGCACTGATCTGGTGAACTGTTCGTTTATAACATTTGGCTGAGCAAAGGCCAAGAACAGATATAACAGTCATACTACAATAATGTCATTTTTACACTGTGCACATTTATAATTTCTTAAATGTAGAGCTTTACAGTTTCATTGTAAAGGCAAAAGGAACATCACCCTTTCAAAAGGGTGATGATCAAATCAAATCAAATAAAGTTTGATTTGATTTGATTCAATAATTTAGATTTTACTTCAGTAATTTACTAATGAATGATGGTGTAAGCACAGTGTTTTCAGTTGTTTTTGCTCAGAACTTTTTGTCTTCTTTGACTCAGGGGGAACACTGACGCTGCAGGATTTAGCATCATTCAGGGCTTCACAAAGTGATCCATTGGTTTTTCCTTTTCAAGAATTTGAAGTGTACATCCCACCACCACCTGCTGGGGGTGCTATCCTCGCCCTGGTCCTCAACATCCTGAAAGGTTTGCATCAACACTTTCTCAGAATATGTGAACATGGCTTCAGTTACATAGTGTTAGAGCCTCATTAAAACTTGATGCCTTCACTTGTATACATGAACTGTTTACTTCAATGCTCAACTCACCCAAGCGCACAACAAAGCTGCATATGGTGTCAGTCTGCCAATGTTTAAGCTTCATATTTAAAAGGATGGGTTACGTAACATTGTTTTATTTGTTTAAAGGAAGAATTATGTTTGTTTTACAGGTTATAACTGGGATGCCAAATCCTTTAAACTAGAAGAAAAGACGTTGGCCTATCACCGATATATTGAGGCTTTTAAGTTTGTCAATGGACTTAAAAAACACATGCAAGATCCTAACACTTCAGACAAAGTATGTTATACAGATTAACAGTCCCCCCCACTATTATCGGCACCCCTTGGGAGTATTCCATGAAGGACCATTCCGTTAGTACTTATTTTTGACAATCCAGGTTTAATCCAAGTTTTTTATCCAAGTTTTTTGATGATTTAAGACTTTTCATAGTTCGTTGTGTACTCCCACGCACTAAAAGATTTTAGGATTACGATGGTGCAGCAAACATCAAGTGAGCACAAAAGAGCCTAAAATAACTGCCTATAGCCTATAATGCAGTATTTTATTATTGATCTCAAGCATGCACTTTAATATCATACACTCAAACACTTAATTGCTCTTTGGAATGAACTGTATTCATTTAAAATGTTTTAACACAAATAATATAGGTTTATGTTTTGTGGTGTGATCCTAGGAATTGAGGCTTAAACATCAAGCTTGAATGATTGTTTGTTTGATTCATTTCTTCCATGGAAGAACTAGTTTTCATTTCCAGAATTGCAGGATAAGCCTGGACTTGTTCAGAGATGCTGCATAAATACCCCTTTATAATGTTGTTGTTGTTGTTGTGGTAGAACTTTGGCAGCGTTTCATAGAGATTTTAGGCCACTGACACCATGGTCCTGTCCTGTAGTACAAGATTATTTTCTGTTTTGAATCACTTTAAAATGATTTGGGATTTTAAAAAATGACTAATATTTGTGCCATGAACGATGCTTTGTGTAACTTTTCTGGTCCAATTCTTTTTTCCATGGAGATGTTATTGCTTTGTCTGGAATATTTCACAGTATGATATTAAATCTTTCTATAATCATAGAGACCAAACCAGACTGGACCAGAAGTTGCAGATCAGATCTGCAGAAAAGCAGCCACACTCTCAGTCAAAATGCCTGTTTTTCTAGGTATTTTTGAGCTATAAACCACCTGTAATTGAATAAATGTAAGGTAGAGCTGTTTAATTTCATACTGTGGAACATTTCAGGCAGAGCAGTGACACCTCCATAGAAACAAGCAGGTGACGGACCGATAACCTAAAAGTTACATCGTGTACCTTTTGCAATAGCTTGCATAATGGTCTTTTGATAAGAGTTTCTCACTTGCTTACAACAGATTGCCAGAACATTTATTCAGGACAGTTTTGCGGATCACATCAGGACTTTGATCAGTGACAGGACTTTTGAAGACCAATACTACAACTTGACCTCCTATCTGGACTCTATGGGGACTACACACATGTCCGTCCTGGCCGAGGATGGGTCTGCGGTCTCTGTCACCAGCACCATCAACCACATGTCAGTACCTTCAATAATTTGTATTAATTTAAAATATATAATTGCTATAATTTATTTTTGTTTTAGAAATGTATTATTATTTTAGTAGTAACATAAAGTATCAGTTTTATGTTGTGGGATATTAATTTCAAAATTCACAAAATGCCTTAACAGTTATTTAACATTGAACTGATAAAATTGGTACTTGTTCTGACCGAGAACCTCAACCCTTTTCCCTCTTGTTCACATCAATAGTACATTCCTACACCACCCATTAATAAATGTATAGCTGAAGAGACAAACAATTTACTTCTTTAAACAGTGGTCACAGTGTTGTTACAGTCACAGAAATCCATAAAGATGGTCAGAGTCATATATAGGGCACAACATAATCATACAGTAAACCTTAACAAGTCCAACAGATGCTATTTGCATCTCAGGGAACATTTGATTCTTAAAGTGTTTGACCTGTATAGGAATTCTTTGTTGCAAAGGGTGTGCCATATCACTTACAGGCAGCCATTTCAAAATATATTTTTGCTGATATCATTCAAGAATGAGAATACAATTCATTTCTCCAAGTCTTCACTCTAAATTACATGAATGACTGGTAGACCAGGCCTGTTAAAAAGACCCAAGCTTATCATTACAATCTGCAAACAATCTGATTGAACATTATGTGTGGTCCATGTGGATATACCCAGTAATTACAGAGATCTTATACAAAAACATGTTAAAATTATGACACATATGATGAGTCATAAGGTGCACTATGTAACCTTTTGGCTGGTAGGCGCGCCACATGGTTGTTTCCATGAAAATGTTACTACTTTGTCTGGTTAGTTTATTGCCATACTGTAGAACAATTTCCATGGTGACAAGCAGGGGACACCACCAGGCCAAGTAACAAGTCAGATCTGTGGAGAGACAAGACAATAAAAAATGTTTAGCACAAAATGTTGATAAAATATTTCTGAAATGTTCAATTTTTAAATGCTCTCTTCCAGATTTGGCTCACAGATCCTCTCTACAAAAACTGGAATCATTCTCAATAATCAGATTGCAGATTTCTGTGGAACAACTGAAGAAATCCATGCAGGTAAGGCACTTTATCATAAACATTGTTAGAACTGTGAATAGTCAATTTGCTTCTATAAGACTACTTGGCGTAGTCTAGCGTTTCTTTTGTGGTTTGTGCTATTCAAAATCTTGCCTCTAATTGCAATTTTAGACATTTTCTTCTGTGCTCTATGTTTATTTTAATCATGCGTTGTCAGTCATGGCTTTGTTGCATTGTCAGGAGAGCACCCCCCCTCCTCTGCCTCACCCGCTGTGCTCAAGTCCCAATCAAGGACACTGGTAATTGGTGCGTCCGGAGGGAGCATGATCGTGACGGGTATAGCCTCGGTGCGTATCCTTAGTGCCCCCCAGTGTCTTGTAAAAAAAGCTGTCTGCACAAATGTCCGATATCATATCCATAAGACCATTGTGTAAACACTACTGTAATCCCTTTTCATTTAGACTCTCATGAATCGACTCTGGTTTGGAAAGAGCCTCAAGGATGCAGTAGCATCTCCAGTGGTTTTTGTCAACTCTGCTAATCAACCCATATTTGAGGGAGAATTTGATCAGGTAATAATTTTTTATCCTTTTTTATAAAATATTGTGTAGGTGAGATATACTTTATTTAGAATGTATAAGAAGACATATCTGACGCAAGCAATACTAATAACCACAACATTGTAGTAGTCACCTTGACCCTGTTCGGCAAAGTTTGCTTTTTAATCCATTGTGTTTTCTTTGGGACACTTTCAAGCACACATGATGTATCATTATCTTTTTCTTTTTAGTCTATTCTGCAGCTGAAAAAGAGTCAAAATCCTCCATTAATGTTGTATTTTTTTGTTCCCAGAAAATAATTAAAGGCTTAATTGCCTTTGGACACAAATATGATCCACAATATGTAAGGTTATTTAATGTGGTAAATGCTGTGGAGAAGGATGGTGACTGTATCTGTGCTGTGTCTGATGCCAGGAAAATGGGAAAAGCAGCTGGATACTAACTTTAATACCAAACTTGATTATTGTGAAAGACTCAAAGTTGTAACGAACACTTTGTGAAGTTATTAAAGTGAACTGCAAAAATGGTTTGAACAAGAATTTACACATCCGCTGTCCAACTGATGTGTGGCCTTTCATTTCTCACCTCAGACAACCATGGCTAATTCTTTTCAGATAATGACAGCCATCAGTACAGACTTGTTTAATGGTATGTGTCATATGATAATTGTTTGCCATTTTAATTATTTTGAAGCAGCATTTCCCATGAAACACAGATTAATCAATCCCAATGGAACTGTTAATTAATCTGCACCTTCTGTATAATTGATGAATATAGTGTAAATTGTTATAATGCACTTGTTGCTTTGATATGAAAATCTCTGGTGAGTCAGTCCTTGAAAGAAAACTTGAAATCTTCAAATTTGTTTTATGCAGAGATGGAAAATACTTAATACTCATAAGTACCTACAAATACATATATTACTGTATTTAAGTCAATTCTTGGGGTAATATAGTGTTAAGTAATATTAGGACTATAATATAGTATTATCATAATATTAAACCTAACCTAATCTAACATGCACTATACTGTACTCAACTGTGATGAGTCATTGTGATCTGGAGCATGCAGATGAAGCAAAAATAATCACATCAAGGAATGACTCAAACAGGAAGTATGAGTTTTTCTACAAACACATTTTCTGACTGCCATAGGTATCCAACTAGTGGATCATTTTTTTATTTGGCAAAGAAGATTAAGCCAAAATTATGTTGATCTACACTTTATTGTGTAGCCCAAACAATGCCAAATTACACTATGGGTATAATGCAAGTGCAGCTGTAGTGTAGCTCAAGCCTTTTTTTTTTTTGGTGGCCACATTAAAACTGATCACTTTCATATAGATATATAAAAGCATACAGTCAATCCCAGGTGACTTATACTAGTTTTACTGCCCTGCCCTATGATATTTGCACTCCAGGGGCATTAAATTGACACTTTGATATTTTAGGACTGTCTCATAACCAAATTTGAGGTTTGAGGGTAGCATCCATTGTAAACCTCATTCAAAATGGATCGTACTAGCTCACTTGGACTGCTGGTGGCCAATTTGCCAAGACACAAAATATGTTTTACATATTATGAAATTCATTTTAAATATCTTTGTATGCTTTCATATTTTATAAATTTTAGACATTGTAGCCAATTGTAAATACCATGTATATGTTCAGAATTTAATTTGTAAGGTTTTTTAATGCTGGAAGTCAAGTTGACCACTCCAAAACCACGTTGTGAAAGTTTGACCTTTGTGTTTATGCTTCAGCAGTTAGGTGTACAAACTGTGGCATTTCCCTAGAATAAAGCCTGTTCAAATATGAGTTCATAAAATATTCCCTCTTCACTTCAATACAACAGTTTATTGGCAGTTTGACGGTTAAAGACATTAACACACAGTACAGGAAGGAGAAAACATGGAACAGATTGAACCAGGGATGAAGGCTGACATGTTAACAATAGGAACATCTCACAGTTTCTGAAGCAGGAATGCCAGATTCAAAATGCCCTATATACTAAACATGTGTATGCATAATCACATTAGCCACATTCCCCATGAATTGGTAGCTAATTATTACATTACAATCACAGAGAAGGATCAAAGACAACAGTAAAATACAAATCATTACATGTGGACATTTAACACTTACAAACATATAGTAGAGACATTTCAACATGTACTATATAATATATCTGCTAAAGAGGGTCAGTGTCTAACATTCAAACATTTGGTCAGTTACTATCAAGAGGTATGTCCATTTAAGCTTATGTTATTGATTTGACAGAAAATATATTGAGTAAATATGGAAAATAATATATAAAAAAATAACAGTGCCTTAAAGTGCATTGCAGTGTATCGGTCAGTCTTAACTTATTTATTGTTTTATTAAGTGCTACAGAAATGGAACCAAGAAATTAACAGTCATGGCTGTGTCAGAAGTAACCCTGACCACCAAATTACAGCATTAATGATGTCAATGAAGAAATCGGCAGTAGGAAGAGCACGAGTGAGACTCAGAGGTGGAAATGTACATAATTTTACCCAAATATTATAATTATTATTGAAGTAGAAGTAAAAATATGTATTATATTAAATTTAATGTGAAATAGTTTTCATTTGGCAAAATTTACTACTTTCACTGCTGAGCCCACGATAGGCAGACAGACCCTGTGTATGATAAAACATACCCATTAAGAGATTTTCTTAGACTAGGAACAATTTGATCAAGAATATTGTAAACTAGTAGCCTACTTTAATCCTGATAACATTTTGTTTTTACTCAGAATGATACAAATACAATTTCTTGTAAAAATCAAATACTTTAGTAAAATTATAATTTCCACTTTTAAGACCCAATTAGTTTTAGTGATAAAAAAGTATTGAAGTATAGTTTGATAACTACAAGACTGAATAATTACAGATGTATATCAGCATTTAGGCATTTAAATACAAAACTGACCAGTGACATTACCCTTTGTTGTATCCTACTTGTTGTCTTCGAAGATTGCTTTGTTCACCTAAAGTGCACAAAATCTGAACAACAGCCATGTTTTGTGTCCTCATTTACATCAACACAAGGGCCACGCAGGTATTCACAAGTGGACATTTTGGGTGGGGGGGGCACGCCAAAAAGTCTTGACCTAGCAGTTTTGCCCACATCACGTGACTAGTCGGCCGTAGGGTCTGTTGAACTTGTGTCATAGCTTTTGTTGGGAGATTAACATAGAACACACAATGTGGAGCTAGACCCTAGCTGCCAACATTGGTCCCAGTCCTGGTATAGACTCCCAAAAAACCTGGTTCACTTCAGCTTTACCACCGCTGCCGGGATGCTACTCCTCTTGACCTTGGCGACCATTTGATCGAAAACATCTCTACTTTTCATCATCATTGATCGAGAGTCTTTGAAGATAAGTAAGCAAGCGGTGGAGAGAGAGAGAGAGCACGCCAGGTTATTTTACTCATCCTGCCCCCATCCAATGAAACCCAACTGTCTTTCCAAGAGCACCATCCACCAACACAGTGAGTCCTCCTATCATGTTATATGTGTCATAGATGTAGAGCTTGGGTCAGCCATTTTGGATTTTAACAAGGTATATGAGCACTGGTTGTTTGAGCGTGCTCTGAAGGTGACTTGTTTTTGAGTGGGCAAAGACAGATATAGCTAGAGTGCCACTGGATAATGCTGACATATGATATCTGAAAAATCACCTTTCACAATAGTGTAGGGTGAATTTTTTTGATAGCCGTTTTTCACCTAACCCCCATGACTCAAGCTCATCCTTATTCTCCATATCTTCATCCTGTTCAGCTTCCTCCTCCTCCTCTTCTTCATAATGACTAGGTTCCTCTATAGATGTCTCCAAGTGATAGCAGTAAGGTTGGCCCTCTGTGTATTCATAAATAGTGGGCAGGCTACTTTTGAGACTGCATCGCCGCCGTAGTGCCACCAGCAGAGGTTGTGGCATGGTAAAAATGTCCACATTGTTGCCCAGATCGATCCAAGCCAAACTGGAGAACTTCTTGGGATCTTTCAGCATTTCAGTGAGGTCTTTGAGTATGGCTATGGTTAAGCGGTTGCCATTCAAAGCTAGGGTGCTTAATTTGGGCATCAGTGCGAGAAGTGGAAGCAGAAACCTTAAGTTATCATCATGGAGTTCAGTGAAGCTAATGTCCACAGCTACAACACTGTCTCTGTTGTTTTGGAGGTAGAAGGCAACCTGGCGGACATCCCGAGTGGACAGGGGGATCCCAGACAGGTCAACCGTGTCGCTGGACAGTTTCTTCTGTAGGGTCGTCTTCAAGCTGTAACACACAAGAAAGAGAGATGCATTTCGGATCTATTGCATTGTCTGCCATTATCTAGGTGAAAACAATTTAAGCTCTTGGGTTGTGTTAACAATTTGCCTTTTTATTAAATAAAAAAAAATAGATCGCCATCTTTATCATTTTCATTGCGCCCCATCTTAAAACATGCATATTGAAAGTAGCTATTGAATGTCTTAACCTTAATTTTTCCAGAAAATTATAAGGCATATATATTTAGTATTAAGTTGCCTCTCTTGCCCACTCAACATTTTTCTTTCCATAGAAGAAACTTTTATGGATAAATTAACATTGTATTATCCCATTCTTATTTATTGAATTGATTCAGTATAAGTCAATAATCTTTCAGTGAGACTTGGTTAAGTGTTTTGTATGCATGATGTGACTATGAAAGCGGGGGTGACGGGGCTAACTTGGAGCGGAAGGCTGACCAAGTAGAAACTCAGGCAAGGGATTTGCCAGTGTAAACAGAGGAGCCAAAACATCCGAATGAGGCAGCAGCTTGAGCTTAGAGCTGGGAGGGACATGAGACAAGATCTGAAATGGCTCAAACTATGCATGACTTGTTTTCAGTATTGATTTTCATTTCAGTTAATGCATTACAGCCTTTTATTGAATGGTACTGGTGAAATGAAATAGTCCCATGGTCTGTCATGAAAGATTCTGCATTAGAAAATGCAGGGAAATAGTGACGATTTGTGCATAGCTTTAAAATTTGAGACTTTGTGGGGATATTACTTTGAACAATGATTGTGCTAATTTTTAGGCTATTGTTTTTGTATTTAGAGATCACCCAATTATCCACGTTGGTTGAAATTCTGCTGAAAATAACTCAGCACAGCTTAATCTTAATAGTCACACTCTGCAATGCATTTCTCAACACATTTTGCATGGTATATATATCTTGCTTGGTTAGGAATTTAGGGGTTGTAAGACCAGTATGTAGTCTATCGATGTTAGTAGAAAATCTACGAGGGTAGATCCCCAAGAAGGAATCCCAAATTGGAGATTTATTTATGTAGAGAGAAAAATAAGAGAAAGCTAGCTTGTGTGATTGCAGGGATGCTGACAACAGGGATAGATGGTTGAGGCAGGTCTCTAAAGACCAGAGTTAAATGTATTTAAAAACATTTTATAATACAATAAAAATGACCAAAATAATTTTTGAAAAAGTACAAAGGTTTAAAGGTGCATCGTGTAACTTTGTGATAGAGGGTCAGTCAAATTCTTTTCTTCATGGATATGTTATTGTTTTGTCTGACATTTTAAACAGTATGGTATTAACCCTTTCTATCTTCATGGAGAATCAGGCCAAGTTACAGGTCATATGTGTGGAGAGGCCACCCCACTCACAGTCAGAATGTCTGTTTTTCTAAGTTTCTAGGTTTTTTGAGCTATAAAAAACACCTGTAATTTAATAAATTTAAGGCAAAGCTGCTTAATGTCATACTGTGGAACATTCCAGGCAGAGCAATGACATATCCATAGAATCAAGCAGCTGGAAATACGCAGCCACTATAAGTTCAATATAAATTCAAATCAGCATGAACTGCAGATATAACACATGGCCACTTTATTCTCCACAACAGTCTACAGTCTTTATCCATTATTTACAGTTATACTGTGGCCTTTTGTATCCTGTCACTCTAGCACAACTAAAGTGTCTCGTCATAGTGTTGCTTCAGTGTCAGGGTAAATTATAATATCCTCGGGCACATGATGACTTACGGTGACATCTGCAGCATACCTGTCAGTGGTGCAGCCTTTAATGTGTTTTTAGGGTCGTGCTGGAAATGGAGAGAGCTTTTCTGATTTAGCCCCGAGCTGTATTTTACAGCCACTATTTAAAATAAAGTGAAGACACGATGCATTGGACTGTTTGGTTCAACAAGAAGCTTTTGCTCATCAACAGGTGCATATCCAGACTATAGATTAAAAGTTAATTGTGTAACTTTTTTGATGGAGTGCTCCAGGGTCTGTAAAATGCTTTTCTACATGGATATGTTATTGCTTTGTTTGGTATGTTAAACCTTTCTATCTTCATGGAGACCAAACCAGAACAAGTTACAGAGATCTGTGGAAAGGCAACCCCAATCACAGTCAGATTGCTTGTTTTTTTGTTTTTTGTTTTTTATTTTCAGGTATTTTTGAGTTATAAAATCACCTAAAATTTAATAAATATAAGGTAGAGCTATTTAATGTCATAGTGGAACAGCAATGACATCTCCAAGGAGAAAAGAATTTGATGGACCCTCTACCAGAAAAGTTACATACTGCACCTATAAAATGTGGAAAAATAAATTATTAAGTCAAATATTTTTAAGTAGACCTGAACGCTGTAGAATGTATCCAGTATACTACACATCACCTACTTAAATTTTTATTTATATATGAATTAATCTTCTAATTGGTTGTGGGAAGATGAAGTCTGAAATTTAACACTTGTGGAAAAACTTAAATAAATAATTACTTTGTTACAATTGTTCATTATTTATTTTACTTTTTTGTATTCACTGATTTAATATTCAATTTCAGATTCTTGACAGTTATTCAAGTATGGTATTATGACTTTATTTACCACCCTATACCAATTTATTCAATTGCGTCAGTGGTCTATAATGCATGTGTTTTGCTTTTCCAAAACATGACTAATGTCCATGAAATTTTAATGTACTAATGTATGCTAAAGTGCGATTACATTAGCTGCCTGCATCTTCATCCAAATCTCTGCTCTTATTGACCTCAGAGCCTTGTGTAAGACTAATCATCACTGGTCCAGTAATGGCTCCAACCTGGCAACCCTCCTCATGAGGTGAAAATGGATTTTGATCACACAACTCGCTGCTCTTCAGCTTAGCTCAGTCGGCTGAATCCAGGCATGAAAAAGGCATTCAAAGAGGAAGCAAACTCTATTTCTCTAACATTAATCTGATAGTCTCAGAAGGACAGCCAAATGTATCAAGACAAAAGTGGTTTAAAGAAGATCTAATGGATGAAAGGACAGCGCAGAGGGCAAAAAAAAAATCATTTTCAAATGGGAGAATATTTTAGTTTCTGAAAGAAGAGGCATCTGGACCTTATAAGTGAACAAAAAAATTTACAGTTGGAGGGTCCACCACTTTGTCTCCTATTATTACTTTTTGACTATAATGTTCCACAGTAGTAGAGAAAAATTAAAAAAATTAAATAAAATAAATAAATAAATAAATAAATACCAAAAAACTTGCTTGCTCACTACTATTTAGATAGAAAAATGTAATGCCATACTGTGGAACATTCCAAAGCAAATGTGGCAAATTATTTTATGCATATCAAAATGTAGCTAACTTTATTTGAACACATTCTCTGGAAGTTTAAGATTTATATATCAGTATCAGTCAAGGTTGTTGTAATCAGAAATATTGCACCTATAGCTCTAATGCCACATTTGCATTCACATAATCTATCACACAGCCATTAATAATATTACATAATTACATAATAAAGTAATCTATTAAAATCATGTTTAAATGCTAAAGGCACTTTTTTGCATTAAGATGGACTGCTGAGTAAATTTTAATGCAAAATGTATTAAAATTGACAGGTAACTTTTCACTGATTGCAAGTGTATGTGTAATTGGATTCTGAAAAATGTGGTCATTGATTTGCGTTGATGTGACAGAGGTTTTCATCCTTACATAGTGTCTTTTTTGATTCAAAGTACATTTTATTTCAAGATTATTATCCAGATGAGTCTAAATATATGCTGTGTGTGTTGAGTATTTGAAATTGCAATATGGCTCAACTACATTAAACGGCACCTCCTCTATATAGTGGCAGCTCATATCCCTCTGTTAATTTTGCCTGAGCTGTCCTCACCTCCCCCCGAGGCAATTACTCCACCGCTCACACCATTATTTTCTGCACAGTCATTTACACTCTAGCCCTGCTCTTAACTCTTTATTATGAGTTTGTTCTTCAACCACAACCACAGAAGAGCCATAGACATCCACAGAACCTTTTTCCTCATTGAATAATTTGCACTGACTTTGATGGACATTATAGCGGAGCATTATGAACATAGAAAAAGCTTTTATATTGTTTATCTGTACTTTTCTTAATAAAGTTGGAACAGCATTGTTTACTTTTGATATCAATTAAATAAACTGAAGTTTTATCAAATCGTGTCAGTAAGGTTTGCCTATAATATTTAATAAGCATGAGCTATCTAATGTTTATGTTTCCTTTTTTCTTTTGGTTCTGAAGCTGATTCAAACCAGAATGAGCCTCACATTTTGCGTTGCCATATTCTACAACTTAAACCAGTTGCAAATAAACATAAAATGGCTCTCTAAGATGTGAATACTGCTAGAACAACCTTTAGTAGTTGCAGCTCAATGATTGAATTCTGCAAGTTCTGAATTTTCAAATGAGGTCAGCCTTTTCCATGTATACTGAGAGCAGAACACTGTGTCCTCATATAGAGAAGGCACTAGCAACCTAGGAAAAGTTGTGTCTTTAAATTTATAGTCAATAACAGTGCATTGAAGAGTACGACTAGCCTATGGCCATGGGCTTATTATGACTTCAACTACCACTAACACTATATAATAGAAAACTGGGTGATGTTTCATTTTGTGAAAGGTAATTGATATGAAGTGAGAAGCGTGACGGCTAAAAAGATATGACCTTTTCACACAAAAGACCCCCAGCGAGCGCATAGGCAGCAAATCAGCTCCAACTTTTCAGGCAAGATGTAGCATTGTATTTTCTTGTCTTTTTCATTCAAAATCCTAAACAATGACTAGTCGGATAGATTGACAGAATTAGAGGAATTTCAGTATTTAACTCTCTTAGATCAGTTAATTGCATGGCTAACTTTCAATAATTTAATTGTTTTATAATTGTTTTGTTGCCATAGACGCCCTTGCTGACAGCGCTCACTGCATCCACGATATTAATAATCTTCTAAAGACTTTGATTTGAATGATTCATGTGACCCCTGCTGTCTCTGTCTCTCACCACCTTCAAGAAGCTACAGACATGACAAGAGGAAAGTGTTCTTGTGGCATTAGAATAAATTAAATAATAGAACAACCATTCATACAACTAGCACTTCTACCACAATTATAACATTTAAAACAGAGGCTGTATGAAAACTGAAATGAAATGCTATTCACATGTTGCTTAGTACCAACTATAGGCTGTGTATATAAATGAACATAGTTAAGGCACTAGCCTCTGAGTTCAAAATAGGAAGCTTGCATGCACAATCTGTTGGCTCCCACTGACCCTGGCTCTCATTGACATACACTGGAACATTGTCGATCTTTTCTCTATAACTGCTGCTGTGATCCTTGTCATTTTGGTCTTAAAATGTTTGTATTAACCCACTCTACATGATCCCTGTGTTTTTAGTTCACTAGAGCCCTATATGGAGCCTGGCTCCAAATTCGCTCCTGTAACTGCTAACATCATGAGCTTCATTTGAGTGGAGCCAAATGCTATGGGTGATGTCACACTCTCTTAGTCCACTTCTTTATACGGTCTTTGGTACTAGCATGCACATATACTTATTGCTTCCACCACTAATCTCTACAGTCTATACAAATCAATAGATCACCTTAATGCAATACGGCTGAAAATTCCAGGCAAAGCAGTAAAGTCTTCATGGAGGCAAGCAGGTGACCAGAAAATGTACATAGTCCACCTTTAAGCACTGGATAGCAGTAATACTATTTCCAAGTATAGAAGTATAAACTAATGTCTGTCAGTGTAACTCCATGACAGCTCCCCTTTTATGTGTCTTCCCTTCCCTCTGATTTTCTGCACTGATACCTTTAGCTGACTCATAATGAACCTGTCCCATCTCACTGTGTCTTTTTGTGTCTCCTTGACTAAGAGATTATTTTCATTTTGTAAAATTGAATGCATTATTCTCAGCATCTAGCCATCTGTGGAAGAAGCAATTGCGTAAAAACAGAGAGACGATAGCCTGCCTCTTTTCATAAGGAGGATTAGTACTTGCACACAGAGCTAATACAGTATTCACTCTTTCAATCTCTGGGAAATCTTTCGACACAAAGGATTAAGGAGGGGACGCAATTGTAATTTAGTATGATCCTTCTAAGATTTGGTTAATAAACTGAACAATTAAATTCTAAAAAGTTAGGACAGCATAGCTTATAAAATAATAACAACATTTTGTGGAATTAAATAATAATCACTTTGTCATTACAGCATCTAGTAACACAGTGTTTTTTGGCAAGTACTGAATAGCCTTCCTGATGCAATTGGATACATATATACTATGTCTAAAGTGTGGGTTGAGTGTCTTAACAATGGCCACAACATGTAGAAGCTTGGAAAGAGGGTGTCAAATCTCCAGTTGGTGGCTGAAAGTTGTGCCACTGCCACCCCAGCATCTAACTATTAAGTTGCAGTGTTTAACCATATTGTAGCGCTCTGCTACGCCAGACTATAGAGGGACAGAGGAGCTCATTCTCCAACTGGCTCTTACAGCTCCCTCAAACAGTGAGAGATACAGGACTATATTCATACCATACTGCATACAACTGTACAACAACTCACTCTTATGTAACAGATAACCCTATGTCCTGTCCTGTCATCATCATATCGTCTTCGCATTGTTTTTTTCCTTACCACCTCTTGTATATAGCTGATAAATATTTTTATCACTTTATTTCTATATATTATTTTATATTTATATATACATTTATATAATTACACCTTATTTGACACCAGTCTGTTGCTATTTTTGCTACTTATTTCTCTTTTGTTATTAAATATATTATGATGTGTGAGCTACTGTGTAAGTAATTTCCCTTGTGGATCAATAAAGTTTGTCTAAAAAAATTGTATAAAAATAAAATTAAAAAGAGAAAAAGCAGAAAAGTAAAAAAAAAAAAGGCAAAAAAAATAAAAAATAAATCTTAACTGGTAAAGGCATCCAAGCATCCAGCTTTTAAGAGATTTGATTGGCTGCTGTGGTCAGGTCAGCTTGTGGCCAGCTCTGTCCTGGTTCAGTGTCAACTACAAAGATGAAGACCTCTCTCTTTCTCCCCTCATCTCCACGTCCAGTCTGGAGCCAGCCCAGAGCCAGCCCAGAGCCCCAGATTTATGATTATTACATTAGTGACTGGAGGTCTGGACACAAGGGCTTACCACGCCTGGGATTTCCGTCGGGACATGCTCTGTCGCAGCCACTTGGAGTGAGGGGTCAGGTGGTAGATCAGCTGTCGGCAGATCTTATCCGACGACTTTATTGTGTCTGCGTCCTGGAGAAAGAGATTAGAAAAAATCTCAAAAGGGAAAGTAGCAATCCGATTTAACAAAACATGATATGGTATAAAAGTAGGAGAAAAAAATTAAAACCGTGAATCTAATGTTAAAATTGAGATGATAAACAGTTGATCATGGATATTTAGTCAATTTGCAAATAATGAAAGCATAAAAATATATCTCATATCTTGAAATACCAAGCTTGTTAGGCAATAATTCTTTTTTATCTAAGTAAAAGGGAGACAAATGTGTAACAATAGTGTATCTGTGCAACTGTATACCATCTCAAAGGAACTTTCAGTCAGGTATTGGTGAAAATCCCTTCTGTATAATCTTAAAAATATATCTGCTGATCCACTGTACAACTCAAATTATTTTATCAAAATATACATCAAAGTTCACACCTACATAATCTTACTTAAGCACAGGTGAGAATCAAGCTACAAATAGTGAAACAGTCAGAAACAATTGGGAAACAGTTTGAAATCTGTTGTGGATTTTTTAGTCCTGTAGTTATTACTTCCTATGCTTTGCACACTACTCCTGAACAAAACACAATTTCAATGTCTTACTGGAGCAAGAAAATCTAATCACATGCAGTGCTCATTGGTGAGGAAAACACAGGAAGTACACAGGGGGGATTCAGCCTTTGCCGGTAAACAATGGCCATATCTGTTCATTAGCTGCTTGTTATGTGGTGGCTCTGGTAGGCAGTGACTTTCATATGTAATGAGCACAAAACAAACACACTTTCTATTTTCTACTCCACTACCTTGGATTTTCTTGTTCCTGATGGCTGTCAGGTATAACAAAGATAGATAGGCATGGGTTAGTTAAAAATATTGTCCTGCGTTATTCATCAAGTTATTAGTAAAATAATTTCTTCATTATGGCTACTGTTAGTGCAGTGGGTTATCTGGAAGTGATGAAATTGTTTTAAAATTATACATGCTAAAAGTAAGAAACACTGATAAATGTGATGAGAGCTATGGTCTTAATATTATGCTTGATGTACTTGCTGTGTCAGAATGAGTGTTTTTAAATTCTTATGATGATGTCCCACTCCCAGATGGTGAGTCAGTCTTCTCTATTCGTTATCTAAATATAATTAAAAGGCAAATTCACAAATGCAAATCTGATTTATTTTAGAGACTAGACCCGAGTGAACAAAAACTGGGATATAGCAAAAGCAATTTTACCTGCCCATCAAGTTAAGAATTTTGATTAATTTATGATCACAAGTGATTACACTGTACCAGATAAACTCAGTATTGCGTATCATATTGTACATCTATTTAACATCATTTTAAGATGGCTTGAATGTATCTGACCTTTTTGGGGCATTGCATTTCTCTTGCCAGACTTAGCAGCAGTTCATGGGAGATGGGATCCACAAGATTGAGAAAAGCAGCATTTTTATACAAGATGTCATTCAAAGATGTTCCTTCTAGCCCTAGATCCTGCAACACACGAAACAGCATAATCAAAAAGAAGAAGTTATTAATAGCACGTACACAGAAACCTGTAGTGATTTTTACTTTTGGGGGGGGGGGTGCATTACTGCTGAGGAGGAAGATGTCCCAGCAGTGTCTTAGATGATGTGACTCAAAATGGAAAGATAAAAGAGATGTTTGATTTTAAATATTCATTAGTGGAGACTGCAGCTTTCATCTGCAGCAGGGAAGTCAGACCTGGAGGGAGTCAGAGGAGTGCTGTGTTGTGCTTTGAGAATCGCTCCTCCACCCTTAAAATGCAATAACATTTTCTACCAGCAAGAGCCTAATCTGGAGTAAAATCTTGATTCAAAATGTATTAATTCATCTTCTGTCTATTCCAGGTCTGATATCACAAAATTGATGGAAATTGAGGAGATGCACAATATGAAGCTACCCTGCATATGCAGATTTAAAAACATATTATATTCTTTGACTGTAACAAGAAAGAAATGTAAGACATTTTGAAGATTCAGTTTTGATTGAAGATAAAAACCCTCAAACATACCATCCTGTGCTCCATTGCTCCCAACCTCATTTACAACAGAAACCTAAGAGACAAATTGAATGCTACATTTGGGCTGACAATTGCTCAAGACCAGAGTGGAGTGAAGGCAAATGAAGCAGAGAGAGTCGTGAGAGATGTGTGACCTTTTGAGAGTGATTAGAGTCTGACAGCGAACACCACAGCTGTACTCCACAAGCTCATCAACACATCCTCCACTAACGAAGCAAACTGGAATGACAAGAGACTGAATAAACCCAATACAAGTTTAAGAGATGAGCAGAGACTACCTATAGACCATTCAGAAATTATAGTATGAGAAATGCCAACAGTAGTTCTATCTTATACAGTTTGGCGAGTCATTTCTAAGCCTGTGTACCACTGAACAAATGGGAAAAGTTTAAATCTGACTGTGTACATTTTGAGACCTGGCTTAGGCCTAGGAAATACTATAAGTAGGTTTGCCCTGTTTCGATGCAGATGTCTGATACTGGCTTTGATACGGTAAGATTTAAAATTTAAATTTAAAAGAAATATTGTTTCTACCCTGGTTAGACATATACATTGATGTAATAAGGTTATTTACTGTTGTAGTTGCCCCAGAAAGTAATGTTTGGGCTTTTATTTATACAAAGCTGTTTTGTAGTTGCCTGAAGGATATAACAGCTACACACATTTGGATCAGTTTCGTCTTTTTTTTTTTTATTTTAGTTTGAAGGGAAAAAAAATGCTGTCTTCAATCTTTGTATAGCTTCGGGTTAATATCGGATATTGGCAGATACTTCAGGCTGTAGTATCAAAATGGAAAAAGCTGGATCGCCACATCCCTAATCATCTGAAACTGATGATGGTGATGATTATGATTAGTCCAGGGAATATCTTGGAATCGAACAGAACTAGTTCTCCTGGTTTATTTAATTATAATTTAAATCCTTTTTCAATCTGGTGTACAAGACTTGTTTTAGATCCTGCTTACCTGTTATAGAACCAGACTCTAATGATATGGTCTTATACAACCCCCCCTAGTTTTAATGAGAAAAGCAGGCCTTGGGAGACATGACCTACAGTGGACCTCCATGACACACACAGGACATCTCCCAACCACCATCAGCATTGATTGTAATAGACAGCCTGAGTGGGAGGCTGCAGTACTGCACATTACTGGCTTCCCGTTCAAGAAGGGTAACAATAAACATGGTGTGAACCCAAGGCGGGGGCGACAGCTTCAACTCATCTGAGAGAAGAATAAAAATATCTTCTTCCATCAGTTCACATGCACAACATCAAGACTTGATTCTCACGAATATGGTTGTTACATTAGGGACACCTATATTCAGTAGTTTATATTAAATAACATTTAATGCTACAATACAGTACAATTTTGATGATGCCACAAGATAAACCCTTTGCTAGGTTTAGGAGTAGTCCAATTATGTTGTCAGGAGTTTGCACATTTTTCTCTGTTTTTGATACTTCAGCACTTTGGCTTTCAAAATAAACCTATACATTAAGCAAAATCCTCTAGTTAAGGTGGCTGCGCGACTGCCCGAGTAGGATTGAAAAGATGGGTCAAAAGTATTAATTTAAGGATATCAATAAAGTATTATAGTACTAATTAAACAATTAAATCCTTAAGTAATAATGCTCTTCTTAAAAAAAAAAAAAAAAAAAAGGTACTTGGTGTCAAGATATTGAGACTTGAATTAACTATTTGCATACCCACTCCAAGACTTATTCCTATCTAGGACACCAATTACGCTCCTGTTTAAAATTCAGTGAAAATAATCTCGCTCAGATCTTTCAGATATTGCACCTCTTTAATATCTCTGGTTTTAGATAAAACAGGTTTTTATTCAAAATGCTGCTCATTTGGAGAGATGTAGCTGTCATGGAGCTACCTAGTTTATGTGCTTGGTTTGATTAAGGAGGTCCAACTCTCTCTCTCTCTCTCTCTCTCTCTCTCTCTCTCTCTCCCTCATGTCAAGACTTACACAGTAATTACCAGTGGATTGCCAACAGCCAGGAGACAGCAAAAGGGTTAAGGGCGACAATACAAATGAGTTCTTACTGTTCTATTATTTCCAATGCTACATGTGTAACTTTGGTTGTGCATGAACGGATCACAGCTAAATGTCAAGAAGAATGTGGAACAGACTGAAACAGATTCACTTAAATTCACCACTCAAGACAGAGCAATGTATATCCTAAAGATATCCTAAAGCCAATTACTATTCAGTCAATCACTAACTTCTATGTCTGTACATAGGGCTTATAGAAAACCACAGGATATAGTAAACACTGAAAAAATATCCATACATAAGAGTTGAAATAATTCTAAATCCAGTTAAAATGTTAACAGGAGAACATCTGTGAAACTGCTCATTTAATTTTCTTTTCCTATAGCCAAACTGAAATCAGTGCGTGTCCTAAAGCAAGAGAGGCCAGGTTGAGATGCTTTGGACAGAGTTACAGTAAGCTGGTAGAAAACCAAAGAGATTTTTGATTTAGTGAAAGGGAACATTCATTTGAAATGAGATACTGCATTAACATTGCCTCTGTTGTTGTACTCAAAATACAGATGTTCTGGTAGGGTATAGACGTATGCAGGCATTTGCACAGTACCATATTCTCTCTGAAGATAGAAACACCAAAAATAGCCCTTTTGATGGGATATGTTAATGTTGAGATGGGATGTCTCTTGTCTCCAGATACAGGTATGAGCAGCATGGTATATCCACAAATAGGTCACCTCCAACAGCTTTGATTGCAGGGCTAAAAGGGGTTTTATTTTTAGAATGAATTCGTAGGATATAACAAATTTGTACAATATTGGGGCTGGGGTCATGATAAATACATCAGAAAAATACATTTGGGGCAGGGTACAAAGAGAGAGGACTGGGGTTAAAGGGGTGAACTGTATTTGGAAATAAGATCATGCCCACGTGTGGTTATTTTGAGTTACTCATTCAAATCAAATGTCAACACAGAGAGGACAAGGACAGCTTAGTGACTCAGAAATAACGCGTGACAGCTCCACTGCTCTGCCAATGGCCTACTTTTAAAACAAGCACAGAGTAAAGCATGTGTATCATAACAAGTAGGAAACTGATTGAGGTGAAATGTTTTAAGTTAAGGTCAAAGAGGAGGGTTTCTTCAGTTAGTTAGCACGCACGTATCCATCACCCAACCTCCATCTGTTGCATTCAAGGCTGGTTAGCAGCTCTCACAAATTCACAATGCACTTGTAAACACGCATACTTGCCTTTCTCAGTAATTTGAGCACGTCGGTTGCCTGCTCTATCCTCCGTTCACGCAGCAGTTTCTGGATCTCTTTGATCCAGGCCACTCGCCTCATATACGGGCTATGGTTGGTCCTCCGCAGCATCCCGGGCAGTTTGTCAGATTTGAGCATCAAGGCAAACAGAAAGTCCCCTCCGCCCTTATTATTGCCCCTGTCGATCTCCCCAGTGCCATCCAAAATCTTGCGACGTTTCTTTGAGAAATTCTCATTGTCCAAGCTGCTCTGCCTCGTTAGTCTCGAGCCCATGATAGCGGCAGCAGTAGTATTTTTTGTGAAGCTATCGATGGTAATATTGCCAAAAGGACAGACCCATATGCCCAGATGTCCCGGATAGTGATGAGAAGCGCCGTTTTGTCTGGCGCTGCTACGTTGATGTCAGCTATCTCCACTTTCTTATTTATCTTCCCCAAAACAAATCGCCGTGTTTCCGCGCAGAAAGACTCTCCTCGCAGTTTTGATGCATGAAATAAATTAAGTACCCGCGCCTGTCTCCATATATCGAGGATGCTCTGGCTCCTTCCATCCTCCCTGCGTGTGTCTGCTTTACGCTGCTGTTTAGACCCGTGCAACGTGGAGCGTCCAGCCAATCCGTGTGCCCGCTGGCCCAATGCGCGAACGTGGCTCCCCCAAACGTCAAATCTGTAACAAAAATAAAACGACTTTTATTGCCACTTGCAAACAAACATGTCAAAACTGTTTAAAATTATAGCTGAAATCCACATCTGCTGCGCCGCTATCCTTGCCAGAAGTCGCATTTTGATCGCCTCTAAATTCGTACAAATCCTCCTGGCTTGTTATAAATATGCTCTTTTTTTCTGTGGGCAAACCTGTTGTGGGTCGTCAGCCTTTGCACAAGTAGTCAAGTCATCTGTCAAAGCTGCACTACATCATTGTCAGTCTCGAGGGTTGTCCTGACTCTTGTGTCCCAGCAGTGACTTTCCCGGGACCCTTAGGGGGCGCTAATGGCTTCAACTACAGCACCTGACCTTTTGTTTGTATGCGGCTACATTGTCCATCTATGATAAAAATAAAAAAAAAGTTCGAGTCCATTCAGCAGTGGATGAAAATAGATACACTATTAGGCTTTAAAAGTACAGTATGTAACTTCTGGTCTTAATTGCTTTATCTGGAATTTAAAAAAAAACAAACACCATGCCATACTGTGGAATATTTCAGGCAATGCAATAACATCTCCATAGAGACCAGCAGGTGGTAGACCCTCCACCAGAAATGTTGACAATGCACAGAATTTGAACTGGTCTACCCAAATTACACACAGGTTTTTGTTATGAGATTTGTAGAACTGCACACACAAAAAAGAGACAAATTATGCAAATTATGAAACCACCATTTCTTAAACTGAAAATATTTGCAGTTTAGTAACTTCTAAAACATATGAATTTGATATGCATCTTTTTGGAGTATAGAAAAAAAATATCCTTGATACTATTTTTTTTGTTTTGTTTTGTTTTTGTTTTAAGGCTTTTTTACAGACGTTGTTGCATGTAACTCGTGTACCCAGAAATACCAGGATAAATACAAATTTGGACTACCTTCTGTTATGATAACATTCCTTCTCAGCCTCTCTCATAAAGGTGGGTTAGACCTGTCGCTTAGAAACAACAGTGATGCCTGATTTGATTTGTTGGCTTGGCTCAGGGAAAATAATGCATTTATACTGTGTGTGAAACCAAGAGCTGAAAAAAGCCATTGGGTGGGGCTCTATCCTTAGCAGCATTTTCATATTTGTTATGAATATTTAAGGATATAGCAGGTATCATATTATGACCATTGATATGTGAAGTAAAAATAATTATTTTAGGATGAGATTATTATTAATTTTTTTTTTTTAAAGACCTTTTTCCTGTTAAATAATAGCCCCACTTTCTGAAGCTATTGCAGTTGTTGTTTTTGTTTTACATGGCTAGACCCATTACTTAAAATGAATGAGACTATGTACAAATCAGGTCAATCCTATTTACAACTGCACAGTTAAATAGCAAATTCACTATAACATTCTGATCAGCCCTCTGGCTCAAACTATGGGAATTCAAGAATATTCCTTGTATGTGAAAAACTCCTGGTCAAAGACTGATCTCATCAGATCTTAGAAACTAAGATAGTCAGGGCCTAGTTAGAACTGGGAGACTGCTAGAAATATCAGGTACCACAGTGGGATACCAGTGTTATTGTGTCGATAGGCAAGACACTTCACCCATGTTGCCTAGTATGCAGCTGTGGTTATAATGGTATCTTACCACCACCGATGAGAAGTGAATGAATAATGCACAAAATTGTAATGTGGTTTTGAGTGTCTGGAAAAGCACTGTGTAAAACTAACACATTATTATTATATCTGGCAGCTGGCCAAATTCGAATGCTTAATCATTTCAGTCCTATATTACATTTACCTGTGATTGTGATCAGATTTGAACAAATCAGCAGTGGGAGAGCCCATAGGCAGCTTTATCAGTGCATCCCAGTCTTGTGTAGCATGCAGGTTTAGCTGAGGTAACACACTCCAGTATTTGTCGTCACTGATGCTGGCAGCATGGAAACCTACAGCAGCAGTGAAGGCTGGGACACTTCAATTGGTGTAAAGGAGGGTGCCGAATATAATCCAAATGGAGTATGGCAGTGTTACCGAGCATGGCAACGCTTCGGGCTGAGCCAATCACACCACCCCGAGGCCCGGCTGGATGTGACCTGAATCAGTTAACAGAGCACTTTCTCCTGCACTCTGTAAAGCCTGCAAGATGGACAGCAAAATAAATACAGTTATAAAGCAATGGGGGGAAAGATGCAGATATCATACACAAGATCAGTGGAATCTGATTTGCAAAAATGAGTAACATGCAGACACAAAACTGATTTATTAAGCAGAACTCTAGAAAAGTACCTTACAGAGTAACTACTTTAGTCTTTATCGCCACTCTTTATCACCACTGCTACAAATCCTAGTGCTACTACAGTCACGACTACATTAAAACTGCCACTATTGCTACTGCAGCTACTTGTTCAGATATTAACCTTTATGTGGATTTTTGGAGTTATGAAGCAACTATGGGCTTTAGGTAAGTCTCACCTCAGATTCGTATGGGGTGTATTTACTTTTCTGTTTATTTGGAGAAAGTCATACAAAATATTTTACATGTCTTTGAGAGTTTTTGACCCCATACTGTCACTTTAATAATGAAAAAGTTGAGTTACCAATGTCCTCTGTGTCCTTTTGTCTCTGTCTGTGCCCACTCAGTCTGCCTGGTACCTTCAAATGGGCATGAAGTGTATGCTTATTATGCTGAGAGCAGTGGCTCATACAAATGAGGTAGCACACTGCTGATATTATGAGTCTCCTAACTATGAATATAGTTATAGACATAAATATGTTTTTGCTGTTCGGATATAATGAAGATACAGTCTCGTTTAGACATAGTTTAGTTCTGGATCTGTCCTTGTTAATCCCTATTAAATCCTTCTGTTTAACCCCTTCTTTAGTGAAAATGTTGTCTAATTCAGTCTCACAATTACTATAGTATGTTTATGTTTGACTACAAGATGACACCTTGTTTCCACACAACTATTATCAAACTGTAGTTGACTAAGTAAGTGTAAGTGACTTGACTCATTTTAATACCATGTTTACCTACTAGTGACGTCACTGATACTATTGGTCATACAAGAACTTTTGCAGTGTGAAGAGCATACCCACTCACTGAAGGATGTGATGGGTTTCTTGTCTAGGAAAATGGTTGGGAAGTCCCTGATTGCTGGTGTGGTGGTCCTGGCAGCTGCAGTGAGCCTGTTTTTGGGAGTGATTATGGGACTGGGAAAGAGGAATCCACCTGCACAGACCGACCACTTCTACTACAAGGCAGCTGTGGCCGCAGACGCTGGGAAGTGCTCTGAAGTGGGAAGGTAACAAGAAAAAAATTAAAAGATTTAAAAAAAAAGCATGGATTAATCTGCTGAAGAACATGATGTGTTTTGGTGAAAAAGCTGTCCTTCCTGACAAGTGGTAACATATTGAAAAAATCTATAAATGCTTAACACTGCTGTTTAATTTCAGCAATAGTTTAACTGTCTTGTAATACACCAGTGGTTCACTTCTGCCTATTCCTTTTCAAATATTTCTTTCTTGTTTTAATTTGGCATTTTTATTTTTTTTTATTCCATATTTACATCAAAATACAGCATTGTCATAGACTTATAGAAGTAACTATATATTAACCTTTTTCAACAACTTCAACAAATATGGATTGCTTGTACCACCATAAAGTATAAACCTGTGAGAAACACTGAATACACATTTTTGTATTTTGTTTTCTAGAGATATCTTGAAGAAAAATGGTTCAGCTGTGGATGCTTCTATTGCTGCCTTGTTGTGTGTAGGACTGTTAAATGCTCACAGTATGGGGATTGGAGGGGGACTCTTCTTTGTCATCTACAATGCTACAACTGGTCAGTTAACACAAAAAATGCAAGATTACTTCTGCAGTTTGATACATGTTTGAATGCATGATCCTCCTTTGAATAAACACTGATGAAGCATGTCACAATGAGCACTGTCTGTTGGGTTTGATTCAAGACATACTCTATATTAGAAATGTATATAACAAATAATATACAATATAGAAATGTAACCCAGTTTCATTTAAATGTAAACATTTGTAATGTCCTAAAACTACCATTTTGTCTCATATTCTGTTTTTCAGGTAAAGTAGAAACCATTGATGCCAGAGAGACTGCTCCCATGAATGCCACTGAAGACATGTTTGGAAACAATACAAAGCTCTCCCGTACAGGTAAAGACATTTGCGCAAGTCACTGCAGAGATCCCTCTCTTTGCTGCCTCAAAGCTGGGATTAGTGAATGTATTCAGCTCATGTTTCATCATTTGAAGTAAAACATTTAAATTACTGTTGGAGATAAAAATTTTGCAATCATACAACACAAAATTGATGTACAGCTAGTGTATTAAATTAAAGGGAAAATTACAGATAAGATCATGTATTTTTGTGAAGTATGTAAGCATATGTATATATTGGTTGGCCGATATTATTGATAACTAATAAATAATAATAATATTAGATAATTATTGGAAACATATCGGCGATCGCCTAAATCTTGCCGATATGGGCCGATAATTCACGTGAGCTGTTATACCTCCTTATAAAGCTAAGACTCTTTACATTATGTTCATTTAATCCAATTTACAGACAGATAAATGACTCCGCATCAGTATTTATCTGCGGACTCATTTGTCTGTGTCTGTGGCCATACTGTCCCTAAACACACCCCCAGAGTCACGTCACTCACGTGCCCTTGTTTACACCCGCAGCCATAGATCCAAACACTGAGATTATATTCTTTTTACGGACAATCGGTTTAAATCTGGATTAAAAGGACATTTATTAGTGCAGACTTGTGATGTGAGGAGGAGCCTGTGTGAGCGATGAGGTTTTGAAGCTAGTTTTGGTTATTTCTCATTGGTTTGCGATTAGCTGCTGTAGCTCCCACACATAAACAGGCTGTTTTCTCATCTATTCGTCTTTTCTAAAGTATAGGCCGTATATATGTTACTGGACCTGCATTGATATGTAAATGAGCTGTGAATAGAGGTGTAAATGATGATATTTACGCATATAAATAATTACGGCGGCGCATACGCATTTACCCCTAAAGGCTAATAGCAGTAGTTTACTTTCTTTACTAGCTAATAGTGATGGGTCGGTCGCGAACGAAACCGCTTTTAGAGCCGGCTCTTTGAAGCGAACAACGGGAGCCTACTCCTTATTGGGAGCCGTGTTTTCTCTTTCTCTCACCCTCTCTCTTTCTTTCACTTTTTTCTCTTCACGCCTCAAGCAGACTCTTCATAGTTTGACAGCTGGCAACGGCTGAAAACGAAATTTTCAGAAATATGCGTGTGCATAGGATAAACGTGCATATTTGGCTGTAGTTCAGCATAAAATAAATTAACCAGGACAAATCTTGGGCTCGAGAGAGGGAGAGAGATAGAGATCGAGTCCCGACACTCAGTTCTTGTTCAGTTCTGGTTTAGTCCTGTTTTACACATGGTTTAGATCTGTTTTAGTCCTGTTTAGTCCTTTTTCAGTCCTGGTTCAGACCTGGTTCAGTTCTGGTTTAAACCTGCTTTAGACCTGGTTCAGTTCTGATTAAACTCCTGCTTGCAACAAAACAACTTGAAGAGCCGCTTGGGAGCCGAAAGAGCTGGCTGCTTTTAGTGAGCCGAGCCAAAAGAGCTGGTTCTCTAAAAAGAACTGGAATACCCATCACCACTAGCTAGAATGCAAAATGCCATTAGGCCGACCTACTGTCTGTAAATATGACGCAAAGAGGCAGAATAACAAAAAATGTTGCCTAAATAAACCCAATTTAAAATCCACCAGAGCCAAACCTAAGTAGTTTTTTTTAAACAATTCAAGATTTACATTGAATTTTTACATCAATAAATATATTGGCGATCAGCAGCTCCAACTCCCATTTTATCAGTATATCGGCCGCGGCAAAATCCATATCGGTCATATATCTATATATATCTATATATCTATATCTATGTATCTATCTATCTATATCTATATCTCTATATATCTCTATATCTATCTCTATCTATATCTATATCTATATATATATATATATATATATATATATATATATATATATATATATAATATATATATATATATATATATATATATATATATATATATACACACAAGGGAAAATCAAGTTATTTTATACATACATCCATACATACATGTGTTTGTGTCTTTATGTTTTTCATCTGATCTAGGGGGGCTCTCTATAGCCATTCCCGGAGAGATCCGTGGTTATGAAATGGCCCACAGGAGACATGGCAGGTTGCCCTGGAAGGAGCTGTTTGAGCCCAGCATTGCTTTGGCCCGGGATGGATTTCCTATTGGGAAAGCCTTGGCCCATGCCCTGTTCAAAAGCAAAGAGTCAATTCAAGGGGATGACAGCATGTGGTGAGGATACACATAGTGAAGCAGTTTAAAAACAAATTGGTAATAATAATAGAATAAATAATAGAAGTAAATAGAAAGTCCTTCGATAGAGAGTTGAGATGTGATCTATTCTATTAGTTTATCATGAATTTACTTCTTATTAATTTTGGGTCAAGGTCTCACAAAAACATTATTTGGTTGTAAGACATTTTTCTAACTAGACCTCATACATCCACATAAAATAAATGCATGCTTTTTCTCTTCAGGTTTAGTAAAACTGTTGCTTGCTATTCAAGCTGGATAACTGAAGGCTAAATATGAGGATTTTTTTTTTTTTACGGATGGGTGTTTGTATGTACAAGGATGTTTTTGACATTAACTTTTTTGATGGCACTTCTAAGATGAACTGTTTACTGGGTTTAACTTCTTATATCCAGTCATTTCTCTTTCCCCTTCTCCTTTTTTTGCAGTGAAGTATTTTGTGATTCGGAAAGAAACATCCTGAAAGAAAATGATATTGTTCGCTTTCCAAAGCTGGCAGAAACATACCAAAGAATAGCAGAGGAGGGTCCAGATGTGTTTTACAATGGGTCTATGGCACAGAGCATCGTGGAGGACATTCAGGCGGCAGGTCTCACATTCAGATTCATCATGTACAACTTTGATCTTTATTATCTTTATTAACAGAACATACACATCTGGTTATTTTACTTTGTCTCAATTTGTTTGAGATGTATGGTTCAAATTGTGCAAACAAGCACTCAGACGATCTTATGTGTATAAACACACACAGACACGTATTATGTTGGGACTGAGATGTGATGCTTATATGCTTATTGCAGGGGGCATTATTACTTTGGATGACTTATTGGAGTACCAGCCTGTCCTGAATGAGAACCCTCTTCGTCTGAATGTGGGGGAGTACACCATGCATGTCCCAGATGCCCCCTCCAGCGGGCCCGTCCTTGGGCTGATCCTCAACATAGTCGACGGTGAGCGGCAAAGGGCCAGTGCAGTCAGCCAAAAGAGAGAGGTCAGGTCTCTCCAGGTCACCCCATCAGAATGAACTCTCTGTTTTTGAAAACACAAAGCAGAACAGCAGCAATACCTTTGTGCCACTGAATACACCATCTTTGTTCAGGCCATCTGCTCACCTACTGTAGTCAGTAGGCACCTACTGCTGAAATGCTTGTAATACTAATTTGTATTATTTAGGTCAGAACATGAGAACATTTTATAATAGCTGCAATACATATTCTTACACTTAATAGTTAGTGTTGAGTGTGGTCTGAAATTACATAACCTGAGTATTTACACTAACATTTTCTTTTTCAGGATATAACTTTACAGACACAAGTGTCTCCACAGCCGAACAAAAGACCCTGACATACCACCGAATAGTTGAAGCTTTTCGTTTTGCTTATGCAAAGAGGAGCAGGCTCGGAGATCCACGTTACCTGAATATTACAGATGTAAGCTATGTATATGACACTTTTATTATACTTAATAAAATGGTGATATTTTGAGACACACGTGACAAACAACTAACCACCTCTGCTTCTTTTAGCTCATCCAGAACATGACCTCAGACTACTTTGCAGACGGCATCAGGAGTAAAATATCAGATGACACTACACACCCAGACAGTTATTATGAGCCAGACTACTTTGTCCCGGAAAACCACGGGACAGCCCATCTGTCAGTCATAGCAGAGGATGGGAGCGCTGTGGCTGCTACTAGCACTATTAACTTATAGTGAGCACCAGTGATTTGTACTATAATTAATAATATATAAAAATTTGAATAAATATGACTTTGTTCTTATTTCTTCAGCTTTGGATCCAAAGTAATGTCTCGATCGACAGGAATAATTTTTAATGATGAAATGGATGACTTCAGCTCACCTTATATGACAAATGGCTTTGGAATTCCCCCGTCCCCCAACAACTTCATCCAACCAGGTGTGGCTTTGTAATTATGATTTATGATTTATCTTTGATAACCCAATGTTCTATTCCAGGCAAACGACCACTGTCTTCTATGTGTCCTACAATTATCTTTGACAAAGACAACAGAGTGAAAATGGTTGTAGGAGCATCAGGCGGCACAAAAATCACCACAGCCACAGCCTTAGTGAGTTCTACATCTTTGTGTAGTCATATTATACACATAAATATCTATATCTATACCTATCTATCTCTATATCACTCTCTCTATATACAGGTAGATAGAGATATATATAGATATAGATATGTAGACATAGCCTTATATAACAGTTCTTTCCAATACCAGGTTATCCTAAATTCGTTATTCTTCAACTACGACCTAAAAAAAGCAGTGACAGAGCCAAGAGTTCACAATCAGCTCAATCCAAATATGACAGTGGTAGAAGAGGGCTTTGAGGAGGTAGGTACTCATACAATACAGTTAGATATTGTCTGGAAAAGCAATTTAAAAACAACAAAACAACTGCATTACTCTAATATATGTATGTAAAATACCATATTGTCAGAGTGTCCTGGAGGGTCTGGCCCAGAAGAACCATGTGACAGAGATGCTGGAGACCCCAGACTCAGTGGTGCAGGCCGTGGTGCGACAGGGGGAGCGTCTGTGTGCAGAGTCTGACCCCAGGAAAGGAGGTTATCCTGCGGGCTACTGAGGCAGGAAAGAGCCTCTCACAGCCAGTGACATAATACAAGCTGAAAAACACTCACACACCTGCACATAGAGACATCTATAATGTTTACACTCCAGAGACTCTTTTGAATTAAGACACTACATTAAGACATTAAAGACAGAAATTGACTGACCTCTTCAGTTGACTTAATTTCTTTGAACCATGTTGTGATGTGGCTCAAGCTACAACTATTTTTGACCTGTTCAGAGATCCCTGTTGACATCAGTGGGTAGTTTAATAACTACTGAAGATGTATCAGCAAACCATGGGTCCAACATGTATTTACTGTTTGTATTTAACTCAGTCTGTGACCTACACATTGTGAAGACAAGATCCAAAAACAATCATACTAAAACAAGTGGCTGTACAATGTAAAGTTACAACAGTATTCCTTAGAGAATAAGGGAAATGAGCTGTTCAAAGACTGTCAGAACTCAGTTTTTCTGTTTATAGTTTAGAAAAAAACTTTAATAATATATCATTTTAAAGTACTACTTCCACCTCAGGTTGTCAAAGTCAACCTACATGTCCAAAACATGTATATATAACAAAGAACTGTTTTATTTGTAAAATGTTAAATATCAAGTAGGGGTTACATGAATGTATAAAATAAGCTGAGAGAGAAATATATAGCAATTATATTTTTCTAAATATCCATTGTTGACACTCCATGTCTGTTACCATGCTGGTTATTAAACATTATCAACAAAAAAACAGGATTGCATTCCATACAGTCCCATACATAATCTCAGCTCTCTGTTATGGTCCTGTTGCGAGCACTGTGGCCCATATACTATTCATCTCTAAAACGCTTCAACCCATTTGGACTTGTGCCCGTCTCAAGCTTTAGACTTAGAGCAGGACATGGCACAGTGGCCTAGATAAAAACAGGACAGTCTGGCTTTTACTATGAGGCAGTGGCCACTTTTGAATTATACTACGTACCTATCCACTCAGAAAGCAAACCAATTGAAATGTATTGTATTTGTTATTTATTTCAGACTGGCATTGCTGTGAGGGTCTCTAAATGGAAGTGTTTTTTATAAATGTACAAGGCAAAGGTTGGCAACATTGTAATATAGTACATATATTACATTACGTGACTATGGGGCTTTTCTTTTAGGTACAAGCCTCATCTGTATTCTGGAAGCATACAGGAATCATGTGGAGCGCTGGAACACATTTGTCTTGTAGCTAACAGTGAGATTACTCTCATTTATCAAAAAGGAGAGGTAAATCAGCTCCGCCATGGCATTTTCTGATACAGATTTCTCTTAGTCCCACTTTGTAAGTTAACATGAAAGCCTCACAATCACTGTGGTCAAAGCTATTAGGCAATTGTTTTGTAGATCAAACATGCAGTCCCATAAAAGTAATGAATATTTTGGAAAAGAAAAGATTTTTAGTATTTCAGACCAAAAGATGACATGCACTTACAGTTTTAGAGAGACCCTTTTATTTCAAACATATATTTATTTTAAACTGCTGTAGCACAGCAAAACAAAGGCCTCAACAAATACTAGCCAATGATTTAGGATGATGAAAAGGAATAGTAAGCAATCTAACTGAAATCTAAGTTGTTGTTTTTTTTTGTTTGTTTAATTTTAAAATCGAACTATTGAAATACATTTACTTTCCTCTCTTACTTTTCTTCTATTTAGTAAACTGCACCTGCCGTAAAGACAGATCTCTATTGCCATCTAGTGGAAAATGGTAGTCTTTGCACAATGTAAAAAAAGGCATGGTCAAAAGTATTTTATAGCCTCATGGAAACAGGTGGAGCAGGTGTGTGTAACTCCTGATCCAAAAGACGGAAAAGCATAGCACTTTTGTTGCACTGACTGTGTTTTCCCAAAGTGTGATAGAGCTGAGCCTGGAGGTAGTGAATCTCCCGCAGACGTTCAGCACAGTTTAACTTTGAGAAATAAATTGTTGCATCATCTAGCGTATCCACTGCCAAAGCAAGCGTGTTTAGATCTGTTGGGAGGAAAATAAAGCAGAAACTAAGTAAACAGTCAGTACTGGCAGAAAAAATCTGTATGCTGGACCATTACCTGTTTGCCCTTGTCTGTTTGGCTTAAACCCAGCCACCTCCATCTGACAGCGGGCCATGAGCAGCAGGACACGGCCTTTGTCCATCACTGATCCATGAGCTAAAACAGGCTCAATAGCCTCATGTAGAATGTTTAGAGCCTGCTCAGGAACGCCCAGCATTAACTGCAAAGACAAGAAACCCTTTTTGGTACATAAGTTGAAACACTGCATAGAAGTTCCTTAGGTTTTTTATTAAGTTATGACAAACAATTAAGTGTGATTCGACATATAGTTTCACTCTATCCTGATATTTTTTATTGGCGAAGACAATTAGATGTGCAACCCTAAACATTTTAATAATCGTTATAATTTTGGGGTTTAGCACTCAAGACCTGAGATCACACAAATTTCACCCCCTTTAAAAAAAACTCCATAGAAGTCTTTGATATTAAATGTCCACTATTTGAAATAGCTGTTTGGTCTAAATTGTACAGTCAGATAATAAATATTTTCTTGATATGTATAATTTGATATGAATAATTTCACCCCAAATTCCACTTCTGCCTACACTGAGCTCTTGAGAAACAGTTTGCATTCAGGGAAACAGCAGTGTTTACACAAAGCCTCTCTTTGTGTTGTCTGACCTGAGTGAAGGCCAAATGAAGGATTGTCTCTGAGGCGAGAGACTGCAAGTGGTGCTGTCGAGCCAGAGCCAGTGCCTGCAGGAGGAGAGGCAGCGCGGTGGAGAAGCCAGACGACTCCCAATGGAGCTCAGCAGTGGACAGCATCACTCTGTCAAAAACAAAATCTGAGTCAGGACACTGGCTTTAGCTACGGAATACAAAATGGCACAAAAGTCTGTACAGTCTACAATCTGTACAGTCTGAAGCAAATGTACAAGCTTTAATTTGCAAACTAAAATGTTCGTAGTAATAAAGGGATGAAAACTTTTGAGGATCGGAAGACATTCATCTACCCAAAACAAAACTACATTGTAATAACAAAAGTTGCTCTAAAAAGGGATAAAGTGCTTTAATCTTATTCAAAAAACAATTGATTACCTTACATTTTTTACATGTAGAAAATACAATTGTATAATTTTCACTTGATAGAACTTTATGAACTATAACTTGTACATTTACCTGATTGCCAGCTCTGTGCATTTTGTCTTGTCACAGTGAACTTGAAGTCTTTGCAGGACACTGTATGCCTCAGTTGAGCGATTAAGTGCCTTTAGAACGAGGGCTTTCCTGTAAAGAAAAATATTTGTACCTAAAGTTAAACAAGTTTTGAGTTTAAGTTGAATATTGCTTATTTAGACGTTACCTGTAAAGACCCTCGGTTTTATTCAAAGCTGACATAGCAACAAGTAACGGTTCTGCTAAATGGTATTTTCCTTCATTCATATGTTTCTCAAATTGAATTTTTAGATCACACAACATCCATAACTACAAAAAATAAGACATTACATTTGTATTGCATCACCAAAACTAACTTAACAAAAAAATATATATATATTTTATCCATTTCAGTCAATAACTGTAAATGTGTGTGAATAAACCTTGGCATGCTGCGTGTGTGAAGGAAACTGTGCCTTCAGATGCTGAAGAATCTCTGAAACAGCACTGTACAAGCCCTAAAACAGGCATATGGGAAAAAGAGTGATATATTAAGCTCTGCCCAGAAGCAGAGCTGATCAATGCTTATTACTTTCCTGCATTGCTCGGCCGTTTGACTAATGGATATGCAACTACGAGACGGAAAGCAAAGAGACACAATCAAATGAGATATGTAACCTGCTCAGCATGCAGCTCGGCCAGGTGGCACAGAGCCACGGCGAAAGCCTCTGTATTGTTCTGATGGACCCCAAAATTGACCGGCTCCAGGCTGCTCATGTTGAGGAGTAGCTGTGCTTGCTGGGCTGACATGGTACTGCAATATACCACAAATCATGGGACACAGATTCAGCATAGAGCCTCTTTGGCAAACAGATGGCTGTAACAGAACAATTTTGACAGTGTGGTGTTTGTGCGAGAGGACTTGGCCTGACCTCTTGCCATACATCCTCCATATGGAAGTAGTCTGAGCCAGGCTGATCTCGATGAGTTCTGAGAGACTGTGCTTCCAGTGCAGGATGTCTGTGTCCTTCAGTGCATCCATCAGTTTGTGTGCTGTCTTACCCTGCGTTGCCCCCTGCTGGACCAAAGACTGAATGCCCAGAGATGCCAAGTACTAAAGCAGAAAAAAAGTAATGATCAAGCCCAGGTCATGGACAAAAAGGATGCACAAAAGAAAAACAAAAAAACTTAATTTAATTAGGTCTTATGGGGCACAGAACATTTTATAAGCATTTCTCATTGTCTCCAAATTCACAAAATACAGCAACTTTGAAACTTGCTTACTCTCAAGCAGAAATGAGCAGCCATTTTGACAGAATCCTCTGTCAATACGGTACTGTCTGATCCCTTCATCTGCTCCAGCGTGTACAGCCAACTCTAACAAAGAACACATTGAGAGCAGAAGCACCACTAAGAAAGGCTTACATTTAGATATAGTTACTGATCAATGTAATATAGATTCACGTTAATATAAGATAATCACACCAGTGGTTAATTACCAAGCAGTGTTGTAAGCAGACGTGATCATTGGACTCCTGAGCAATACGGATTGCCTCCTGTAGCGCTAGATCAGCCTGCTGACTGAGGGCAAAGGGGAAGAAAAACAGCAGAGTGTGTAATATTTTATACAAATATGCTATTGATCCATCCTAAATGAGAACAATATATTCACTAGTGTCCGAAGCGGCAGTGCAGGCTCGCCAGGTTTAGAGCAGCGTAACGCAGGCTTCTGCCATAGCCTTCATCACCATTGCTTTTCCCCTCGTTTCCAGACAAAATCAGACGATCAAAATAATGCAAGAGGCTGTGAGCAGAAAGAAATATGTCCTGCACCCTCATACTATTCAGGTAGTTCAGGTAATGCTGAATAACAAAAAAAAAAAAAAAAACAGAAAATGGAAATAACAATTCATCTTCAACTATATTTAAAAAGCATGGGCAAACAAGTACTCACTGCTTCAGCAAAGTCTGGGTTAAACTTTAGCATGTTGTTAAGCTCCTCTTGGAGGGCAGCAGGCTTCAGAGCTTTGTTCTCATCATTCTTCAGTAGGTACGCCTGAGGAAAAAGATATTTAAATATAGCACAACCTTGACAGCTGGTGTGGGTGGCTGTTTGCCTGCTTTTATTTCAAAATGAACTCATTTAAAAGACAACAGCATAAGAACTAAATTAATAATTTCAGATTTAACTAAGACAGATTTCACACTTACTTGTCTTGCCAAGAAGTACTCAGCTTGTTTTTGTGACAAGGGGCCTTTACTAGGAGCATTATCAATTCTGAAACAAACAAAAGTTTAAGTGGTTTTGTAATTAATTAAGCCACCAACAGAACATTGAAGTAAAGGCTTCCATCTTAACGTAATCAAAAAACCAATGTAACCCAATACTGCAGTTGGTTTTGATTAATTGCATCAAGTTGGCAGCATATTAATGTTTTTGTAGTGACAGACCAACTCATTATTTGATTTGGATAAATGTATTAATGGATTAGTACATTATGTATTTATATAATTTATCAGAACCTACAATAACATCTGAAGTTCTGACTGATTGATTACCAATTGGATATTTCAATAATCTATTTAGTAACAGCTGATTTTATTAATGTAATTTATGTATCATAGTTATAAAAGTGTTACAGACCTGAGTTCTGTCTCATGCAGTGGGGTATCCAGCTCATCTTTGTCCATTTTGTCTCCTACAGTGTCCTCTGTGCTTGTGAGGTCCATATCTGACCCGTCAAAGTTCAGGGCAGATAGAGTCACCTCATCAGAGGGTTTGGCATAGTGACTGTGGTAGTACTGCTGCAGAGACTTGTACAGCTTGTACACCTGACTGAACGATAGCTTGTTGTAGGCCAGGAGCATGTGTCTCATAAACAGTCCTACCACAGCAAGAACATAGCAGGATTTCAATAATCATAAGGAGGTATTAGCTAGTTGCAAATCACTGATCTTTAAGAATATGTTTTAAAATATTCGTTGTTTTGTCAAATCTAAAGGAACTGGTGCACAGATTAGAATTTTTCATATTTTTTTTGTATTTATCTTCATAGTGTCTCTAATTCAACAACCTGCATCTGTATCATAGAAATATGTCATAGAGATTCATTAAAAATTATGCATTTAATTTTATATGGCATGTGTAAAATACTTAAATGGTGATTTGTAAATTAAAGTGAACAATTGGTTTGTTAGTTTGTATCTATAGTCACTACTTACCAACAACACTGGTTTTATAGGCCTCGGTGTCGAAAGCTGTAAATGGAAGAGTAGAAAAGAACTGTTCCATGTCTCTTAGCTCTCCATCAGCCATTTCATGAAGCCTAGAGAGGAGACGGCAATTCATAAATTATCTGAATTATTTTAGACCTTATACCGCCACTGAATTCAAAGTCAAGGCAAAAGCAACTAAGTACCAAGTGCATCACATAAAGTAAGTGATGAAAATAAGATACTATGATACAAAAGACACGGTGCGCACCTGAGTACGACTGCAGATGCAGTCTGTGGACAGCATTCCTCTACTGTCCTCACGAACTGTCCAAAAGGCAAGTCAGGACCCTAAAAAGACATAACATAATTTAACATATTAAAGCTTGATCAAATCAGACTCTCACGGTATAGTAAAAACAAACCTGCTGCAGCGGTAGGATAAGTTCATTTAGTCTCCTCCTTTTCGGTAGACTGACTTTAGAGGCTGTCATCTCATAAAGCAGTGCTAAAACTGAGATTTTATACGGCGTTACCCAGTCTTTAATGCCGAACACATTAGCATGCACTACTCCGTTTGTCATCATCGGATTGAAATATAAACTCTCATGCACACTGGCCATCATTAGACGTAGTTAGGGATGCGTTGTTTCAATTGAAAAGCCGCACGTAAGCGAAAAAAGATGAAAACGTGAGATCCAAAGCTTACAGCTAGCTAACTAGCTTAGCTTTCTTAGCGAAGTATTGGCTACATCTAAGATAGAAATAAAGACCGAACATTTGCAAGACGCACATTTTCTAGATCTAGAATACTATTAGTAATTTCTACGACTAACTGATTTCGCTTTACAAGTGTTTGTCGCACGTTTTTCAATAAGCACGACTTGTCAAGTGTAATGTTTGGATTTTTTTGAACCGCCCTCCGCTCGTCCCTTATAATATACGTCATCACTGCATTTTTTTTTTTTTGTTTTTTTTTTGGTTGTTTTGTAAACAACCATCGGTCAGTAGAATAAGTGTTGAACCATGGATCAGTGTCAAACTAGAACACCCACACGGTAAACTCGATACATATTCTTGTTGCATACTACAATTAAAATTATATAACACATTTTAATCTAGGCAATCAATTTTACAATAGGCAATAGGCTCTGATGCAATGACGACTTTTGAAATTGTCTTCCCTTGAAAAAAATGTATTGATTTTTGCAGATATCCACGGTCTCTAGGCTATCACACAAAGTTTTCTGTCCTGTGTGTGCAGGCTCCAGCTCTGTGTGTAGGATGTCTATGGGCTGTCTATTCAGAGGACACAAGATGAAATGGTTTCCTGGCAACCGCAGCCACTTCTCCGTGTTCACTTGGCAACTCAACACGTGTCAAAGAAGACTCTATGGGAAATCTATTTAAAGTCAAGTTTTAAATATATGAGAAATGAACATGACTGCAAATTACATAGATTCAGTGTTTATGTTAATTAACAGCCACAGCATACAAATAAGGCTGTTAATGAGACAGCCTATACTAAACTCAGTTCATATGTTTTCATTCGCCTAATTGATACCTTGTAGAATGTCTCTTGGGGTGCACTCTGGTGAAGTCGGCCTACAATTTCTGTTAAAATGCAATTATAGCTAAAACTCACTCACCAACAAGCCTTACTTGCCTGGAAAATCTATAAACACAACTTCTCAGCTCATAAATGCATCATCTGGAACAAGGAAAACACTAAATGTTAAAAAAAAAAAAAAAAAGCACTGTCTTTGCCAAAATGGTTCAACTGTAATATTATTTTTGCAAGATCTTTTTGACACTACTGGCCATATTCAGTCATATGTATCCAAGCACTTCTCAAGAATTTACCTCAGTAATTAGATCAATACTAAGGAGTCTCAAATAATTAATGGAAGCACAACAAAGGCAAGTATCAAACTGTAATGACAGAACCCATTCACAACAAGAGAGAAATTAGTTTTAGTTTCCATTTTGCCGTTTAAAGCTAATTTGAGCTAAAAGAAATGCTCTATGGACAAAGTGAGGTCAAAAAACTCATTTTGTCTGTTATTCTGCCCATAGTTCTGCCACTCAGTCAGAATGTTTCAGATAAAAGTCAGTCCATAACCTCTAGAATAAAGGCTTACAAATAGTATAGCTCAAAATAGGCTATTTTTTGTAATAGGGGTTACTGAAAACAATTTATAATTCAGCATTCTTCATATTATTGTATTAAATGTTTCCTTTAGTCTATTGCAGAATCTTTACTGACACGTCCAGGATTTTGTAAAGACCACCACAAGCCCCTCAATAACAAATTATTAATACTGTTGTTCTACTTTTTGCAGCTGGTTTTGGACCCAGAGCTGAGCTTCAGAGAGCATTATTTGTTGTCCTCCAGACTTGACTTTGTCTTTGATTCCTGAAGGTGGCCCCATCAGTTTTGTCCAGTGTGTGAGTCTGAAAAGTCCTATTTCCTGAATTTGTTATAGGTTTCAACTTTTTCCACATTGCCTTGTGCATCACTGCTGTAACATCACAAAACAAGAAGTAAATACATTGCTTTTAAACAAAAGTACTTATATAAATTCTATAAATATAAACTATGCAGATGCATGGCTATGAATTGGACTATCTAATAATTGCAACTACTTTTGGTTCAAAACATACTGAAGATCTGTGTGTTTCAAACAAACAAACAAACAATACCTGACAGGCAACACTGGTCATTTTAAAAATGTAGAGACTAAAAAAGTCCTCTGTAGTTTCCTGTGGCTGCAAGCTAATGTTTATTCCTTTGAAAGTCCCATAAATGCCACACACACATTCAGCCCACGTTGTAAAATTACAGTTTCATTGGCCCACAGTTTAATGTTTATTTTAAGAGTGGCTCTATCTAACAAAGCTAGCAATGAATATGAATATAAACATTTTTTGTCCTGAAAAATACTGAATCAGGAACTCATATTCTGAGAGTTTCCTACATAGGCCCCTGGACCTATTAGTGGGTGGTTATGTTACACATAAATATGAATACAACCTTTTTGGTTGCCTTAATGGTTGACATAAATAGCTACTGTTGAGAAATTTATATAATAAAGAATAGACTGAAAAGTTATCTTAAATTAGAGAGTCTGATTTATTAAAGCAATTGTGCGCACAATCACAGAGCTGCCTGTTCCTGACAGAAGCATCTCTCCCTTGTCTTATCGTCAGGATAAGACGGACGATAAGGAAGGACGGTCAACACAAAGCTGGGTCACTGGAAATAAAACAACATGTGAAAAACAAGTGAATAACAAGTGATCCCAGACACAACTATTTGAGTCTGGAGCCTGGGAGTAAGAGGTCTCTATGAGGCCTCTGACTGCAGGATTTAACCATAATTAAGTCAACCTACACATTCACATAAATGCTTACACAAGTAACTAAAAATTACTATGTAAAGATTCCCATAACAATACTGTTACAAAGAATGAACTAGCTAGAAGCTGAAGGAAGAAACTGCCACACCAGGTAAGAGAAAATTTTGAGGTATAATTTATAAAGAAATAACTGAAAATCAGAAACAAAATACATTGCTCATTAAATAAACTGGGCATTACATGTTGATGCATTCAGGCTAGAAAAAAATACTTTTTTATTAAAATGGCAGACAAAAACTTTAGTAAGTGGGATCTTAACTGTGCATTAGAAGATGATACATGGAACTCAATTGTTGCATTTAATGGGAGATTCATTAGGGAAGCTTGGGGTAGATTAATACTTACTTAAAAGGTAGTATTATACTCTGTCAAGGCTCTATAAAATGGGTATTGATGTAAATTATAGGCTGGAAATGTCAAAATGTCACAGGTACTTTAATGCACACTCTATGGGACTGCCCTTACCATTTGACCCTATAAGACCACCCAGGCTGTGCCTATATACTGTGGGACATGAGTCAAGTGCCTTTCATGAGCAAACCTGTGTTTGAGTGATAAGAACTGGACTGGTGACATACGCCGCTTTCTTTTGAAAATATGGAACGAGCCCAAAATGTGGAAGGAGAGGATGATGGACAGTGCAGTGTGTGAGAAAGTGTAGGGGAGGGTGAATGAGAATGGGACAGTTTTTATTTGTATATGTCTGCAATTCATTAATTAAGTGTTTTTAATTAAATTTTTGTTTGTGTGCATCTAATTTGTTTTTGTTTTTTCCTGTTATCTTTAATGTTTAAAAATAAAAATAAATGTTATTTCAAACATTTTGAATCAATTATTACATCAAGTCAGAGCTGTATCCAGTAGTAGTAGCCTACATTGCACATTCAAGGCTGAATTAGTTTTATATTAATTATGTTAATTATGAATGATTATACCAAATGTATTTCCTGCCATGGCACTATACAATGCTACATTCTTAGTTATTTGTGTCTTGCCCTTTTAGGCTACTAGGCTATTTACAGCTGTCTAAAACAGTGGCGTAAAAGAAGCACCAACACTTATTGGCGCTGATTGAAATTTCTCAATGGGGCACTTTTGAAGTCCATTATTCTAATTAGTTGCATCATTTAGTTTATTATAAGACTTCACATTACATTGTCCAGCAGATGGCATTGTTGAACCACTCGCGTACATAGAGCCAGACACAGTAGACAGAGAAATGCAAATACGCCTCTGCTTGAGAATCCAGATCCCCCCTCTTCTCTCGGCGAGGAGCTGCATAAGAAGAAGTCGTGCTGGATGACACCTGTCGTCGCTGATATTTCTAAACCTCTTAAATAAATTGACAGTAAATTCCTGTGTCAATGCATGAGTCATCGCGAGCTTACGGCACCAACTGTTTGTCTGTGGAGTTTGGTGTTTGATAAGCATGGAAAATCAAGCAAACGAAAAAGAATAAAATCAACAAACTTTGGCGTTATGTGCTGTGTGGTAGCATCCAGACACTGCCAGTTGATCAGTGAATCTGCCCATCTTTTATAATGGACTGAAGAATGATTCACTGTACACTGTCAGTAATAACGTTTTGTCACAATAATTTGGCCCCTAGGACGTAAAGTATTCTTTCCATCTGTATTTGGCCTAAACAAGAAAGCATTTTATTCATTCATGCACACAGTCTTAAGGGAGCAGTGTTTTGATAAATCCCACTATTTGAATCTAGTTGAAATTCAGCGTGTGTCAGCTTTTAATGTAGTATTCACTCACTCTTTTCACGCAATGAATGGAAACAGCAGCATCGTAAAATAAATGACTCATGAAGTAATTTCGGTGGGATTTCTACAACGCCTTTGCACCCCATTCAACAAAAAAAGTTTCATCCTAATTACATAGAAAACGTTCAAGATTCTAATCCAGATACTCGCCAATAGACACATATTAAGAGAATGAATTGCCCAGTAGTTGAAGTGAAATTTCCAGTAGTATTTTTTAGAATTGTAACGAACTTATGTTTGGAAAAATCGTATAATTACATACATTTGTGAATCTCTCCGTGCGTTGGTCAGTAGCACTTGTATGGTGGAACAACACTGCATCTCACCTGCAAAAGGTCGTTCAGCCACAAAGGTTTAAAGGTTTCAAAATAAATGCATTGTTCCATATACAAAGTCAGTGTTTGGAAAATGGCCAGTGACTTTGTGCACCGTAAACAAATAGAATAGGAAGCAAAAATACTTATACCTGATTTCAAGTAGCCCATAATGAATAATGCTGAATTTTTGTGTAAAATATCCACATTTCTGAATTATAAACGTTTGAAGTATAGGCGTGGAAATAGTATTTCAAGTATTACTTAGGCCTATGTTTTTACACAAAGTAGCATTTTAGATCAGGTTTTTTAATACATACAGCAATTACTTTTCATCCTTGCTTTAAGTGCCTTAATCGAGTGTGACAGAGCAGTGAATAAATAATGCACTCGAAGACTTGTAAAGCACAACT